CAAAATACAAACTCGAGGTGAGATTTTTTTTCCTTAAGAAATTCAAGTTGTGAATCTCGACCCAGTCTAGGGTTTACCGTTAACCGAAAAAAAAATTAAGCGAGATTAAAAAATAACATTAAACGATCGCGTAAAAAAATAATTCTTTAACGAACCAATGATGACACCAAATCCAACAACTTCTTCAAATCATCTGCAAAGTAAGAATTCTAGACCAATAATATCTCATATGAATTACCACTGATTGACACCAACAAATAACCAACCAAGTAGAACGATATACTCTTCGATAGAAAACCATCTGCCTCTTTACCTTATACTTGACCATTAAAAACCTCTTGTAACCATTGAATAACCACTTTACAATGGCCGGACGCTTTTGAAACACACACGCACATAACCCAGCCTTTCAAGATTGACCCCAGAAGTAATCAACAAAGATAGAACCTTAAGAATTTACAGTTTACAACCAATATGCAGTACATTTTACTAGCAGTAAAATTACAGGATTCAAATAGGAAATAAACGATAAATTAATTCGACAAAAAAGCTGCATATTCTTGCCTAATTAACAGACGAGAGAAATTTACATACATTTTGCCAACTTTACAATATCACTGCATTTTGTATGCAATTCGACGATTAACATAATAGAAGTAAGTATTTGTTTCTCCACCAATACTCAACGTCACAAAACATTTTAAGTCTAAGGTTTGTGTCAAGAGCTTAAGATTTTTGTTCGTGCGTGAATCGTAAGATTTTAGTTCTTGTGCGAATCGTAAGATTTTTGTTGGTGTGCGAATCCTAAGATTTTAGTTCGTGTGCTCATCTTAAGAATTGTTTGAGCGCTCCAACCAATGGGGCCCCTTTATTTTTATCTAACCGCGAAAAAAAAATTTCCGGTTGGTACACGAGATTTTTTTTTCTTTAGACGATGAGGAAAGGAAAAAATTTCCCCCCTTTAAGTATTTAAGATTACCTTTGCTACTAACCAAAAAAAATTTTTAACACAAGAATTCTTTTTAACTATTGAACTAGAAAATCGTTATATCTAAACTACTACTGAACATTCTTATCCATTCCACAATTTATGACTGGTCAAACTTCAACTGCTACCATTCGAGTGTTTATCCCAGGTGAACGATTCAATGATATTCTTCAATCTATTAAAAGGAATGTGGTGGAAGAAAAAGATGTTTTCAATCAAAGAACTCAGGAAGATTCCAAAGTTTTTACATTCAACAGTTATCATCACGCATATGACTTCGCCTGGGAAATGCAGAATCTTCTGTTATATATGTATGAGCGACAATCAGCCAAAACAATCCTTTTGAGATGTTATAAAGAATTTTGCCCCTCAACTTTAGCTTTATCTGCTGCAAGCAAAGAGAAACCAGCCAATGTGGTATGGAAGCACAAACACACCCACGACACTTGTACAACTTCACATTACGAAACATATGATGAAAGTAGAATAATAATACTGTTTATAGTTGAACATTTGAAGGTGATGAATAACGAAAGACTCGTTGAAGAATTTATATTGAGACATCCCGATATACAGGTTCCCACTTTTAATAAAACTCTTAGTCGGTTAGTGACCGTATATGAGCATATGTATACACAGTACATTGCACATTCTAATATCGATGAAGATATAGAAGATATCAGAGAAAAATATTGCAACAACCAAATATTTGCATCTAAAGATTTATCTATTCATAGATTCAATAAGAAAAATTCCAAACAAGCGGGTTCTTGGTGTGTTATTGTTCAAGTTGCGACAGAGATCAAAAAGTTTGGAACTCTTCAAGTCGGTGCTTCTTCAATCGGTATTGATCATGCTTCAAATGAGAAAGGCAGTCTTGTCTTGGTTAGTTTTGTCTCCAGGAATATGATAACGGGTGGTGCTGCCCCTATTGTCTTCCTCATAACGAATGATTACTCACTGGACATTCTTAAATTCTTCTTCAATGAAGTTAAATATTACAATTCATCTTTGGTTTCCCAGAACTTTATGATTGAATATGGTATGCTATCAACGACAAACATTATCAAAGAAGTTTTGCCTCAGTCAAGAATACAATTGTGTATGGAATCCGTTTACCACGCAATTGCTAGAAAAGTTAAAGGCCTGGGATTAGTTATTCCGATCAGTGATTTAGGACGAATCTTTTATGAATTTGTATATGCGAATTCAGATGCAGAACTGGAAACTATCTGGGCTACCATTGAAACTACATATGAAACTTATCCAGAATTATGGGATTTGTTGAGCCAATTGAAGAAAGTAAGGAGGTATTGGATGTCAATGCAGTCACTGGGTTTTATCAATTCATCAAATAATTTGGTAGCAGAATTCGAAGGACGCTTGAAGAAGAATATTATTCCCAATAGAAGAGTGGATTACATAATTAAAACACTTGCAGAGGAAGTAGAGTTGTTGAAGCAAGAATCAAAGGAAGTATGGCAAGGAACACGTGAACGTATTTTATCACTGGTAGAGATTCAAAATCGAAATGATGCTATTACATTAGCTAGAGAAGAAGGTTTCATTGAGAATAATGTTGTCTCTCACAACAAATCGCAAGAGTGCTTTCATGTTACAGTTCCTAATGAAATTGGTTGTATTGTTAGATGTTCAGAAAAAGGATTTGCGTGTTCTTGCAAACTGTCATGCCATTGGTGTTTGCATATTTTCTTCGTTGTCATTAAGAAAGAGAGAGAAGGTAATTGGAAGATGCAATTCAACGAAGGGACCTTTACACAACAATATACACCAACTGAAGGTTTTAAACAGAGAGAATACATTGACTTACCACCACTAATGTCGAATAACATCGAATATGATCCAATAAATCATGACCCCCTTATTGAGAATCATCTTGCAGTTGATGATGACCATCCATATATTTCTGATGATTCGAATATCCATGGTGAAACAATTGAAAGTTTTTCAAGTCCTGATATAAACCAAGATAACCGCGAAGAAACTAACTCACAATGTCAAATAAACAAGCTATTAAATGAATCTAATACATTAAAGAGATCAATTGATGAAATTAGTAATGGTATGCAAAAAAATGACGTCCTCCAACAGGTTGTTCGTTGCAGATTAGAACTCCAGAATATTAATAAAAGGATTTGTTTACCCCAAGACTTGGAGAGGCAATGTTCCAACAATGGCAGAAGTATTACCCCAAGACTGGGAGAAACAATGTTCCAAGGCTCGAAGAGACAATCCTACAAGAGATGGAGAAGCAGTCTTCCAAGACTTGTAAAAGCAATCCTCCACCAGTTGGGGAAAGGATTTTCCAGGAGTCGGAGACAAGATCAACCAACTCTTGGGGACTAATACTGGGAGAAGCAATCTTCCAGCACTTGGAGAACTGATGTACCAAGAATTGGACACATGATTCTGTAAAAATTGGACAGGAAATTGCCCATGATTATAGAAACAATTTTCCCATTATTCGAGAAATAATTTTGCTAGAGTTAGAGAAATAAGCTTAATATTGGTATATCTCATCTTATATCATATGGATTTGGTATTCACATACATATAGAACACAAATTGCAAGGCTAGATGTTAGATGGTTCATCAATGACTATCATTTAAATTACAATAGCGAATTAATAAATTTGAAACTTTATAGACTATCAAAAGAAAATCTACTTTTCTTTATCTATTACTCCTCTTCAACATTCAACAAATCAGGCAGTAATTTGTCCTTCCTGTGCAATAGAATTCTTTAAATTTTTCAAATTTAACATCTAGGTCGAATATACTACCTTTGCCTCGAGTATCTACTTCTCTTCAAAATCTCCTCGAATTATTTGCGTAAAACCACTTGCAGGATCTTCTTCTTGAATATCAGTCTGCAATGGGAGAATGGGGAGTTCTTCGGGAGCAGCCTCGACTTTCATAATATCTGGATTGTACTCATATGGAAAAAAATAACTATCTGTACCTGGTTCTAGCATGAGATCATCTTCATCCACATGTTCATTATTGATAATATGCCTCAAAATATGTTCAAACTAATTTTCAAATGGATGTACTTTTTCACATGGACAATTGTATTGATAAGGGCCATATTATTCGACGGTATAAGAATCTGTCTTCAAAAGAATGACATTACTACCATTGGATTCGGATAGAAGAATCGTCTGTAATTGGTTGAGCTTTCTTAATTCTTGCAATAGAATGTCTTCAATGCTGGACAAAAGTCTAGGAGATTCATTTGCTTTAACTTTCATTGAAATGGATTGGATATAGTACATTGAATCACCTAGTGCTTGAAGAAGGTTTGTAAAATGTTTCCATTCAAAGTTACCAATGTAGCTGTCCCTTAGATTAAGATGATACAGATTTACAAACTGATTGTCTTCCATTGGTAATTGCGAATATGAATGTTGCCAATGTTCCTTCGATTGGTACCAGCCACCAAGATATCTTTTCCAAATTGGTTCTCTGTCAAAATGCATCATAAGACGCTGCCATTCCTGGTTAAATTCCCTTTTATTACTAATAGAAACAAGATTAAAAAAATGATAAAGGAATGAAACTTGAGATAAGACAGCGATGTTTCCATTACGTATCCAAGCTTGACAAAGAACTTGATTAATTGAAATGGGACAAAAGCGGAATTTTTTGTTGGGGAGGTTCTTTTTAATAGCCTTCATTATTTGAATCTCAGAATCAACCACAAAGCCCTTTCCGTTCTTCAAGTAATCTTTAGTTTGTTCGAAAAAGTAATTCAATGTATCCTCACATTTCGAGTTGGTCACCATGAAAAGCTTGGGGCATTCTCTTACTGCAATACTAGAACGTGATAATACAGTCAACAATTTAACGGTACCATGTTATTTGTCAGATTTGGTTGGGTAGATAATATCTAATGCTAATCCATCAATACAAGCAATATGTAGCATATCTTGATTGTCGGCAGAATCTTTGCAAAGGATAGCAGACCAAGCCTTGAAATCATCCGCAATGTAATTGTCGAACTCCTTGTAGATTATCTTTGAAAATCGATTGTGTGGATTTGAATTTCTGAAAAACCTCCAAAGATTTATCAAGTTGGTGTAACCTATAATACATATGCTTATAAACCCCATATATCAGTTGGTGACAACCATTAAATAATGTCGTTTGTGTTTTCAGATAGTCACGGTAATGCTCCAGTTTAATTTCGTACCAGTTTAATTTTAGGTAGTTGTCAAGTGTAAACTTTTGCATGCTTAGCTCTCCTTGATGATCATTAAAATAAGCACCTGACATACAATCATGGGTGTGATCAAAATGCCATTTTAATTCAATTTTCTATGGATCAGCAAAGTAATATATGAAGTGCAAAGAGGTTTTGAATGGCCTTTACAAAGGAAACGACCTGTCTTATTACCATATGAATACCAAAGCAGAATCTGTTGAATGAAGTAAAGTATCCTTTTGATGTTATCACCTTCATAAATATAAGTATATGGATGGGATCTGGCTTCAAAGTTGGGTAATTTTACTACTATATCCAGAAATTGCTTAGCTTGTCGAGGGATAGCCAACACGTCTGATGCTATTATATGGCCTTTACCATTATCCCTGGAAGTAGATGAGATCACTCTTTGTTGCGTTGTTGCAACGATTTGATCTTCTATTGTTTGTGGCTTGAAAGACGGTCCTGCAGAAGATCCGTGCTGTTTAGCTTGAGGGATTGATATGTGGCTATTTGTTGTTGATTGGTTAGCGGAATCTTCGTTGTCGCTATTAACAATAGTCTTGACTACGTTTGTGACTACCTGCAAACTCGGTAGCGCCAGTGGGTAGAGGTGGGCTGGGTGTCCCTTGCGAACGTGTATTACTTCCTGATAGGATCTGGCTTTTAAATTGTTTCTTGACGATAGTTCTTAAAATATCACCTGACAGAAAGACACCAGAAATACAATAATCAGGATCCAAATCACAAAGATCGCTCTCTTGAAATCCTTCAATCTGGAGCCTATCCTCATCTGGGTATAACCTTTGGAATCTAGTTTCAATTCGTTCTTTAAGTTCATTAAGATCAATTGCTGGATCTTCCAAATGTAGAAAACGCTTACAAACCAATGGGTCTATCTCGCTAGTTGGTTCATTTGCATAATTCAATGGAATAATGAGTACGTTTAACTTTAGCTTGGTCATCTTTTCCTGTGGGATGTAGGTTTTATTAGGCTGCTTTCCAAAGAAACAGATTAGGGTTGTATATCTGTTCTCAGATAAATCTGTAAACTTTCTAAAGGGCCATTCCCAAATATAAACCGAAAAAAAGGGGCTCACAGGCAAATACCAAAGGGTTTTAGCTTCGTGGGTTTGTGCCGGTAATCTTTCACTAAAGTATTTACTATTGTGTATAAATCATCCAGCTCGCCGTGACCAGAAAAAAAAAATTCTAGATCCGAGCTTCAAAACCGTTCCTGTTGCCTTGAGGGGCCCCAGCCAACTATCGGATTACTGATCTATAGAATAGGACATAATACTCCTATAGTTATGTTCATATATTATATAACTATACATTGATCTAATGGGGCTATGATTTGCACAATTGATTTTCTTGTTTCTTTTTCAGAAGCTCACGACCTCGAATTACATCTACAGGACTGCAATACTTATAGTATAAGTTAAATACTTTCAGCAATAATCATGTCCCAATGATGAAGGCTTCACGATATGAATGATAAGATGGCATCAGACAGGAATATTCCAATACATTTGACCTTTGCTTATTAATCATCGCCTTTAGTGGTTTAAAGTGCTAAAATAATGGAATTCTATTGACTAGATGTATCATGTTCGCGTTTCAATTTGGATTTGTTTATATTATTTAAAATCGTGTGACTAAAACGAAGTTTTTGAGTAATGGTGCTCACATAGCCCTCAATCTTAGCTTGTTTTAATAACGCTCGTGCTTTCTATTGATGGATATCCTCCAATACTTATTAAAATTAGGGTTCAAGTACATGTCGAAAGTATGTTAGAAATTGTAAGCTGGCCCACAACAGCTAGTCATGCCATACGAACACAGCGATTTGCCAACGATGAGGCAATAGACTATCCATAAGGTAAAACTAAGAATAAGCAGTGATAAACGAGTTCAGTTTACAGTATTTTAATTGGACTTCTTATCGTGATTCATTTTCCCCAATATTTGGATCTCATTTTTAGCAAAATCCAATGAAAGAAATAGTCAATGTACGTGAAACAACAGCCTCTCAATTTTAGAGGTTAAGTGCTTTTGTTGGGACAACAGATATCATATCTTATTAAATATGGTCTCCGAGGAAGCCCTCCGCCAGGAAATATCAAATAATTAGGAATACATCGCAGCAAGGGAGCAATAGTTTAACAGATTCAATATACAATTCAAAATTGGTAGACAAAGATTCTTGTAAACTACAGGTTATACAGGAAGAAGGAAGTTGTTGCTTTCCAATGGTGAATGCTTGTGCCGGTATAGCTTGAAATGGTGATACAACGTTCTGAAGCCGTTTTTGTCATTGGCTTCCTGCTTTCTTTTGATCCGATATGCCCATAAAAGAGAATCAAATATATTTGTTTAGGTATAAAATCTCCTATTAAAGAAGAAATGCAATATATATGTTTTTAATGCTTCGCCCCTTCTACAATCCTTCTCAATATCACCAAGATCTTTTAGATAAGTTCTATAGAAGTCTTTTCCTCGCACAAAGTTCTCTACAGATGTACCTCTAGCCTGCATGATAACTCTATTAGTTAAAGCAAGATTCGTATCAATGCCTAGTAGCCTACTTTGAAACCCATACAAAGCTTGCAGTGTAAGCAATCTTCCCAGAAAATAAAAAAAAAATTGAATAAAGACTCCTTCATTTCATCCTGCTCACCATTAATCTGTCCTCGAAACATGGCCTGGCATAGATTTGGGTAAATAGGTTGGAGCATTGTAATGATCAAATTCCAGATTGCTAAAGCATGAGTAATGATGAACTTCGTTATCAATTTGGTGGTATAATACCGCAGGTATCTAGGAAGGCTCTCCCAAAACTCTTGGAAAATCATATCTCTGTCGTGGAAATTACCATCATCACTGTAAGCTAGAGCATATCAGTAGCTGTAAATGAATTGCCGGAAGCTACCAACATCATACTGGCAAGAGATTTCGAGATATCATCCACAATGTCTAGCAACTGCTTCCTATAATCAGTAGTGATACCCCACATAATCCTACAAATAAGAAAACAAAATTTTGAATAATTCAGTGGATTCTTTGCGTTTACTCGTCAAGTCAATCAAAGTATCAACTCTCTCTAGAAGAAGCTTAATGAATAGTCTATTGATTCTTATAAATTCTCTAGAAGGCACTACCATTTCTTTGATTTCTTCAACTAGTAAGCCATGAATATAAATAAATTGATTTGATTCATCATTCTGAGATTCATCTCTATCATCAGATAACTTCGTAAAACGAGCAAATGGTCTTGTACCCACTTCATGATGACATAAGGATATGCATAGGTTGAAACCGTTCTGGTATCATCAACAAAAAGGTCAAGACTTTTTTTGAATAATGAACTTCTCTTTTATCATCACTTCAACATTTTCATTGCTCTCAATGGGTCTTTCAATTATAGGGCATAGAATCTTCAAAGGGATATTCTGTGAAATCTTGATTAACGAGACACTCTAGTACGTCATTTGCAAGTATATTATCTAACAGGCTTCGTTCTGCCATAGATATTAATCAATGTAGAGTCTTTGGTTGAAGTTGGGAGTATTTCAAAATTATTTGTATGAAGAGGATGGCTTTTCCACGCTCGATCCATTTTTTTACACGATACTAAAAATTTCCAACTAAATGAGGATTGAGACCGATTTTTTTAGAATTTTATCTATGAAATCCATTTCGAAGATCTCTTATTACACTTCGTAACTTCGTAATAAGCAAATGTTTATCTATCCTTTTAAAGGTACTAATCATTACTAAATTAACTAAAAACATAATGCATTCATAAGTGGTATCAGGAAAGTTCACATACATCCAAAAAGGACTCAAGGATTTGAACATCTTGACTGTCAACCTACACCATACAAATTAGATCTTGATGTAGATGTATGATTTACGATACATCTAGTTGTGAAGAAATGTCTCAACCAATACCTATGAATGATTTATATTGGGAATTATTGGTCCTCGAAATATTGTTGAATAAATCATCTACATGAGTTCTCTAGGAGTTCCGATTATCTTTCATCCGATTTGAACTGTCCATTGGGTTGCAGTCTGCCAAGGTTACGTATATGAGTCTTGTTCAGAAGGTGTACCATCGTAGGTATGTTTCCAAAATTGAATGTGTCCCTAGTACCAAACAAGTTTTCCCAATCGGTTCAATACAACAGCACCAAATATACACACTATGCTTCGTTCCCCAGTTCTTGGTAGATACTGTCTTGAAATACCGTTGTCAGAAAACCGATGTCTTCTTGAGAGTAGCCTGACCTTAAACACTCAAGCTTATTTCCGGTTCTTGAAAAAACAATCATCATTAGCTTGTTTTGATATATTGGGGAGTTTACTTTATTGTCTTAGAGAAGTGGAATATAATACCCTTTACTGACAGGAAACTTTATTTGGACACCTGGGATTCCTCAACCAATGTCAAGTAAGGTTTCTCTTTGCAGCTTCGTTTTAGTTTTATCGTATAAGCAAATCCATTAAACCCCAACCGAGAATCAGTTTATTTCTACCCAGATGGGAGGCAATTTGTTGTATACGCAACATGTTCGTTCAAAATAAGAGAATTATATGTTATTTCCTAATTACGTGAAGGGTTAATGACATCCAATGAATCATTAGAAAGCACTAATAGATTAATTCTTTTCAGAAGTATTGGGAATTACTTGGAAGCCGTATCTTTCAAACTTGGTCAATAATGTTACTATTACGTTTGTTAATCTGCCAGGCTGTATTTATACAAATTAGTCAGTTTCTATATTCATTCAAAACTATTTACATATTACTTTCTAAAACCTAGAAACTTAAATATTTCACTTGCAAATACAGGGGGATTATCAAGATATAAGTGGTGACCAGCGTTTGGGATAATCTTGAAGCTGGCCATCTTCTTTTGATATGCACTAATGGAAATATTATTGATCTCATTTGTCATTTCCATCCCTGCTTCTTCATTCATCCAATCTTTGTCACCATACATCCACAAAGTGGGTACTCCCATTTCTACAAATTTCTCTGGACATCTATCTAATAGTGGTAGTTTGGCTAATGCACCGATGGAAAGTATTCTAGTTAATGCGTATTCTCCTGAACCCTTCCCATTAAACACTCTGTAAATGTAATCATGAACATTTTGAAAATGTTGTTGGTCTTGATAATATACATGGGCAAATCTGTGGGTTGTCCAACCTGAAATCATCTTCGACTTAATTGGTCCTGCATTTCTAACCAATGCGAATGGGGAATAGTTATGCTCCCACATATAGTCAATGATCTTTCTTCTTCTTGTTTTTGGCTCTTCCGGTTCTACCTCAGTACCTTGGACGATGGCTTCTTGATCTGCCAATACCTCCTGTTCAATTGCAATTGCAGGGTTAGATGCATTTTCTTTATCTTGTTCAACCCGAGATACAGTTCTTGAAAGATGATTCTTCAATAATGAATATTTGTTTCGTTCCACACCAACAGGACTTAATAAAATCAATTTATCGACCAAATTATGTTTAATACCAGTTGCAACATCAACCAATTTCTGATTATATTTTAATACGTATGCTGAGCTAAGATATCCACCAAATGAATGGCCCATTAAGATAAATCTATTAATTCCTCTTTTCTTTCTCCAATCTTCAATCGAATCCAAAAACCAATCTTCTACTTGATATACTTCTTGTTTTGTTCCAGATGGAAAATGGGGGAAATGGGGTCTTGAACTAAGTCCGAATCCTAGTAAATCGATTGCATGAATTTTTATTCCAGGAATTGAAGATAAGGAATCAAAATTATCAATAAATAATCCAAGTGAGGCTGCTTAACCATGGATCAACACCACTTCTTTACAAGGCTCAAGACTATTATTATTTGTAGAAGGTTCTGGAGAAGGCTCAAGATTCTCAATAAAGACTTCATGAATGTAATTTCCATTTCCAATATCAGTATTAATTACAGATGCTCTTCTTTTGCCATCAGATTCCGGAAAGAATGGTAGATGTGATAATAAACGAGCTTCGACCTTTTCATCTGAATATTGAGGATACCAGCTGTGTTTGAACCAATCAGCCACTGACTCTTTCCAAGTGTAAACTGCTCTTACTCGTCCGTCGTTAAATTCATTCTTCTTATCTCTCATCCGGTGCATTGGTTCTTCAGTTTGGCTAGCCATTTTCTAGTGTTCTCTATAATGTAGTGTGGTTGTAGTGGTTGTATGTTTATTTATTCAAAGAAGTTATCCAAGAAGTTCTACTAATGTTGAGAATGTTCTTTGCTTTCCTTATGAGTAGTAGTAAGGGAATATTGTAAGTTTATATATATCCCTAAAAGTGATGAGTTGTTGGTATGCGAAATTTTCCCGGTTTTCCGAAAAAGTCGGAGATAAAATGAAAGTAGGAATAAATCCATTTTCTTCCGCCAGCCGCCGCCGTTGTTGATGACATATTTTTTTTAAGAACGGCACAGCCCAATTGATTTAATTGCAAAAAAAAGAAACCCCATAATTTAGATTGTTTGAATTGAATCATTGATTATCGGACACGTTCTGTGGAGAGAGATTACCGGGCTGTGATGAATGATCTTAACTATTATAAATACAAACGATTAGAAATTATAATTCCAGAATGATCCGAGAGGAAATTATAAATAAAACCAACAGCTAATCTTCAATAGTTTACAATGTCAGAAAAGACTCAACTTCCAGTCTCACCTCCTCCTTACCCATCAGAAGAAACTGAATTACTTCCCCAAATTGAGCAAGCCAAAAGTGAACAAGCAAATCCCACACCAAAAAAATCTCATTCGCTATGCTGCTGTTGCCACAAACACGGGGAAAATACGCCTTTCTGCCCTCAGCGGGCGTTGGTTCGGTACATAAAGAAAAAGATTTCAAAAAAGAGAGCTTGTTCTGGTTGCTAATTCTCACTTTCTTCAGAAGTGCTTGTTGATCGCGATTGTCGAACTGTAGTGTTGCTGGTTAAACACATAATCACCTAGGTTGTATTGAAATAGTCAATCATTTAGGATATTCATTTGAACTTAATCCCATTGTTTGGGTTGTTTCTTCTTTACATAGTCTGACGAATACATAATATATTTATAAAACAAGAATCTCTATTACCGAGAAGCTTCCAATGTGCTACTGCCATATTGTAAGATCATGCAATCTGTCTACCTCAAGGTTTTCTCAAAATACGAGGAGATTCAAAGTAGTCGTAATGAATCTGGTTTACTGGACGTTTCTTCAGTAGTCATGGAATATACTCTTTGATATATCCTCCAGCAATCTTAGTTTCTTTCTCTAAGATCTTCAATAATTGCCCACCCGTTTTCTTTACAATGCCTTTTAAGTATACGACATTTTTTGCACGACTTATGTCGTACTTGATGACCAACAAAAATTGAATCGAACAAATACAAATCAGATAATTTCATGTTACGTTTCTAACGAGTCTCCTATACTTCAAGGAAGCGATCAATTACAAAATATACATGTGTAAGCAATGTCTGACTTAGAGGATGATTTATTGGCTTTAGCTGGAGGAGATGATAACGATTACGAATCTGAAGAAGATGTCACTTCAAGTAAAAGAAAGACAAAAAGTTATAACGAAGAGGAAGAAAGTGATGAGGACCAAGTATTGTCAAAACGTCGAAGAGTAGATACATCAGATTTTGAAATTGAAGATTATGGGGATGATCAAGCAGATGAGAAAGCGGAAGCTGAAGAAGAATTAATTAATCCTTATCCTCTTGATGGGAAATATAAAGATGAACAAGATCGTGATGAACTAGAATCTATGGATGAAATGCAAAGAGAACAGATCTTGTTCGATAGATCTCAAGAAATGGAAAGATATAATGAAAAGAAGTATTTGGCACAAAGAATGAAACAGCAAAGGAAACTAGCAGAACCTGCCACTAAGGCATCTCGTGCTTCCAATCGAACAAAGACCACTACTAAACCTGATAAGATGGATAAATTTTCAGAATTGAGAAAGCAACGTGAACAGCGTTCTAGAAGAAAAACAACTGATGATTATGAAGAAGAGCTGGATGAAGAAGAGGAAGAAGATAATGATCTTGCATTATCTGAAGATGAAGAAGAGGAATATGATGATTATGATGCTGAAACTGTTACTTGGGGAGGAGTTTCGAAATCTAAGCCAAAGAGAAACATTGAGCCTGCCAAATTAGCTGATATTAATCGTGTTAAGATGGGTCGTACTGTTTTGACCCAATATTGTTTCTATTCTGATTTTAATGTTGTTGTGTTGGATACGTATGGTAAGATCAATTTAGGAATGGATAAAAGAACTAGACGTCCAATATATAGAATGGTTAAGATAATCGATGTCAAATCAATACCAGAAAAGGCATATCGATTAAATAATTCTAAATGTGACTTGTTCCTAACTGTGAGTCAAAACCGTAATCAAACCAAAGACTTCCCAATTAGCATTTTTTCAGATTCACCACTTGAACAAGAAGATTTTGATAGATACTTGGCTGAATTGAAAAAGACTGGAGAATCAATTGATTATTTAGAGGATGTTAATGAAAAATTCCAACAATTGCAAGTGTTCTTCAATAGAGGACTTAGTGATAAAGATGTTAACGAAATGATTGCCAGAAAGAAGAAACTTCAAGAACTGAAAGGTGTATCGTCAAATGATATTTCTGGTTATGATGCTGTTACTCAAAAGGCTAAATTAATGGATGAATTAAAGATTGCAAAACAAGAAAACAATTTGAATAGAATTAGAGATTTGATTTCCAAATTAAAGAGAATAGATCAAATATTAATTGGACAACCTAATGCAAAAGCCAGTAGTGAATCTTCAAGTGGTATGTCAAAGGTTAATGAAAGAAATAGGAAATTAAATGCTGCTAATATCAGAAAAGCAGAAGTAAAATCAAGAAATACATTACAAGTTAACGATGGTGGAGACCCATTCTCTCGTTTGAAAACTGTTACTAGGATGTTTTATCAAGATTTGATTAATCAAGAAAATGAAAAGGCCTTGAAGGATATAAATTATGAAAAATTATTACAAGAAAAGAGTAAGCAAGAAGAAAAGATTGCCAAATCCACTTATAGAGATTTGGGTGAGATGGACAAGTTGATCAATAGTATTGATATTGATATTGATATTAGTTGGTAATTTGATGTATGTAGTTGATTTATGTATAATAAGTATGTAGTTGTAATGAAAATTGTAATTTCTACGATCTTGATTTTGATTGGCACAAATCTTTATCTCTAATTAAAAATCACAATGAATGACAGAGTCATTTTTTACAATGGTTAGGTAAATCCTGCATTTAGGTTCCACTCCCAACAGAAAAGAAATAATTGATCGGAACTTATTACTCCTCCGTTACAAAAAATAATACTTAGACATAAACTTGAAACACGGAAATAACAACCGATAAACTTCTAGTATTCTAAGAACGGTTTGTCTCTCGGTTTTGGTATAAATGATGTTGATAGGGTGCCTAGTGAAGATGCTCTCAGTGTGGGTTGCATACCTTCTAGAAGAGAAGTCCTGTAAAAAAAACCGTTGCATTGTAGTGTGATTAAGAGTGGAAGAAAAAAACAACTCCTGAAACCGGCTTCCTGTATATAGTCCGGTTAAATAATAAATTTTATTAGTCAGAAAATAATTAATAATAACACTTTGAAAGTCAAAGAAAAATTTTTTCTTTGTACCTGGGTCTCATACAAAATCAAATGAAAATCCACATGGGATAAAATAAAATAAAAGGGAAAAAAAAAATTCTCCTATTAGTCACTACTTCTTTACATATTACTTGTCAATAATCAAAGATATCCTACTAGATAAAGGACTATATAAAGTTATAATGAATTTTGAACCAACTGATTATATACAGCATTTGAATCTTGACTTGGATTCAGTTGTGTCTCCAACTATGACTCAACAACAATTGGAACATGAATTGGATTTATTTTCACAAGCTCATGATTTCTTTTCACTTGATGTATTGGGTAAAGATAATATAGTCCCTATTAAACAAGAAGTCCCACAAGACTTGTCTTTCTTTAAATTTGATGTGCATCAAGGACCACAACAAACCGTTTCCAATGAAGTTACGCAACAACCACCAAAAAGACAAAAGAGATCAATTTCTGAATTCAGTCCAATACCTGAAACTCCATCTGAATATGTTGCTTGTGAAGCTGCTGTTGAAGATAAGAGAAAGAGAAATACTGCAGCTTCAGCTAGATTTAGAATTAAGAAGAAACTTAAAGAACAAGAAATGGAACGTAAATCCAAAGAATTAGAAGAAAGAGTGATATTCTTAGAAAAGAAGTTAAAACAAGTTGAGATGGAAAATAAATATCTTAAGAATATGGTTTTACAACAAAATGAACAAAAGAATAATGATTTATTAGAAAGTATTAAGAAGAGAAGTATATTGGATTCAAATCCAGTATTTCAATATACTAATTAATAAATAAAATAACAATAATGAACTAATGGGACAATATATGGGAATCAATTAAAATCCAACTTTTAATTGAAAATATATATTTTAATGACTAATGATAGAGAGACATTATAAACAACGACTAATTTTATTTTTACAAACATTTCAATTCAAGATCCAACTCTTTGAATTTTAAAAATTATCCTATGCAATCAACAACCAACCAACCAACCAACAATAATCAACTACTTTTGTTCATTTTACTTTTTTATTTTATTTATTTATTAATAATTATTGGAAAGATATCAGATTGATCTTTTTGATAATTTTTAATATTTGTTTATACTATTATTATTTCAATTCTTCAACAAGAAACAAAAGAGAGAGAGACAGAGAGAGGCATTTTTTTAAAAAATTTTAGATGAGTGGAGAGTTATAAACATTTTACAAGATCTTAACTGGTATGTAAATGTTTGATTTTTATTATATTTGAAATATATTGGTTCTTACTATTTGATTTCCAACAAATCTTTTAGTTGAAGGACTAATTGTTTCAACCCTTTTTTTATATAACTATTGTACAAAATATACGTAATATTTATTTACCAATTTGATTATATATAACAAGTAATGTTAAAGTAAAATTATAAATATCAGATCAGATCCATGTTCCTTGATGTGTCAAACTGTCAAACTTTTTTGTCACGAGGTTGTAATTTTGTTGGTTAGTCTAAATTTACTTAGTGGCTGCAACTATCAGCCAATTCTTGATCCTTTTCCGGATAAAGTTCCGTAAATGAAATTTAAACAGTTTATTACAATCTAGAACTAAACAGTAAATTACAACATTAGATCCTTACTTTGAAATAATTAATTGGTAGAAATCAAATGGCTAATGTAATTTGATTTTGATGTAAAAACTGTTCAGCGTTAAATGAAAATTATTAAATTAATTAAATGAACATGTGTGAGCTTTTAAAATTTATTGCAGAGCTAATTTAATTTCATAAATAATCGTATATCATCGCACTCCCTCCCTTCCCTATGTAACCTCTCTGATTACATTCATTTAGTCAAACCAGAACCCCCTCTATTCTTAAGTGAAACAGAAAGACAATAACTAAACCCTAATGAACTCACACTAAAAAATTATACTCTCTTGTTTTTTCTCTCTTTAATCATTTTTGGTTTAATCCCCTTTTCCCCCTAATTAAAATTAATTTTACAACAATCACAAAAAGAGGGCAGAAACATACTGATTTTTAATAACCCAATTATTTTTATTTTATTATCAATTCATCATCATAATTCATCATAATCCATCATCATAAGTTCACCCTTCCATTTCTGAATGTATTTTTCGAAAATTATAAAATTATAATTATTCCTTATTTCATTTTGTTTTAACATTTTATTACTTTAATCTCATAGATTGCACAAAAACTAACCACAAATGTCTAATCCATCAACACCACCCCGGACTGGTGGTACCCCTATTGACGATACATTATTTCATCAACCCACATTTGAATCAACTCCATTATATGCGCAGTTTGATCTGAGAGATAGATCGATTTCCCCATGTGAAATACCAGCAACCCAAATGGAAAGAACCACTTCCTCACAATCCCCACTTGGTACTCCATCAACTACATTGCCTAAACAACGTAAACCAAAACAACCGTCACCAGTAATAACAGTCGAACAACATACCCTGAAGAGAGATTCCGAAGATTTACAAGGGAGGATAATAACTTCAAAACCACCTTCGCCTCCGTCTTCTCCTACATCATCATCTGAATCAATGAAAAAATCACCAGTCAATATTGTATCTATAGAAGATCAAATTACGCTACGTCTAGAATCTTCTAATAATCCAACAGTGGTTATGGAATTAGATCTTGATGGAAATATACGATATATATCAAATAATTGGGAATACATTGTTGGTACAAATATAAAGAAGATTATTAATCGACCCATTTCAAAAATTATAATTGGTAATAATGAAGAAGATTATAAAGTATTTAATAATGCAATTGATCAAATGATACTAGATGATTGTAGTTACAAAGTTAAATTTATGACTGCTACAAAACAGAAACATGAACATCATAATAATGAAGGATTAGCAATATATAATGATTTGGTTAGATTATTGACTCCTCCAGCTCATGAATGTCATTTTAAAGGAGACATACCTGTACCTGAAGAAGGACAATTGACTCCTTATAATTCTATGGATGAAGCTTCTGATGTTGAATTACCAGTGGAAGATTATGTACCTAGGCGACAGTCGCTTGTAGACGATATCCTGGAATTACACCTTGGTGACGACAAAGTTTCACCAAATCTTGAAGCAAGCTCGGCCGAAGAGACAATTTCTTTAACTAGTTCGGAAGTATCAAATGATGGAGAAGTTATAGAATTAGAAGCTCAAGGGATATTAATACATGATGCTAAAACTAGGTTACCTACTCATTCCATGTGGACAATAAGACCGTTTGTACATATTGATTTGGACTTGACTTTACCAACTGCTTTAATTGATTTGTTAGGTTTTGGTTCAGAAATATTTGAAGGATATTTACTTAATTTACAAGAATTGGGAATTATAGATGAGGAATCTGTCCCTCAACCAAAAACAATTTTATGTCGTATTTGCGAGAATAATATACCTGCTTGGTTTATTGAGAAGCATTCAGATTTATGTATAATAGAACATCGAGTGAATGAAAGCTTACAAGAATGTCATGATGAAATTGGAGAACAAAGAGAATTAGTAATGAAGATCTTTGAAAGTTTGGCATCTCAAAATATGCTGCCTTCATCTTCTGTAATACTGCAACACCAACTGTTTCATTCTTCATCGTCCTCATTGATATCGAATCCCTCAACTACTTCAGTGGAATCCAATACATCCTCATCGTCATCCTCCTCAAATGATGATAGTTCATCAAGTTTTATTTATGATTATAAAGGAATCCCCTTGCCTACTGTTTCAGATGTTGTTTCACCATCTCCAAGATTGGCTAATCAGGTATTGACCAAGAATTTTCAAGCTAGACATAAAAACTTGATTCATTCAAAGAAATTCCCCTTTGGTATTCTTCAGAAAGTTATTGAATTATGTGATGATGCATTATTGATCAATCCTCCAGCAAAAAATGATGATGATGTGTTGGAATTCTCTCCAGGTTCAGAAAAGGCGTTGAATGCTGTTTTGAATGGAAATAATTTAGAAACAAATGATTTAGCTATTCGACAAATTATTGAAGATACTCAGATTCTAATAAATAATAAGATGGATACTTTATCTAGATTAATTTCAATTTTGCAGTTTCTGGATAAGATTAAAGAAGAGATTGATGAGTTGGTACTTCAAACAGTTCGAGAAACAGTTGACAAAATAAGAGAACAGACAATTAATGAAAATCGGAATCCAACTCCTACTCCACCAATAGTTGAACCTGATGCAATTTTATCGGAGGCGGTTTCATTGAGACCACAAGCGATCCCATTACAAGCACCACGCCCTTCAAGAAGTATGTCTCCTGCAAGTGAATTATTACATCAGTCATTTGATAATATTATTAATCCAAGAGAGATTCTAATCAGAGACTCTAAGCGACAAGATAGTAATACGTCTATGAATTCGTCTATGTCATCCATTTCCATAAGCCGAACAAGAGAAAGTTTGGGTGAGAGAGGATCTTCAATTGCACATGTTCAACCAAGTCACCAATCACGAACTAATTCTAGAGAATTATTGGATGCCATTCACAATTTAGATTTTTCAAAGAGATCTTCCGAGAATAATTCATCCATTCCATCACCTAGACGACATCTTTCCCCTGCACCATACGTGGAAAAACAGAATCTCACATCATTACAAAGAAATACTGCAACTGCTAGATTTACTCCTCTTACATCTCCAGCAACTCCTCATGACGACATAGATAATAAGAAAATTATTCACTTGTCATTATCTACCTCACTACAACCCTCCACGAGCATGAAAGGTCTTAGTAAACAACAACCACCATTATCGCCATTGTTGGTCTCAGCTACTCCTCAAACTAGATCCAGTACCGGTGGAGTCCGTGATTATGAAATTATTAAACCAATAAGTAAAGGAGCTTTCGGTTCAGTATTTTTAGCGAGAAGAAAATTAACCGGAGATTATGTGGCCATTAAATGTTTACGTAAACGAGATATGATTGCCAAGAATCAAGTACTTAATGTGAAATCAGAGAGAGCTGTAATGATGAGACAAACAGATTCACCATATGTTGCACAATTGTATTCAAGTTTTCAATCTAAAGATTATCTTTATTTAGTTATGGAATATTTAAATGGAGGTGATTGTGCAAACCTATTAAAGACATTGGGTGTGATTGGATTAGAATGGACACCGAGATATATTGCAGAAATAATTGTTGGTGTTGACGATTTACATAAACGTGGTATTATTCATCGTGATTTGAAACCAGACAATATTTTAATTGACAAAAATGGACATTTGAAATTAACTGATTTTGGATTATCCAGATTAGGTGTTGTTGGTAGACAATCAACACACCGAAAAAGTAGTTCTAATGAACATGGAATTGAATTATTTAAAAGTGGTTTGACTCAGAATTTTGATCCGGCATTGCAAGAATTTCATCATAAACGAACTCATTCGGGAACCCCATTTACATTATCTCCGACAATGGAACATTCAAAACTAAATCCACAAGTACAAGCATTACAACAACCATATCCACCACCATTGCAGCATCATTTGACATCTCCTGCATTATCATTTTTGGAACAATTTGGTAATTCGCCAGTTACTCCATCACTGCTGCTGACTACAAATTCACAAACTACGTTTCCTCAAACCCCACAATATAATGCACCTCCATTACTTCATCACCGTTCAGCTTCATTTTTTAAAGGTGGTGCTAGATCAAATTCTGGTGGATTGGAATCTCCATTACTCCGTCCAATTATTCCTCGTACTGCTTCCGAATCTTCATTTGCATTATTTGATGATGAATATAATCAACAAGGGTCAATGCTGGCTGCATCCAATCAAGGAGTGAATTATGCGTTATATGATCCAAAGACAGAGACCGAAATTAAGCATTTTGTAGGTACACCGGACTATTTAGCTCCAGAAACCATTGAAGGTGTTGGACAAAGTGAATCTTCAGATTGGTGGTCAATTGGATGTATGTTATTTGAATTTTTGTTTGGATATCCCCCTTTCCATGCTGATAGCCCCGAGAAGGTGTTTCACAATATTCTTGAATGCAAAATTGATTGGCCTGATCTACCTCCAGAAGAATGGGATAGTTTCTGTACTCCAGAAGCTAAAGATTTAATTGAAAAGTTGTTGACACTCGCACCAGAAGAACGATTGGGATTTCATGGAGCTAGTGAAATAATGAGTCATCCTTATTTTGCAGAAATTGATTGGGATAATTTATTTGAAGAGAAGGCACCGTTTATACCAATGTTAGATGATCCTGAACTGACTGATTATTTTGATTCAAGAGGTGCTGATGTGATACAATTCCCAAGAGATGAAAGTGATGATTCTGATGAAGAACATACAGTAGGTGCTGGTGGTCAGAACCTTGTTAGTGAAAGTTTACGAAATAGTTTGACGAATGCTAGTAGTGATTCTCCAGGAAGTAGTGGATCTTCATCATTACCTGGTTCTGCCAATGTTTCGGGTATTGCAGGTTCTGGAAAACGAGAAAGGCGTGGCAGTAGGTTGGTAGACCCTGGTGAGTTTGGTTCATTTAGATTTAGAAATTTATCAGTATTGGAAAAGCAAAACAAGGATGTTATTAATAGGTTGAAATCTGAACATTTAGAGCATAGAAGTAGCTTTTCGTCAAGTTCTTCAGATTCCACACCAATTTTAAGGTCGCCAGGAAATTCGTTTAGTGGTCCAATGGGAGGTCCCAGCTCAAGTGCAAATACGGTTAATAGTGGTATTAGTCCGTTTAAGCGATCTAGCTCTCCTCTGAATATCGCCCCACGTTCTAGTCTGTTGGAATCGCCAGGGATTGGTACAGTGGCTCCTCCCGTTCATACTGTGAGCAGTGTTATGTCGGCATCTCCACATCGATTATTTGAATCTCCAATTGTCTCGAAGCATGAAAGAGTACCCTCGGCAGTGAGTACTTATTCCAGTGGTGATGAAATTATTTTTAATGAAGAAAAGCAAAGAACAGGTAGTCTTGCTCTTGCAAGAAATTCTGCCTTATTAAAAGACTTTACACCCATGTCATCCGATACAGAAGAAAAGCCCAGTAGGTTTGTTAGAAGACGGGCCAGTTCAAGGAGCGACGCTATTAGCCTTTCAAATGAATTGAATGTTCTTTATTGTGAACCAATCTCGGTGGTGCGGCACTCGGTGGTTAAATTGTTAGAAAAAGCGGGATGTGTTGTTGTTACTGTTACTGATGGAGAAGATTTAGTGAAGCGGGCGACAAGTAGAGTTAAATTTGATATTATTTTTACTGCCTTGAAATTATCCAAGGTTGAAGCAATTGATGCTGTCAAGTTGATTAAATTTACAACAAGTACTAATTCTACTACTCCTATTGTGGCGGTTACTGGTTTTCCTGACAAAGCAAAGAGTTCTGGAGTATTTGATGAAATTATTTGTAAACCGGTGGAATTTCCAGAAGTTCAGAAATGTATTACAAAGTTAAGTGAGGCCGCGATAGATGAGTAAAAGGGTTTCCTCTTTTAGTTTATTTAATGTATATGTAATAAATGGAATACTTATCGTTACTTGACTTTCTTTAATTGTAGTGTAACTATCTGATAGATATTCTTGCAGTTAATCTCATTGATCCATTGTGGATGCAAATGTGTGGGCGTGGGTGTGGCAATTATTTCCTGTATATAGATAGTTTGCTAAACTTTATCTTTCCAGTTGTAAACTGGAGTTTTTCACACACCTTCTTTTTTTTGGTTTGATTTGAGAATCGTTTCAATTCTTTCTTCTTTTTAACAACCCATAAACTAAACAGACAACAACACCATGGTTTCCGCAGAATTCACAGAAAAGGTATGTTACTGAAGTAATTCATTGTAAGAATTGACATCTAGTACTAACAATTTTGTTTCTGTCTAGGCTGACGCCGTCTCCAACTTAACTACCAGACCAAATGACGACGAATTATTAAAGTTATACGGTTTATACAAGCAAGCTACTGTCGGTGACAACACCACTGAACAACCAGGTGTTTTCAACTTCAAGGCTAAGTACAAATGGCAAGCTTGGAAGGATTTAGAAGGTACTTCTCAAGAAGAAGCTGAGCAAAAGTACATTGAGTACGCCACCGAATTAATCGCTAAATATAATTAGATAGAGTTTTCTACATATTATTTAGAAATATACATTTATATGAGAGTTTAAGAAATATGTAAAATGGGATTCCCTATTGGTTTTGGCAGAGTAGCAGCGGCGTTCTAGCTTAAGCCACGATCCATTGATGATCTATTTGAAAATTTGGCTACTCTAGGTTCTTGATATTGGTTCTCTTTTTCCAATTCTGTGGGAATCAAATATTCCAATTGAGTTGGTAATCCAGACATATGACCTAAATTGACCGTTTCATCTTGTTGGACCTCGGACCAAACTTACTACCCAGTTAGGAAATTTTCCTTTTGGTGAAACCTATGCCGCACCAACCTATACCACAAGATGAAAATTAAAAACTGACCGTTGCTATACGAAGGGTAAGTTTTCAATAGGTATGCTAAGTAATAAAATTAGATATAGTTTCGATCTTAACTTATTACATATGAGACGATTATCATACGATTTCGTTTTTTTATATAAGATACGATTTCATTTTTTATATAAGTTTCAAATAATTTAATTGGCTGTAAAAATTTATGCAACATTTCGTCAAATTTCTACAATAAAATGTTCTCACTACAAATTTACACAATTAGTCTCTAAATTATTAATTACCTTTTATTAAGTTTCTTACGCATGTACATAATATCTAAGCTTCTATCAAATAAGAAATGTTTATATTAATCCTATCCCTCTTAAATAATCACAATTAGGCATTGGCATATTTTCAGCCTGTTTTAATTTTTCTTCATTTGTCCAAAACCATCCCTGGGCATCTTCCATTAATTCATTTTTATGGATTTGTTCACGAGAACATTTGGATCGTTTATCTTGAACATATATACTTTCAACTTTATCGACAAAGTTCTTCATTTGCTTTGGGGATTTGTTGGCAAATTTTTCATCGAATTTATTATTAACATAATAAGGAATTGAATATTTTGGTGTTCTTCGTTCAATATTATATTTATAAGATGGAGCAAATGAGTATTCTGGATTAGACAGTTCACTACCAAATAATGCAGACAAAATAGGAATAATTAAAATGAATAACAACGGTAACAATGCCCGAAGTTGATCAGATAAGGAGGATTCAGACTGTTGAGCAGTATTATCCTGTGATTGACCTTCTCTTGGTCTATGATGCGTTCTTCTGTGTCTCATAAATGGAGGTTCTCCCCCTCCAAATGTTTGAAATGTGAATCCATTATTTCCAAATCCAAATGATTGCCCTCCAAATGGACTATTACCACCTCCAAAGAACATGTTGAATATATCATCATCAAACGGTACTCCACCTCTTGCTCCTCCACCGTTAAACATAGGGTGTGTGCCACTAGAAAATCCTGATGTGCCCCCAGCGGATGGGGTAAATCTTGAATCAGGATCAGCACCAGTTTGATCGAATATTCTTTTCTTATCAGGATCACTTAAAACACCCCAAGCTTTATTTATAAACTTGAAAGCTTCACTAGCTCTAGGATGCGAGTTTTTATCAGGATGACATTTTATAGCTAATTTTCTATATGATTTTTTAATTTCATTTTCATCTGCAGTTTTTGTAACTGAAAGTATTTCATAAAATTGATTTGGTTTATATGAAAGAACTTTTAATACTATTGATTCCTGTTCTTTTGTATATGACATCCTTATTTGATTGGGGGTTGATGTGGGATGAGAATATGTCTTATTACAAAAGAGAATGAATCAATGTTCCGGTGTGTGTCCTCTCTCCAATCTTTTTGAGAAACTCAACAAACTAAAAAAAAATACGAATGGGCCAAAAAAATTGAGAAAAATTTCTTTTCATTTCTAGAACGACAAAACTACACGACCGACAATTTTTCATTGATAACAGGTTTCATCACTTATCACTACTTATTGACCAATGGGTGTATGAACAAGCTTGGAGTGGTATGTTTTCGTAGAAGTATTGATGTAGATTATGAGTATTGAAAGATATACAGCTCACAATTGTTAATCAGAAAATTAATAATAATCATTATATTTCGATTGATTATTCATCTATATCTTACCATGTAAAATGTTGGATTGAATCAATTGAAGCAAAGATATGTTTAAAATTTATTCTGTCAATTTTAATTATGATTCATATTTTTTTCTTAATTACAAGTGTATGTAATAGAAATTTCATTTTATATATAAAATTTCAATTCAGATCAAGAAATCAGACCACTTCTATTCTTTTTTCTTCTTCTAGTAGTCAACCAATTGATAAAGAGATGGAACCACCAATTATTAAATCATTATTGGATACCGATTTGTATAAATTGTTTATGCATGCAGCTGTTCATAAACACTTTAAAGATATCCCAGTAATTTATAAATATACCAATAGGACAATTGATTTAAAATTAAATGAATCAGCAATTGAATGGGTTAAACAACAAATTGATTCATTATCAGAATTGAAATTCACCCAAGAAGAAATTCAATATTTAGGTAAAACATTACCTCAATTACCAAAAGAATATCTTGAATATTTGAAAACGTTCCAATTGAAACCAAAGGAACAAATTAAGTATCTTGAAGAGGATGATGATTTCAAGTTGGAAATATCTGGACCTTGGAGCGATACAATTCTTTATGAAATTCCATTATTAGCAATTATTTCAGAAGGGTATTTTAAGTTCGTTGATACCAATTGGAATTATGATGGTCAAGAAGAAAAAGCCGAACATAAAATCCAGCAATTGATTAAGAATAAATGCAATTTCTGTGAATTTGGAACTAGAAGAAGAAGATCGGTGAAATCGCAAGAAATTGTTATTCAACAAATGAGAAAACACCTCGATGCACATCCTGAAGATAAAGGTTATATTGCTGGAACTTCGAATGTCTATTTTGCTATGAAATATTCATTTGCACCAATTGGAACTGTAGCACATGAATGGTATATGGGAATTGCATCCATAACTCAAAATTATAAAGAAGCAAATAAAATAGCTATGGACTATTGGATAGACACGTTTGGTGACAAACATGCCGGTTTAGCATTGACTGATACTTTTGGTACTGACAATTATTTAACTTGGTTATATCCCCCATATTCTGATGCTTATGCTGGGGTTAGACAAGATTCAGGTGATCCAGAATTATTTACTGAAAAGATTGCCAATCATTATTTTAATGTTTTACAATTACCTAAATTCTCAAAAATTATCTGCTTTAGTGATTCATTAAATATTGAAAAATGTTTGAAATATAAAACTAAATCTGATGAATTAGGATTATTGAGTACATTTGGTATTGGAACATTCTTCACTAATGACTTTATTGATACAAAAACAGGCAAGAAATCTCCTCCATTGAATATAGTGATTAAATTAAGAGAAGCAAATGGTCAGTTTGCCATAAAGATAAGTGATAATATTGGGAAGAACATGGGAGATAAGGCAACTGTTGAAAGAGTAAAACGTGAGTTAGGTTATACTGAAAAGCAATGGAGTGAAGGAGACGAAACCCATAGATGGACATAAGATACTTGGGCTCTATATATAATTAATTTTGAGTAACTATATAATAGACATTATTTTAATCTTGTAAGTTACCCTCAATGTTAGTTTATAGTTTGTATGTAAATGGCTGCTAAAATATGGGGGAGGTCGTGTAAAATGTTTCAATTTATTCAGATGACTCCCGTTCGCCTGAGTGGTTGTAAAAAAAAATCATTCCATTAAAAAGGAGATTAAACCTAAATTGAAAACACAATTGAACTTCAAAACTAAACAAAACTCCATAAGTCAATTGTTATTGAAAGTTTGTCTTTCAGTGTAATAGTTTAATATTGAGTTGATTAGTGCGTGTGGAAAACATTAGGCTTTTAACACAAAGAGATATATCAAAGATTCTTCCTCCTTCGTTCCACCCTCATCTCAATTTATCCTTAGCACTTTTTCAACATGGATTTATCATATGAAAACCTCTTCACTATTTTGACTTTAGCAAGTGGATCAGAAAGAAATGTTGAACAACAGAATGCAGAGGCGCAATTGAAGAAATGGGAAGTGGTACCTGGTTATCATTATTTACTTCAAGAAGTCTATTTGAATCACGAGATCCCTTTACAAATTAGATGGCTAGCTATCATATGTTTCAAAAATGGAATAGATAAATATTGGAGAGCAACTAGACAGTACTCAATTAATAAACAAGAAAAATCCCAAATTACAAGTAGAGTTATGCAATTGGTTAATGAACAGAACAATCAATTAATGATACAGAATGCCAATGCCATTGCTAAAATTGCAAGATATGACTTCCCCCATGATTGGCCTAATCTCTTTGATGATATAACCAAGAATCTTGAAGATTTTGTATTTAAGCAGAATGATATTGTCAGTACCAATAACTGCTTAATAATTCTAAATCGTGTCATCAAGACAATTACCATGGTTAGAATTGGTAGGGCAAGGCATGCAATGCAAAGTAAAGCCCCTATAATAACCTCAATTTTGATTAAATTATATCAGAAATTTTTCCAATTGTGGACCACAAACTTGGACTTGACAATAATGGAAGTTTGTTATCTTTGTCTCAAGAATTTAAGAAGAATTATACCTGAAGGATTTGATCAGCCCCACAAGAATCAAGATGTTTGCGAATTCTTAAATTCTACGATTGACCATTTGCAATCATTGGTTAGCGAGCATGATAAGTACTCTTCCGATTTGTTGGAAAGATATGTCAAATGTTACAGTAAGTTGTATGTTGCATTAATTAATTGCAACCCAACCAGTTTTGTTTTAATGCCATGTTCTCAAAAGATCCTAACCACTTTTCTTTCATTATTGGAAGAAAAGGCAGAGCTTGTTTATAATAGTAATGAAGAAAATGACTTTTGGGAAATTCTCGCATTAAAAGCATTTAGTATCTTGAAAAAGACTATGGCATATGTTTATAAGAAAGGTGCTGTGACTTTGAAACAAAGAAACGATAAGTTAGAGGTTGCGAATGCTATAAATAAATTGTCCGTGGATGTTTTCACAGCTGATTTAATTCAAAAGTTATGTGACTTGATCATTAATTGGTACCTTAGATTGAAACCCTCCGATTTAGAAGGGTGGTCTTTAGAACCAGAAGAATGGTGTACAGAAGAGTTATCAACGAGTTGGGAGTATCAAATTAGACCATGTGCAGAAAATTTCTATCAAGATTTGATAAAATATTTCCAAGACATCTTAGCTGGATTTGTATTGAACAAGATTTCTTCAGGCTTAATGGAAAATGAATCTGTTGATAGAATTTTAATCAAAGACTCTATACTTTGTACCTTTCAATTATCATCTGGTACAATAGCTAATAATGTCAATTTTGATACCCTTTTGCAAGAAGTTTTTATTCCAGAAGGATTGAAAAATGATTTATTGGAGAATAAGATTTTAAAGAGAAGAATTTGTTTAATTATAGGTGAATGGGTTGGAGTACAATGTAATCGAGAGCTGAGAGTTTCAATTTATAAATTGTTACTTAATTTCTTGCTGCCAAATAATCCCATAAACGATAAAGTAGTTAAGATCGCTGCAATCCAAACTTTGAGAACCGTGGTTAATGATTGGGATTTCAGCAAGAATGATTTCCAACCATTTTTGAATGAGTTTGTTAAATTATTACTTGACTTGTTAAATGAAATGAGATTAATTGAATCAAAGTTGTATATATTCAACACTTTGGCTGTGTTAATTGAGAAATGTAACCCATTGGTTGATTATCAAACATTAATTGATATCTTACAGATTGTTCCAAAGTATTGGGAGTTGAGTACAAGTGATAATCAACCAATTATCAAAAGTTCATTATTAAGAGTATTGAAGAGTTTAACCATTTCATTAAATGAAAATTCTCCCGAAACACATTCCATTTCACTTCCTTTAATCCAGAATTGTTGTTTGCATAGTTCAGATGTGTATATGTTGTTATCGGAAGATGGTTACGATTTGTGGTTAGAATTATTGAAGTATTGTCCTCAAAGTCGTTTAAACAATCCAGAAATCATCAAATTGTTTGAAATGATTCCTCATGGTTTGCGAGACTCTACCGAAATTTTGCCAACCATTCTCTCAATAGTCAGAAGTTATTCATTGTATGCACCAGAGTTATTCAGACAAGAAGTTGTTACCGTGGAAGCATTTAAAGTACTCGGAGAATATCTTGATAAGATGAGAGATGATTCATATATGATTTTCATTTCTTTGATGGATATTTTATTAATTGAGAATAACGATCTGAATGAATCCTTTATAAATGGTCTAGTCAATAGTGGGTTGATGTTGAGCATGATAAATTATGTCATAAATGATAATCAAAGTCCAATATTGGCAGCCAAAATGTATTTATTGTTTTCAAGATTAAGCAAGAATTCTCCAGAATTATTCTTGAAGATGTTAGATATTGCATCTGTTGATTCAATTAAGTTCTTTAAGAATTGGATACAATTCTACAACCACAATGGTAATCCACGTAACAAGAAGATCAATTTGCTAGGATTAATCTCGATTGTCACTTATGGTATACCTAAGAATATTCCAGTATTACTAGAATTATTCCCTGACGTGATCAAAAAGACATTTTACTTCCTTGAAGAGATTAACGAAGATCAACAGGGTTCATGTGAAGGCTATAATTCGAATTTGCTCTATGAAGATATTGACGATTACTCATATTTAGATCCCGATATCAAACCTCATGGTGAAAAGATAAGATATCATTTATTGTTACAAGAACGTGATCCAATTTATACAACCAATCTCATTCAATTTTTAAGAAACAATTTTATAAATTTAAAGACTCAATTACAAGATTCTGATTTCAATCAAATCATATTGGCATTGAATAATGATTCTTACACTTTAGAAAGATTAAAAGCATTAAGTTAGGATTGAAATTATATAACTGATTTTTTTTTTTGGATATTCTTATATTTCATATACATAAGTTAAAATGTACATTAATTGACTGAATATAACTCTAGTTCTTCTCTATAAGTCATATTGAACTCCTTGGATTGGAGTTCTTGAATTGATTTGGTGGTCCATATGGGTTTGGCTTATATGCACACCATTTGTCTCCCAGGTTCTGTTGAAATTTTTCAAATTTATGGTGGCGATTCACAACTGAGAAAAAGAATCTCATCAATTCCACTTGATATCCCTCCCCCATCAATTGACAATTATACAACATGTTTAGAAATAACTACGACAACGATTCAGTCACATATTCGCCTACAGGACGATTATTTCAAGTGGAATATGCATTAGAAGCAATTAAGCAAGGTAGTGCTGCAGTTGGATTGGTGTCCAAATCTCACGTAGTTTTAGTTGCATTAAAACGTAATGCTGAAGAATTAGGTTCATATCAAAAGAAGATTATTAAGATTGACGATCACATGGGTATTGCATTAGCTGGATTGGCACCAGATGCAAGAGTATTATCCAATTATTTAAGAAAACAAGCAATGACAAGTAAAATGATTTTCAATAAACCAATTCAAACATATAAAGCAGTGTTATCAATTGCTGATAAAGCTCAAGAAAACACCCAATCTTATGGTAGTAGACCATATGGTGTTGGATTGTTGATTGCTGGTTATGATGAAACTGGTGCTCATCTATTTGAATTTCAACCTTCTGGAAGTGTATTGGAATACTTTGGAACTGCCATTGGTGCAAGATCTCAAGCTGCCAGAACTTATTTGGAAAGAAATTTAGATAAAATACGTCAATGTGAAACTGTGGAAGAATCGATTGTTCATGGATTAAATGCATTAAGAGATACTTTGTCTCAAGATGTTGAATTGACTTTCAAAAATACCTCAGTGAGTATAGTTGGTAAAGATCAAGATTTCATCTCCTACGATGATGAAGATGTACAACAATGGCTAGACAAGCTTGATTCCGTATCAAATGCCAGAAATAGAGGTGACGATGATGAAGAGGAAGAAGCTGAAGCTCCCGAAGCCACTGAGGCGGGAGCTGATGAACAAGGGGACGTCGCGCCTTCCGAAGATAGGATGGATACTGACGAATAGAGTAGAAGTTATGTATAATCAGAATGAGTTCAATAATACAAAAAAGTGTTTACAAATACCTATTTACATGTAAGATTGATTTATCTATTAACTTACTCTTTTTCGTTACTCATTTGTTGTTGTTTAGCAGCGACTTTCTTGATTGCCTCCATGCATTCTTGTTGCATTTTATTCACTTTTTCATTAAGTTTTGTTGGGTCGTGCAATTCTTTATTATCTCTAATATCACTAATCATTTTCTTGATCCCTGATATCTGCTGCCTGATTGATTCCTTTTCAGATTCTTCCATTAATTTGCCAAATTGCAAAATTGCCACTTCTGTATCAGTACATAAAATTTCAGCTCTTGAAGCATGCTCGAAGTATTTCCTAAGTTCAACATCTGAATCTTTGTTCTTATTACTTTCGTCGATCATCTTCTGTACCTCTTCGTCAGTTAAACCAACTTCAGTTAACAGAATTGATACTGTGTTTGGCTTACCATAATGTTCCAGATCTTCTGGATATGGAGTTCTATCAGCTGCAGTAACATTTATAATACCATCTGCATCAATTTCGAATACAACTGCGATTTGTGGGGTTCCTTTTGGACCTTGAGGGATATTTGACAATTTAAAGTTACCAATCAATTTGTTATCTTTGACTAAAGTTCTTTCACCTTGATATACTCGAATTTCCACTCCTGTCTGTCCATCTACTGCAGTTGAGAACATTTGTTGTTTTTTGATAGGGACGGCGGAATTTCTTGGGATTAATGGACTGAATATGCCTCCATATGTCTCAATACCTAAAGATAATGGAGTTACATCTAATAATACAACATTCTTTACTTGGCCGGCTAATACAGCTCCTTGGATAGCTGCTCCTAATGCTACGGCTTCATCGGGATTAACTGCGGTACTTGGCTTTTTACCAAATAAATCTTCAACGACTTTTCTTATTTTAGGCATTCTGGTCATTCCTCCAACTAACAATACTTGATCTATATCTTTAATTTTTAATTCGGCGTCTCTGATACACTTCTTGACTGGTTCAATTGTTTTCTCAATCAATGGCAATGTCATTGCATCTAATTCTTCTTCTGTTAACTTCATTTTAATATGGCTATGCTCATGAATAAATGGAAGATTGATTTCAGTTTCACTAACGGTACTCAATTCTATTTTGGCTTTTTCTGCAGCTTCTCTAATTCTTTGTACTGCTAATCTTTCATTCAGTATATCAATGCCTGTTTTAGATTTAAAATGATTCAAAATATGATTTACTAATACAATATCAAAATCTTCTCCACCTAAATGAGTATTCCCATTAGTGGCTCTAACTTCAAATACACCTTCCTCAATATCTAAAATTGAAATATCAAATGTTCCTCCTCCAAAATCAAATACGGCAATTATTCCACTTCCATCTTTTTGTGTTCTATCACATCCATAAGCCAATGCAGCGGCAGTGGGTTCATTTATAACTCGCAAAACATTCAATCCAACCAGCTTCGCTGAATTCTTTGTTGCTTGACGTTGCGAATCATTGAAATAAGCTGGAACTGTGACAACCGCATGATTAATTTCATGTTCTAATTGCGCTTCTGCAACATGTTTCATTTTTTGAAGTATTATTCCACCTATATCAGATGGAGTATATACTTGACCCAGAGTTGTTTCTAATACTGCATCTCCAACATTGTTTGGAATAATCTTATATGGGACATTGTTTAAATCTTGTTGAACTTCTTGATCAAGAAACTTCCTACCAATTAATCTCTTTGTTGCAAAAAAAGTATTCTCAGGATTTATGATCGATTGTCTTTTTGCGGGTAACCCAACTAGTGTTTGCTCATCTGTAGTGAATGCTACAATTGAAGGTGTTGTTCTTCTTCCTTCTTCATTTTCTAAAATTGTTGGTTGCTTAGTAAGATTATTCATGACTGCAACTGCTGAATTAGTAGTTCCAAGGTCAATTCCAATGACAGTGTGCTTGAACCGTGAGAAGCTCTTTGGTGTGACTATTCTCCTTAACATCTTATGGAAGTTCTTACAGTTACAATTGCTTCTTTCTTCTTCTATTAAAAAATGGCTATAAAAAGAGAGAGCTAAAAAATGGAGATCCTTTTTTTTTCTTTGGCTCTTTGATGCTTAATAATCAAAAGTATGGAGAGATTGCGAAATCTAAGGAACGAATCTTAAGTTATCATCAGAATCAAAGGAGATACCTTTGAAATAATATAATCCAAGAATATCTAATCCAATTAATTCAATAATTAATAACAATCTCTCATTAGTTAATTCATTTGTATTCAATTTTCGAATTGATGAAACTTTTTCTATGTCTCTTTTGATGGTTAGCAATCGATAATAATCATCACATTTGTTCAACACAATCCCAATTGAGTTTGTTCTTTTATTGACTACTATTGAGCCAACATTGAAGCTTTCTGCGCCATTACCACCATCACAATTATATCTCTTAAGCAGTGGATAAGATCCCGCAATTGTATCTATAGCAAGTGCTTTGAAAAGAGTTCTATAGATCAAATAATGGGAGTCGGAAAACAATTCTAACTGTCGATTTTCTTCTGGGTGCAAAATATCATAAATTACACTGTTTTGTAAGAAGTGGATGTGGTAGGTTTCGCTAGGTACAATTTTCTGATGATTTCCATCGGCTAGAAGGTCTTGATTTCTTTTTATCGAATCTTTATTAATGGTCATATACGATCTTAGTATATGTTTAATCAGTAATGGTTGGCAGTACTTCTCAATTTTCTCCGGGGATAAGTTATATGTTAATCGTATATGTCTTTTGAGTTCATAAGAGCTAAGAACCTCAATCTTAAAGCTCCGATGGGGTGCATTCAGTATAATTACTTGATAATCCTTATTAATCCTTATCCCAAATCTGGTAACTGCCATGTGGGATAGTGATACTTGATTTCCTCCTATATCAATTCGACATGATGCTAAGGCATCTCGAATTGCTTCCATAATGATTGAATATTTGATCATTTCGTCTCCTTTACAATAACCCAGATAAACTTTTAAAATATCGAAATCTTCAATATATGAATGTTCCGTTGAATGAATAGAATCAAATTTGAAAAAATGTAATACAGCAATAATTAATTTCACTATAAGATTAAGATAATCATTATTATTTTCAAATTCAAAATGTAATATCTGGTTTGATCTAATGGATTTATCCAGGAAGATCGATGTGAATGATTCGGTTGAAGATCTGAAATTCGGAGATTCAAGAGTTAACACTCTTCTTAGCTTTAATTGTAATTGTTTGAGATTTTTGTGCCTTCTAGTTACCATTCTATAACTTGACTTATTTAATAGACTTATATTAAACCAAATTGCTTCATATGAAGAAATAACTTTTGAATTCATAGATTTGATGATATTTTTATACCCAAGGCTGAAAGTTTGCATTTGAATAAGATTGGTTAATAAGGAAAGTTTCGTTATATCAATATAAGGCTCTTTCTTCTTGATGGCTGATTCATAGTTTTGTTGCTCTTTGTTTAGAAAGTGTAATAAAACAGGCAAGTAAACTTCATTCATTCCATAGTTCACAATGAAATTTTCAATAACTTCTCCCTCTTCTTGATCTGGATTATATCGCACAAGATCATTCTCAAACTTTAAGTATCTATGATAAAGATCTCTACAGAGATCATATGGTGACTTAGATTGTGGTGTTATTTTAAGACCATATGGAGCCATGGGTCTATTCCAAAAGATATCATAAATCTTGATCCAAAAGTAAACACTAAAGGAATTTCTTAATGATCTTTCTAATTGATATAAATTGAAAACATCTTTAATTGTTAAATCTCCAGTTTCTATTATATAAACTATTAAGTCAATTGGAAGTGAATCTATTAACATCTGGGTTGAAGATGGCTGCAGCTTTCTAGAACGACAACGANGGAAGTGAATCTATTAACATCTGGGTTGAAGATGGCTGCAGCTTTCTAGAACGACAACGATTTGTTTTCTGTCCAAGAAAAAGCTTAATTAGTACGGAAACTTTTTTTACGACGGTGACACAGTACGGGATCTACCCAATCTTATGGAAGGCAATAGTCAAAGCATTTAGGTGCAATTTTCATTGCAATAACGCTTGGATTGATGTAACAATGATGACTCTTTCTATCAATCTTTAGTTGTAGTTCAGATTGGTATATTCCAAAAGATGAATTTACTAGACCATTTTGCAAAGCTCTTTCTGCTGTTACAAATTCAATATATTAACACGATTATGTAGTTCCTACTTCAAGATAACTTCATTCATATTTCCTAATATAACTAGCAAGAATTTAGATTAATCCAGTGGATACTACTCAGTGTTAACTATATAGATTATCCTTTGCAAATATTAAAAAGGAAGGTGCTGATTGTAAGCTTCTAAAAGAAGAAGAAGATATTTTTGCAACCGATGGCTGTCAATTTTTTTCCTGCGATTCTGGCCAAAGGCTCATCGATTTTCATCCATTTCCTACACTTTCAATAACCAACCTATACAAGGACACTTTAAGTTAGATGGGTAAAAGAAGAGGTGGTTCATCCGATGGTGGTAATGCCAAGAAACGTTATAAGAAACCCACTAATGTTTTATTAGATCCTAATACATCTGGTATATATGCTACTTGTAATCGAAATAAAGAAAAAGCATGTAAACAAGAATTAATGTTATATTTACAAGATAAAATAGAGGAATTATACAAAGTCAGCGAGTTAGAAGATGAAGAAGATGAAGATGAGCTGTCAGTAAAAGAAGAACTTTCTATTGAAGATAAACTTCAACAAGAACTTAATGAGATGAAAGAATCTAGCAAAAATAAAACAAATTTATTAACTCCAATAGATATTGATTGTGAATGTTTAGTTTTCATTAAAACTAAAAAACCAATAGATCCAGAAGAATTAGTTGAAAAAGTATGTGAAGAAAGTTATGAATCTACAGTTAAAAGAACAAGATATACTCAAAAGTTATCACCAGTTATGGATTCATGTAGTGCATCAAAAGAAGAATTACAAAATTTAACTCGTCGAGTTTTAGCCAGACATTTTCATCAACTGGAAGATCAAAAACCAATTAAATTTGCCATTAATATTAATAAAAGGAATTTTAATACTTTGAATAAAGATCAAATGATTAAAGCAATTGCTGAATGTGTTGGGAATGAACATGGACATAAAGTTGATTTGAAGGATTATGATAAATTAATTCTTGTTGAATGTTTTAAGAATAATATTGGAATGAGTGTTGTTAATAATTATCAAAAATATAATAAATATAATTTACAACAAATCTATGAAAAGAAGGAAGTTTAACCTGACAATTTGTAAATAAATTCTATTGGTTCTTTCCAAGCTAACCAATCAGATTCATTATGAGGAATTAGATTTAATTTATATAATTTATAAATTCCAATTAATAAATTTAATAATTGTAATAAAATAAATGCAATTTTACCCATTAAGATTTCATTTGAATTTGATTTATCTGATAATTTAATAAACATTTTATTAGTTTCATTAAAGATTGATTTAATTGGATTAGTTATTAACATTATAATCATTGTAATTGATATTATTTGTAATGAATTACCCATCATATAACTCATAATTAAATTCATGGGGATTGATTTAGCAGGAGATATGGCTAATTCCCATATCTTCTTTGATTTCAATGCATCTAATTCTTCTTGTTGTTGTTGTTGTCTTTGTTTGTCAGCTGATGATGTAGTCTTGGTGGTTGTAGTGTTACTGGCTATGTCAAATCCTGGTGGTGATTGAATTGAATCTTTTGGTCTATTTGCAATCCTTGGTGTTATAATTTCTATTAAATCTTCTTGATTGATTGACATTGTGAAATTCTAAACGTATATAAATATATATTGTATGCTAATTAAATAAACCTCCTTTGGTTTAATGGGATTATTAAAAATGTTAATTAAAAATTGGTTGTAACTGTTCAATATGAAAGAGAAACCAAGGGAGGAAAAAAATCAATTGCTCGAGATTTAATTACTTAATTAACTAATTGCCTTTGGATTTATTAACAAGTGATTTCTTATTAAAGAAAAAAGAACCAATTAAAACAAACGGATACAGAACATTCTAAGTTGCATTTGGGGGAACATACACTATAACAAAAGCAAATCAAATCAAGGGGTACCAGTAATAATTACACATTGAATAGAAAAAGACAAGTTAGATAATTCATAAAGGAGTATAGATCATCATTTGACATTAGATATACACAAACTAATAAGTAATAAGAAAGTATGAATTCAACTCAATCATTTAATAATAATCCTTTAAATAAAATCATTGGATTATCAATCATTTTATCAATGGGGTTTTTATTAGTTATATTAGCTACAATATATGGTAATTGGTTTCCAATAATAATTGGGATAATATTCTTATTTGCTCATTTACCAATTATAATTACTAAATCAATTGTTAATTCTTCTGATTATGAATTTAATTTTGATCCAAATTCAAATAATCAAACAAATGTTGTTATTGAAGTTGGTAAATTCTTATCATCATTCTTAATTGTTAGTGGAATATATTTACCAATCTTATTACATCATTCATTAATTTTAAATCAATTTGCTATGATATTAACAATAATTGGTGGATGTTTAATTTATGGTACTGTTTATACGTTTAGTTCATATTTTGATGAATCAGAAGATCAAGATGAATTGGCTGATTTAGGAGGAGGTGTCATTTAGAAAGAGGGATTACGCACAACGATCAGCCCCACTAGATAGTACAACACATGTCAATAACACGACGATCCATATTTGTATAATAATAATAATATTAAGTATTCAGAATAACGAAATTCGAGGGATGAGTCCCCTTCTCTCTTTCGATATTGAAATTCAGAATATTGGATTAAGTATGTCCATCAATTTGTCTTCTATAATTGAAGGTTCTCTCCCTGGTTTTGCCCTGCCCAGCGATATTGAGATTTGGCTGTGGATGAATAGCTGGCTCGACGTCAGGGGAAAAAAATAATAAACTCCATCAAAACATTCAAGTTTTTCAACTCTTCTCTTCTATCGGAATCCATTAGTGATTATTACACTAGCAAAACCAGAAAATGCCACTGTCCATGACAACCACATCTTCTTCCTCTTTATCAAATGAGTATTCTAAAGCTCAAAAAGAAATAGTTGAAGAACATCAGTTACAAGAGAAAATTACCAATGAAGAATTTAAAATTTGGAAAAAAACAGTACCATTATTATATGATATTATTCATACATATTCATTTGAAAATCCATCTTTAATATTTCAATGGATTCCAGGTTATACTACTGATTCTAGTAATCAACATATAAATATCAAATGTTTATATGGTACTAATTCCCTTGATAAGAATCAAAATTATTTAAAAATTGGAAGCATTAATTTACCAAGTACTTTAAGTCCAACATATCAAGGTTCATCAGGACTCGCAGTACCTAATGTAGATGATATTAATGAAGATTCGGGAGATTTCAAAACTTTAGCTACTTGGAAACAATCCTCGGAAATCAATAAACTTAAAGTATCACCAAATGGGCAGTTTGCAATTGGTTTTAATGCAGATGGAATCATTCGTGGATATAATTTATCAAACAATGATATTATTGATTATAAATATCATAAACAAGAAGGGTATGCTCTTGAATGGTTTCCTAATAATACCAGTTTCTTATCTGGAGCAACTGATTCACAAATTGCTTTATGGAATATTGATAAACCAAGTACTCCAATACAATTATTTAAATCTCATAGAGGAGCCATCAATGATCTTTCATCAATCCCAGGACAACCCCAACCATCCCTTTTTGGTTCTGTGAGTGACGACTCAACTACACAATTTCATGATATTAGAATTGCAACTACTACTCAAGGTATTAATCCAGCTATAACTGTTGAAAATTCCCATATTCAAAATTGTATTAGTTTCCATCCTGATATTGATACTTTATATGCAACTGGAGGGAAAGATAATGTTGTCAGTTTGTATGATATTAGAAATTATAAAACTCCATTTAGAAAATTCTTTGGTCATAATGGTACAATTACCAATATTAAATGGGATATTCATAATCCAAAATATTTAATTTCTACTGCATTAGATAAAAGATTGATAGTTTGGGATTTAAATCATTTAGATCATGATTTTACATATCCTGGTGCTGATAATATTGATTCAAGTTCAAAACGTAAAACTCAACAACAACAACAGCAACCACAAGTTGATCCATGTTTGAGATTTGTTCATGGTGGACATACCCAAAGAATAGGTGATTTTGATGTTCATCCAGATATAAAGAATTTGTTTGGAACTGTAGGTGATGATAATTTATTGGAAGTTTGGAAACCAAAGACATTACCTGTTGAAGAGGAAGAAGAAGAAGAAGAGGATGAGGAACATGAGGCAGAACGTCCACAAGAGGAGGACTCAACAAAGAACGACGAAGAAACTAAGAATGAAAATGATGATACTGAAATGAAAGATGTTGATACATCAAAAGAAGATTTAGATGAAGAATCTAAACCATCAAAAGATGTAGAAATGAAAGATTGATCGTTGAAGTAGCTATAGAAATGCTGTATAAATATTACTTCCCAATTAGGAAATCATCGGAACTTTTTTTTCTGACTTCGAGCGCATTGACAATCTGTAGATTTATTGGACATATTTCTTTATCTCTCTTCGTAGACGCGTTTCTTACAGTAATAAGTATAAAGATATGACTATTGAGACTGTTTGGAAGAAGTTTCCTATAAGAGAAACAGAACTTAGTCTAAGTAAAGTATTAAGATGTGGACAAACATTTAGATGGAAGAATATTAATAATATTTGGTCATTCACTACCAATGATAGAATCATTCTTTTGAAACAAGATCCAGATCATATCCATTATTCTCATATAATGAGAGAAGGGACCACAGGTTCTGATTCTGAAACCTTTGAATTCATAAATGATTATTTCACATTACCAATTAATCTCTCACAATTATATACTCATTGGAAATTTCAACATGAAAAATTTAAAACCCCAACTAAAATATCTCCATTTGATACATTTACGGGGATAAGAATATTAAGACAAGATCCTTGGGAATGTTTAATTTCATTCATTTGTTCATCTAACAATAACGTTAAAAGAATATCTCAAATGTGTGATAAATTATGTGTCAACTTTGGAAAATATATAAACACATATCAGGATCACGAGTATTATTCATTTCCATCTCCAAAAGAATTATCTGCCCTTGATGTGGAATCAAAATTACGTGAATTAGGATTCGGTTATCGAGCAAAATATATTCATAAAACCGCACTTCAATTCGTAAATGATCCCAATATTACATTGGATAAATTAATGGAATTACGTGAATCCGATCATCAAACTGCACATGATTTCTTGTTACAATTAACTGGTGTGGGGCCCAAAGTTGCAGATTGTATTTGTCTAATGTCTTTGGATAAACATGACACCGTACCCATCGATACCCATGTTTATCAAATTGCAATTCGAGATTATAAATTCAAAGGAAAGAAAGATATGAAAACTTTAAATAAGACAACTTATGTCGCTATTAGAGAATTTTTCAAAGATATATTTGGTGATTATGCTGGTTGGGCACAATCGGTTTTATTTGCCGCTGATTTGGCTGATCTTAATAATGGTACAAATATAAAAGTGGAAGACGAGATAGAAGTGGAAACGAAAATTCGATTAAAGAAATCAAGGACTGGAATAGAGTTAAAGGAAGCTTCTAGGAAGAGGATAAAAGTTGAAGCGTAGTTGAGCTTTTCTTGTAACTTTAAGGATAGACTGGTCTGAGGGCGTAACGAAAGCGCGGTATTATATAGCAACTGACGTTCCACAAGTTATAGAAAGTTTAATAGTATACAATAAAGAACATAGGTGTTTTATATGATCGTAAATGTTAATGCGCTGTATTTGTGGCCCCTATTGACTCTTATTACCTCTTTGCATCGATGTTTTCGAAATGGCGTAAATTACTGCAACTTCTTATTCCATCTAGCATTTTTTTTTTTTGCAGCCAAATTGCCCGACTTCAACAGGTTATGGTAGAATCTTGTGTAACCAATACGAGATGCAGTCAATATTTGTCTTAAGTGTCGTTTCGGAATCAAACTTATTTTAGTTAGCAGCTAATTATGAAATACAGCAGCAGTATTAGTTTTTGTTAAAAAGTTGGCAAGAATCTTCTAGAAAACGAAACAAAAAAAAATCCAGGCAGTTATAAACTCAATTTCAATCCTGCTACAGACATTTCCGAAACAAATATTGCATCCTACATCAGAGATATATTACCTAGTCATCAAACTACATCGATAAGCGACTGAAGAAACGTCTAATAGATGATAGTTTGGAAACCCCAGGGTCGGCAAAATTTCACAATCGGGCGTGTGGTCTAGTGGTATGATTCTCGCTTTGGGCGACGACTTGGAAACAAGTTGAATAACTACAAGCATGCGAGAGGCCCTGGGTTCAATTCCCAGCTCGCCCCGTTTCTTTTTAGTTTTTGGGTTGAATGATATTACTTTGTGTCTTGATTGATATTGTGTTCAAATTTGGGCTTGAAATCGCAGTGGTTCAACAATGCGACTATTTTTTTTATCTGGCTTATATTTTTTCTCAGATTTCAATAAGCTCAAGACTCTCTCTTCGTATCATGTTTATACCACGGACGACTTCTATAAGATCACTTTCTATTCCAATAATGTATAAGAATTCGATTTGTTTGAATGTTGGGAATTGAGAATAATTTTTGGTTTTGTGATTTGAAAAATCCAATCGTCAGATAGATTTCTCATTTCCTAGACATATTGTTATACCTTTTGACATCCAAGCAACATGCTTTCTTCAATTAGTACCTTATGGACTCTTTTTAGTCATCTCATGAATATAGGCTGACTGAAGAAAGATTGTCATTATTGGATTCATTCTCTTTGTTGCAAAAGGTTAAGAAGCATCAGTTCTGATGTATACGCCGTAGCACGAGTAAATCTCATCCCATTGAAAAATTCAAGAATTCCTCACCAAAAGTCGTGTGCCAGACTAAAATATTCATTGAATTTTTTTTTTCAACTAACCTTCGCAACATCTTCTTAAAAGAAAAATTTTTCAATTTAACTCCCATCCTTCACCTTTTCATATTCTCCAAGCACAAACAAATATCCAAAGATGCCTTTCCAAAAAGCTTTCAAGACCTCTGCTTACCACTCCAGATTCCAAACTCCTTTCCGTAGAAGACAAGAAGGTAAGACCGACTACTACCAAAGAAAGAGATTAGTCACTCAACACAAGGCTAAGTACAACACTCCAAAGTACAGATTAGTTGTTAGATTCACTAACAAGGATATCATTGCCCAAATTGTTTCCGCTCAAATCACCGGTGATGTTGTCTTAACTGCTGCTTACGCTCACGAATTACCAAGATACGGTATCAAGCACGGTTTAACCAACTGGTCCGCTGCTTACGCTGTTGGTTTATTAGTTGCCAGAAGAGCCTTACAAAAGTTAGGTTTAGATGAAACTTACAAGGGTGTCGAAGAAGTTGAAGGTGAATTCGAATTAACCGAAGCTGTTGAAGATGGTCCAAGACCATTCAAGGTTTTCCTTGATATCGGTTTACAAAGAACCACCACTGGTGCCAGAGTCTTTGGTGTCTTAAAGGGTGCTTCTGACGGTGGTTTATACGTTCCTCACTCTCCAAACAGATTCCCAGGTTGGGATATCGAAGCTGAAGAATTAGATGCTGAATTATTAAGAAAGTACATCTTCGGTGGTCATGTTGCTGAATACATGGAAGAATTAATGGATGATGATGAAGAAAAATTCAGAACTTTATTCAAGTCTTACATTGAAGATGAAATTGAAGCTGATGACGTTGAAGGTCTTTACGAAGAAGCTCACGCTGCTATCAGAGAAGACCCATCTTTCAAGAAGGCTGAAAGCAAGTTCACCAAGGAACAATACGCTGAAAACTCCAAGAAATACAGACAAGTTAAGTTAACCAAGGCTGAAAGACAAGCTAAGATTGACCAAAAGATTGCTGAATTCCAAGCTGCTAACTAAATGTATTAGTCTTCTAATTAGTATATTCTTTTAGTTTAAAGTGTATAAGTATTTTATAACTTATTAATTTTATCAATAAATGCGAGATACTTGTATTAAAATTTTATTCTGTCTATAAATAAAAACCTATAAAATGCAATATTACTTTGTTAGGTGAGCTCTTTGAGCATCGTTTAATAATTTATCATAAATCTCGTCAACCATAGGATTCACATCTTCTTTTGAATGGACTGATCCATTCTCGTTTGAACTAACTGTTCTACCTTCATCTTCTTCACCGTCATGATCTTCTTCCTTCTTTACAGGTGGGATCAAATTATCAATGGTAATTCTATTATCGTTAATCTTACTAATTAAATCAGTAACATTCTTAATCCCCTTTGCATTGATAATGGCATCTCTTAATTCGGGTCCCGAAGGCAAGGCACTTAACAATGGTAAATTAGGTTTACGTTCTTCAGGATCATTCCTCAGTTGCATAAACACACCCAATCTATGGAAATCACCTTCTTCCAATTCTTGCTCCTTGGCATGCAATGATGTCTGGGAAGAATTTCTAATCAAGACAGGACGACCAGTAAGTTTGTCCACTGGAAAAGATTGCCCATTCTCAGAATTTTCAACAACGACTTGATGTGGAAGTAAATTCTGATCAATTGTTGCTGTGGATTCAAAGTAGCAATTTTGAGTATTATTCATTGCAACAGAATTATGTGGTGACAAGATTGGTCCAGTTGTTAACAATTCTCGTGAACTTTCGTGTAAATTCATCTGGTCGACTGTAATACTTGGAATTCTAAACATTGATGTGGCTGAACTGTTATTTTCTTCTATAATTTGATCCCTGGACGTAGTTGGTGTCAATTTTGAATAATCATGCTCCTCAAACATATGAACCAACTTTTCCAAACTTGCATCCAATAAACAAAATCTGACCAAGTTTTCTTTCCCATCAAACGATAATTCTCCTTTGTTTCGCTTTTGAAATAACGCATCAATGGTGGCATGGATATCTTTTCTAAGAGTTCTCGTCTTTTCTACTATGGTATTGGCAATGATTTGTTGAATCTTTCTATCCTCCTTTTGCGAAGAATCGAATTCTGATAATAACTTTTCGGCAGTTTCCATTAATAATGATCCATCAAACATTATTTCTTCTTCATTATCAGGTCTAGCATGTGGCATGTATTCTGGTTTCAATGAAATATCCATGTTTCTCATAAGATAAAATGCCATTCTCAGTGACAAATCTTCCGATACTAGATCATAGTCCAAGTCTAATGCAAAAATAGAATGTGATGACTTAACAGCAGAATATATAGTAAAACATGCTGTGTGAGTAAGGTTCCTATTACCAAGTAAAGATACATGCACAAGCTTGGGCATCTTAGATAAGAATGTAGCAATGGACCCAATTGCTTTCGGTGACAATTCATTTAAATCAAAATGTATTCTCCTTAAGCTTGGATATTGTGGCAAATACTTGGCTAACTTTGTAATTATACCCGGGAATAGCTGTGGTAAAGAACTCAAGTCTAAGAATCTCAATGTTTTTACGTTGATGAGAGATTGGATCAACTGTGTAGCTTCCTCAATATTTGATAATTGTGTACCGTTAACCGAAAAAAATACCAAATTCTCAACACCTTCATTAAAAGCTCGAATAAAAGGTTGCAATTGACCTTGGGATAAATCATTAGATGCAATATCAACACCCACACACTTCGAATTCTTATCTGTTAACCAATTAGCAACGACCTCGGCCTTGGCCACATTAAGATCAATACCAGCAATTCCTAATCTATAAGTCGATTGTTTTACTGCATTATTTATAAGTTTTTCAAAAATTTCATCAGACAACTTACATCCATTAATCACCAACTCTTCAATTCCACCTCTTAACACTATTGATTCAATAAACAAATCCCAGTTCATATTAGCACGGATGCAAGTTTCTTTTGTGTCCGATTTAATCCTTTGCTGGGAAATATCCAATTTCTTTATAGTTTTATTCTTTGCTAGGAACTTGCATAGAATTTTCCAACCAGTTTCATCAATGGCGACGTTCCTTAAAGATAACTTTTCCAAGGCTCTGTTGTGACATAATGAACTCAAAAAGTGTCTAAACATTTCGGTTGTCATTGTAACATTATCAAATATAACGGTATTAATAGGCGTGATTGCAATAAAATCAGAAAATGATAAAACATCAATCAATGTCGGTTTTGGATTTAACATTTTCAAAACCTGCAATGGTGCAGTCTTATTTTTCAACTGTTTCAAAGTGGCTGGAATTGGCAAAATTTCACGTAAATGACAACAACGGGTATATATTGCTTCCAAAGTGATTTCTCCTTTCGCATCTTGCATAGATTCTGGACTTGAATCCTTAAAGTGTTGTTCATGAACATGTAGCGGTTGATCAATTGCAGCATCATGGGCTAGTTTTTTGCTTGCTTTGGTGTACATATCAATATCATCTTCGGTATCGTAACTACTCTCATTTTCTTTAATGATGCTAAATTTCAGAGGCTTGAATGTTGCAACTTCTGACGCGATCTTCATTGCCTGCGTGTGTGCTTCTAGAGCATGCCTATTTGACTCAGCCAACGCTCTCTTCTGTGCTTCCACTGCCATTGCAATTTCTCTTTCGGTATATTGAGTTTGTTGTAACTGTCCTTGTGATCCAGCTTCTTTATTGGCTTCGTTTACTGAGATTCCAAGACATAATCTTGGTATGGGTGCAGCAATATCTTGTGGAATTAATACATTACCTCTCCTAGGTCGTCTAGAAGGAATTTGTTGTTGAGGATCAAACTCTAATTTATCAATTGCAAAGTTAACTCTTCTTAATTTGACATCATCCAAACATTTTATGGGCACTTTTTCTCTATTTGGATTCTTATTAAGAATCATGCGGGTAGTTACAACGGTAGGTGCTGATGATATCGAACTTGCATTTGATGATCTTCTTCTGAAGAATCGAAGCCCATCTGAAGACGATGGAGAACTGGAAAGTGTCTCTTCTTTGTTGAGATATGATTCCTTAAATATTGGTATTGATCCGCTTTTTGGGGTTAGCGAATTCTTTCTTTTCGTTGGTATTGCAATCTCAGCGGGTGGCTTATTTACTGTACTAGCTAGATCTCCTTGTGGCTTTGTTTGACCTTCTCCAAGTAAGTTGGGGTTTAGAGTCTTTTGTGGTTGATGAGGAACATGGTGGTGATGGTGGTGATGATGATGTTGCCCACTAGCAGGGGTAGATGCAGTAGAACTAGAAGATTTGAATTTAGACGAAAGGGAACTAAATAGTCCTCTTTTTCCGCTATTAGATCTAGACACAGCTGGCGAGGATGTCTGAGATGGAGTTGGAATGGCAGATCCCGTTCCAGACATGTAAGACCTCATTTCTGCATCATGATCATTGTAGACTAAATCACTTGTCAATGAAGGAGTAATGAAATTAAAGCTACTCCTCCTCTTTTCTGATTGGTTTGTTGATTCAGCTTTCGTTGTTCCAGCAGATGCTGATGAAGATCTAGAACGCCCGACTTTCAACTTATCCAATTTCGAAGATGTTGGTTTAGTTGTTGCAACAGGTGAAATCATCGTTGAAGTGGGTGTGGTTGCCTTTTTCTCTTCAGGTTTCACAGTCGTATCTTTCTGTGTATTGGTATCAAGTTTGGTCGATTCATTAGAAATGATTTCTTCCGATTTTGGTTTAGTTTCTTTATCTTCATCCTTCTTCTCAGCTTCTTTTGACGGTACAACAGGGTTTTCACTTCTATTAGATGTACTATTCATTTTCTTAATTAATTTCTTTGATTTACCTCTAAACAACCAATCAACATCAACATTGGTCACCCCAGTTTCTATTTTGTCATTATTTGCCGGGAGTGGTGATTTCAGTTGCTCTCCATGGTTTATAGTCTCCTTAGAGGGTGGTTTGGTCTCTACCATTGGTGATCTATTCCTGATGATATATATGTGCGAATCAAACGGTAATGCAATGGGTTAATAGTTGTGGAAAATGTGTGTTTTCTAAAAAAAGCCTAGAAAAAGATTTACGGAAAATTCTCCAGGTATAAAAAAAAATGGGTGGGAGGGGAAACAATGACAACAATTGGATACTGAAACCAAGTAATGTTCACTGTGAATGATGTCACTAATTAATTTGATTTTTGTACCTTAAGAACACTTTGAAAATAAAAGTGTTTAAAATAAAAGTATTTAAAATAAAAGTGGTTGGCAATATACGCAACCCAGAAAAAGGAACCAACTTGTCAAAAAGAAATAAAACTGATATGTCAACTGTCAGTTAACCCAAGAGAAATTTTTCTTTCCCTTTTCTGTATCAGGATTTTCTTTGTGCAATGTGTAATCAGTGGTAAGTAGGGGAACAAACAGGGGCGCATTTCGGAGGCAAGAATTTTTGATTTATCCGTTGGGTGATGATGCGGTTTGTACGACCGAAGCAAATTGACACAGATTTCGCACCAGACTAAGCAAGATTTCACAACAAGAAAAAAAACTTCTTCCAACGGTATTTCGGTCCGTACCAAATAGTACCACAAAACCAGTAACATATAATTAATCACCCAGTTTGATAGCAGCGTACATATCTAGTTCTAGGGAATGGATGAATGATGAGATACGAAAAGATAGACTTGACACCTCTCGTTGTAATTGGAATGATATCTCTTACAGGTTTAGTCTTATTTTTTGCAGCAATTTGTTCAAGATTCAGCGAAAAGATGAACAATTAGTAGCCTGCTGCTAAGTTTCTCAAATGGAACATGAACCACTGAAGCAAACAACAGGGAAGTTGACCACCACAGCATACAAACTACTAACCTTAGATTAATCCCGAAGAAGGTTCTCAAATCAATGAAAATTACCGGTAATATAAATTGGAATATTGTTGCAAAAAATTAAAACCAATTAGATTTGACTTCAACTTGCTGCTTTCAGTTTCGGAGTATTAAATCAGTTTCTAGTAAGGAAATGACTTAAGGCCAATTTCAAGTTAACGGCAGATTAAAACGGTTATGATTAATAGTTTTGCAGAGAAGACAAAGGGTCTAAAAGGGTCTAAATAGATAAGGAGTTTTTACAACCATTTTATGTCGTTGTAATTACAAATTTGAAAATGAACAAACAGATTCTAGACGTCATTCTGGACGACATTTCAATTATTAAGCGGAAGTGTCTATATGCAGTACTTAACGGGTCCGACTTTATTCCGAATTTCTTTTTCTTATGAATTTATGATTTCCTTCTCCTCTTTTTGTTTTTTTTTAATGGAGAGGAGGTCGTGTACTTATGGATGACATATTCCCATAAAGTTTTTTTGAGAAAATTTACACTACCATAGTAAATTCTTTATAAATAAAAATTAAATTTCCCCTTCGAAATTTTATAAAATTGCTTAATCTTTTTAATCAACTTAAGAAAAAGGGAAACCACCAAAACCGTACATTTATATATATTACTAACCCTTTTCACTATCATAGACAATCAAACATAATTACATAATGTTTTCTAGATCACTCACACAAATTTCCAGACAAATTATTGTTAGACCTACAGTTATTCCAACAATTTCTAGAGCTATACCTATCATATCTAAAAGATCATATCATGAGAAAGTTATAGACCATTATGAAAATCCAAGAAACGTTGGTGCTTTAAATAAGAATGACTTAAATGTTGGTACTGGTTTGGTAGGTGCACCAGCATGTGGTGATGTCATGAGATTACAAATTAAAGTCGATGAAACTACTGGTAAAATTGAAGATGTTAAATTCAAAACTTTTGGATGTGGTTCAGCAATTGCTTCAAGTTCTTATGCTACTGAATTAGTTAAAGGTAAAACTTTAGATGAAGCATTACAAATCAAGAATACTTTTATTGCTCAAGAATTATCATTACCTCCTGTTAAATTACATTGTTCAATGTTAGCTGAAGATGCAATTAAATCTGCAGTTAAAGATTATAAATCAAAGAGAGCTGCAAGACAACCCACTTTAGGTCCTGATGCTACTAGCACTTCTGCTTCTTCAGCTGTTGCTGCTTAGATTTTACTGGCGCACGTTTATGACACAAGTTTTATTTATTTGAGGTTTAAATTTTTTTTAGTTTTTTTTTGATTTGGATGTTTTACGGATTGTTTTAATTATATAAGTATTATTGTTCATTTATATATAAATAGGTTTAATGTCGTATTGAATATTTCCTTTTTACTTTATTAAATGGTTAATTGAAATTGTTATCTCTAATTGGCTCAGTTTCCTCGAAGAGCACATTCTTTGATTTTTTTTTTCCTTCCAAAATATTTTTTTTTTTTTAATTTAATTCCGTTTTGTGCGTTATCAAAAAAATCCACATTTTTTTTTTGACTCCAATTATTAACTCCGGGTATTTTGGGCGTTCGGAAGAATATAGGCTCGGAAATTCGGTTTTATCAACGCATAGTACCATATTCTCGGATACAAGTCATTAGGAAATATCAAACAGTAGGCATAAATAGAATTGGCAATGTGGGGGATGTAAGGGTCATCGTTGGACAATTTAAAGCTCCCTAAGTATTCATTGAATGGCTTAGCTGGAGTGCTAATACTTTAGTTTTCTCGAAGGGATTAACATCTAAAGCCAACTGGATTGAATATACTTGACAAATACTTTCCCTAAGAATCCCGTTTCTTCCACTTCACAATGATTAAATTTAAAATAATAAACACTAATCATTCCTAAACTACCAATCAAATTGATTAATCCTAATCCAATTTTCTTCCACTGTTTATTGAATTTATGTTGTAATTTCATAACACCATTAACAACATGATAACTAATAGTCCAAATTAATCCCATTAATCCCAAGGTATTTAACCAAGGATATTTCAAATTTAAAACGTATGAAATATAATCCAAATTTACTAAACTTGAATCTCCTTCATAAGCCCAAGGTACATATCTAAATTTATAAAAATGATAAGCAACCAATGGAATTATCATATATCCTGAAAATTGTAATGGAGTAATACCAAAAGTTGTTGAAATCCATGATTTCTTATATCCTAATCCAAAAATATTTGAAATTCCTCCAAGTCCAATATCTTGATCATCATCACTAATACGAAGTTTATCATTATCATTAGAACTTCTTCTTCTTTTATTCTTTCTAAATAATCGAAGTCCAATACCTGAACATACATGTAAAAGGGAGCTACCATATATTATAAAATTTTCATATAATGGTAAAGATTGGAAAACTGCTTTAGCCATTGAAAATACATCTTGTTTAATATCTGGATCAATTGGTAAGATTGGAACAATAATTACTGAAGTTAAATGAATACCTAAGAATGATACAAATGTATATGCACTATATTTTTGGATTTTAAGAAGAAGTGGAATTAACCATGGTTTATTATTTCGTGGGGGAGGAATTACAATTGAAGATTCATTAGTTGTTACTGCATGCATATCAATTGGTTCATCTAATGGAATTGGATTGATCTTGGTAAGTCCTTCTTGTGACATTTCCATTGGGAGAAGATTGTTATTATTACAATATTGTTAAGGAAACAAAGTAAATAAAGAAAGAAAGAATAAAAGTAAGAAAGGTTAATTGAAAATCTTTAATGACACCATTTTTTTTTCTCTTTCTTTATGATGGGGTAACGATTCCACCAATCACTATGAAATTATTACTAAAAATAGTAGCAAGCAAACAAACTCATAACAATTGCGTTGGTCTATAACCAGATATTAATCATTCTATATAAACCTTTATTATCTCGATTGTTTGATGTCAATTATTGGGCAAATAATGGAGTTTATAAGCTAGTAAATAGGGATGGTCCCCGTCCCCATATTAATCTAATAGTAAGGGTCGTGCAAAATTCAAACATCTACTCAGTATCTATTTTTTGTTCCACTGGCACACTTCGCCCTTGGACCTAACAGAGTGTTGTTCAATGCTAATAATAAACCCATAGAACACACAATCTAATAAAAATAATATTCATAGAGTCATGTCATCATCATCATTTGCACAAACAAGATCACAAGCATTAAATTTAGAAAAACAAACAGAACAATTACTTTCACAATATTCCCAATGTCAATTACAACAAAATTTAGAACCAAATCAAGAAGAAATAACAATTATAAATCATATTCAAGAAATCTTAGATAAACGAAATGCAATAATCAATAAACTTAATAGAATTTCTGAATCAATAGATATATCAACTTCAAAATTACAACAGTTAACTAGACATCGAGAAATCTTACAAGATCATACATTTACATTTCAAAGAATTGCTAATCAAATTCAAGATGATAGAAATAGAAACAATCTTCTATTCTCAGTTCAATCAGATATAAATGCTCATAAGAAACAATCACAGACTCAAGATACTCAAACCGCTAATGATTATATTCTACATGAATCTCAAAGGGTAGATAATGCCAATAGTATAGCTGATAGATTATTACAATCAGCATTCAATACTCGTGATGAATTATTAAATCAACGACAATATTTATCAAATGCTCAAAGTAAGATGTTTAATACATTACAAAATATTCCGGGAATAAATGTATTAATTTCTAAGATTAATACAAGAAGAAAGAGGGATACTTTGATTTTAGCAAGTGTCATTGCATTATGTATTATTGTTTTATTCTTTGTATAAGAATGGGAATAGTTATTGGAAAGATTAATCAATAGAATCACCGGTGATGGCGTAGTAGGGAAATCGGCATGTGCAACAATTTATTAGAGTAGTTAGATGTTATATACCGATTTCTCAATTAATGGAAATGTTTATACGGTTATCTCATAGATCTTGTAGTTTCAAACCTCTGCCTATTCATATATACTCCATTGTCTTATTGGTATTGCTTGGTGGTACCAAAGCACTTTCATCTCGCTGAACTTATACAATTGCTTATATAAATATTCATTTCTCTGACTATTTGAATATTCACAAGAATATTCTTTAATATTAAGAGGTTCACTAAAGAAGTCTTGGCTTATAAGATGAGCTGTTGTTCTTGTTGCAGTCGTGTAAATCCTATCTGAAAAATATCACACTGTTTAAAAAAAACAACGTCAAAGTGCTGGAAGAAGTAGGCTTGACAAAGAAGACACAAAACATTCAAAAAAATAAATTGATGTAATTTTTAACACGAACTTACATTCAATCACCTTATTATATAATCTTCTTATATATCAACTATAACAACCGAAAATAAACTCAATAACCACACACATCAATGCTGGACGAAATTCAACAACAAATACTTATAATTAAGCTTAAAAGAATTCAAGAATTAAATAACCGTCTTCGGGAAACATTGAAACGAGAAAGAATTCCTGCTTCTACTGCTGGTGGACTGTAAGTATAACCGAGTGAGAGCATGTACCAAAATGTAAACTCATTTACTAACTAAGATTTCTAGAATTATAGATTTCATTGAAGAAACTCCTGATTACTTAGTTCCATATAATTGGAGATTACCTGCTGACCAAAACAAATTCGCTCAATATAAAAGCTTAAAGAAAATGCGTCAAGGTCAACAGAAAGCTGCTGGATGCTGTGCCATTATGTAATATACTGTTATAGCAAAGAATTAGATTTTAATTAATTAAATATGTTTATCTTTTTTGTATATCAAAAACAATGTGGAGTTTATCATACCAACATCAACGTACTAAGTCTATTTAAAAAATCAAAATGCAAACCTTCTACATAAAATCAAATATCAATAACCCATTCAACCACCTAATTGTGGCTCCTCTTCCTTCTCATCAATCGAAATACCTCTCAAATGTTCCATACTTTGATTACCCAAAGTATAATCCTTCTCTGTCTCATCAGTTCCACAACCACAATCATAATTCTCTAAAATCTTAGTACAATCATATTCCGGTTTTTTCAACACTTTATTCACCTTATTATGAACATCACAACCCCATAAGGCAGCAGTTTTTCTTGATCCAGTTTGTGGTGGATATTTTTCTAATAATTTAATAAAATGACGAGCACAATCTCCACAGGGATATACTTGGGCAAATAAATATAAATATGTATTCAACGTTTCACGTTCATTTTCAGTTGGGTTATCGGGATAACGAGCCAATACAGTATGGAATAATTTCCAGGATGCTCTACCTAATTCAGCACGTAATGTAGCATTACCCATTTTTGGCATGAATGGAGTCTCGGTATATTTGTTATCAGCTGTTACATCTGATGCTAACTCCGAGTCCGCAGCAGAATTGGATTGTGGGACTGAAAGTACCACCATACTACTATCTTTTTGTAAAGTTATTGGTTTGTTACTTCCTAGTGATTTATCAGTAGGTGTTGATGTCATAAAATATATTACACTTATTACTATTATGAGTAATAAAGTGGTGACAAAAGGTCTTCTGATAGCTTTCATTTGTCTTTTGATAACTTATAAGCTTATAATACTGAAGAAAAGATGAGTTAAATGAGATATTTACAAATGATGATGGTTACTAAATTTGGTCAGTTTGAACAGTCCACTTTTTCAAGACTGAGCCCTTAGCTGTCCAAAATAGGAAATAATGTCTCGCACGACAAATGTGGCATACTATTAATAGCCAGGGCTACTGGGCCAATACCGAGCCAACATGTATGAAAACCAATTCAAGAGGAGCTACTACGTGGTCATAATCTTTTATCGGGGGCACCTGAAGTGGTTGCCAAACTCGGTCTTCTAGACTATGCGTTATTTAAAGTTATCTTTAGAGTAAAATATGCCACCCATGAGAGTAACATCGCCATGCATGAACAACTTTCAATGAAATTGATATGTTAAAAGTAAAATGCATATATATGTAAACACCCTAAACAACTTAGCTTACCTATGCATTCTTTCTAGGAATGGTAGCAGCGTCTAATACACCAGGCAAAGGTTCATTTCCAATATTCATTAATAATTTGATTCCACCAACAAATAATACTAATAAACCTAAAGTCGTCCAAAGGAAGAGATTTGCTTCTACTGAAATATCTTTCTTAGCACAATCAGATCCAACCCATCTTGTGGTCTTAGAAGTTTTCTTATTGAAAGATGGTTTACATGCACATGCCCAAACTGAACCAGATTCAACACAATCTCCATGAGAACTACATTTATCAGTAGCTACTTCACAAGCATCTTTAGAATCGAATCCTTTGGAGAAGGCAGTTTGACGTTTTTTCAATATTGATGAAAGTTCTGAATCTCTTTTTTGTACTTGTCTGATATTTTCATGAGAAGGGTTTGAAATAACGATGATATTGAATTTGGATGATAAGTTGTTTAATTCTTTGAATAATATTTGTTGGGAATCGTGATATGTTTGAGAATCTCCAATTTTATGTTTAATAGATAACAATGATGATAATTCAATGAACAAACTATCAGTAGGAGATAATTTTGTTTTACCTAAATGAATCAATTGTGATAATTCATTAATGAATAACCTATCATTTGATAATTGATAAGATAAAATCATTTGATTATCTTTTGATGTATAAGATTTCCAAATATTTAACAACTTTTCATTGAAATAATTAAAATGATCAATCAAACTTTCATGATTTTCTTCCTTTGTGATTAATTTAATTTCTGGAGTTAATTGAATAACTTGATTTCCATATTTACTCAACAATTTAGGTAATTTCTTAAATAGCAATTGATGTACGTTTTTCTTATGATTAATCATAAAGGAAGGTTCACCCAATCCTTCAACACCTCTTAAATAAACAAATAAACTTGGCAATTCTTCCTCATTGACATTATGTTGTTCATTAAGGAATTCAATAAATTTAGAATCAGAGCCACCTAATTGAAATCTATCTTCAATACCCAATTTATCACCAAAATAAGCAAATGCTTCATGAGCAGAAATTGTTGAAATTTGTGAATTAGTATGTGGTTTATTATTCAATTCATAAACTGATATATCACCATGAGGCTGCTTGGAATGCTTGGCTGAGACAGTACAGCTAAGAGCTAAGAATGACCAAGACACCAAATTGATAAATCTCATTTTGTGGATTTGGATATTGATGTTCAAATAAAACAGTGGAAGATGAAACTGAATTGGGATTTCTCAGGTTCGATTTTTTTTTTTTGGTGCTGCTGGTCAGGAACCCATTTGGTTAAGGAATTTTCAAGGAACAGTTATGGAAACCATTGGGAAGACCCGACAGAGAATAGACAGACACTTCACTAAAGGGGATCTCAGATTAATTGGATAAGAATCACCATATAGATCGTTATAATTTATAAATATGCTTAAATTTATAAGTTTGTTAAGAATGAATTATAATTACTATATAAAAGAGTAAGAGAAGAACCAGCTATTAAAATGTTTCATCCAATGTAATTGTAGGTGATGTTGGAAAATTAGTTGCTTGTGGTTTCTTTAACGTATTGCTATTAGAATCAGTCTTCACATGCAATCCAGGTTTAAATAAAGTCTTTGTAGATGACCTTCTAGTTATAAAGTCTGGTCTCTTTGGCGATAATGATCTCGATCTTGATCTTTCTTGTTCTTCGTCTTGTTGAATTCGCAATTCTTGTATTTGTTCATCATTATTATATTCGGTCAAGTCAATTCCCAATTTAGCTAAATCACTTAAGACATTAAATTGTTTAGGTTCTGGTTCATTATAATCAGCATATTCATTATTTGGATCATTATAGAAATTCTTAAACTTCTCTAAACTAGTTGTAACTCCCAAGTTTGTTAAATTATCAGTAGATTTTGATTGACGTAATAAATTTTCTTGTAATGATATCTTAATATATGGAAACATTGATAATAATTCACTTTCATTGGATAAATAAGTATGAGCTGATTGTGCCAGCAATTCATCATCAAAAATGATTATAATTCTATTCAAAAAGGGTAAATTAGACCAATTCAGAATCTTTTGGATGTAATCATCATGATTTAATATGCTCAATTTGATTTGATCAGCCAATGATAATCGTTTCGTGTCTAACAATTGTGGTTTGTTGGAATCAACAACAAAATCACCCTTGGTTAGATTATTAATAATTATGCAAGTTTTAGGAACACTTAAATCACTATAACTAATCGATGAAGATCTGGATATGCTTTGGGATTTGTCTGCCATGTTGGGCGTACTCTGGGCTTAATATATGCAAATGGGTTTGAATGGGTTGTAAATTGAATAATTATGAATTTGGGTTTGGAATATTATCTCTTTTCCTGGGGAGATGTAGTTTTATAAATTTGTTTGAACGTCCAGGCTTTTTTTTTTGTTTGGGCCAGTCAGTCTCCCTACTTTGTTAGCTTTTCCTTCCCCCTTACTTTGCTACTGAAGGGAAAATTATTTCCCTTGCTGCCCTTGTCCTACCAGGAGACTAAAAATTGGTAGGACATAAAAAAAGAGGCACTGCTAAATATTCGTAATTCACCGGGCAATTTAGTCAATTGTTTCTCGGGGTCTAATTTCTTCCCCCGGAGCGGTTTAAATGGAAGTTTAGTCTGTTTACTATTTAGTTACTGAAAGAGATTACTCATTATTAATCCTGATTAAAATATATATGATAATGTAGGGAACACCCGGGATTAAACTTCCCATTACAATAAATACATGAAAGAGATTTGTATTCATTGAAAGTTAATTCATGATAACAATCACCACATAGTATAACCTTTTCTTCACAGTCAATATCATATTTTTCAATAGAATGACCAGCCAATTCTTCATGACATTTATAACAAGGATAATATGTCTCACAACACTTAAACTTTATAGCAATAATATCTATTGATGAATAATAATGGATGCACCTTGTGTGTTCATCAATTAATTGACCCTTTAAAATGCAATGATCATCAATTTTTTGAACTGTTGATATTATACGGGGAGTTTCTGTTGACATTGTAAGGGGGAATGTCCAGCTCAATACGCAGAAGCTCAGCTACGTGGTGTTTAAGATTTCCCTTCGCGTCATTCATTTTCTCTATTTTTTCACACCGTAAAATTTATCCTTGGAGCGAAAAGTAAAATTTAGAAATGTACAACAGCTTATACACTCATTCGTATTGCTCTCATTCGGGAAGTTATTAATTGATAAAATACGCATAGCCACGAGACATCTACAACTTCGATGATCTTGTTTAGCCCACCTTTCGCAAGATTTCGTAAGTCTAAGATATAAGAATTTTAGATGAGGCATTTTTTTGCAGCCATAGCCCCAAAGCAAATGTATTTACAAATCATTTCTGGGCAACCAATTACTATGGTTTTAAAATTGAGGGGATGGTGTGTTTACATGAGTCATCAATCCGGGGGGATGATTGTTTACTGGGGATTTTTCCAATATCAGCTCCGTAGTTATCTGGTTTCGATACTCTGTTTGCAGTGCAACTAGGATAATACTTGGAACCAGAAACTAAATTCCTTTAACTTCGCCTGGAGAAATAGGGTTATAAGAGACAGTCTCATGATGTAGTCCAATTAGTATGCCATCATCTAAATTTCCAAATCGCCATACCAGATTTATCAGTGTAGGATATACTAGGTTATATTCAAGCTCAGCCCTTTTTGTAAATGGAAAGCCAAACATTCTTATATACAAGTCAAATTATCAATTCACAGTTGATTAATTGCTAAAATGAGACCCATAATTAGACAGTATCCCCAAATTCTTAAGAGATAATCTCCAGCCCTTCGAATTGATCAACAAAATACGACAACATAGAATAGAAATTAATACCAACATTATATAACAAGCAAGAGACCTCCCCTTCTTTAATAATGTGGAGTCTTTTATTAAGTTACTTAACAATATAATATAACGTGATCAGTGCTGTTTCATTTATTTGTCACCAGACGTTTCTTGTAACATTCTTTTGACCATTCTGCATCAGACTGTAGTTCAGCTGTAAATGGCATCTGGAAAGGCATCCGAGGTTCCGATCTTAGAAAGGAATCGATGATCATTAAGCACTTTAAGTGTTGCAATTAACTTCGCCATTGCAGCTCGTGTAAGAAACATAAGCCTTCGTTAACATGCCTCTCTTTGACAACAAATTCAAGGCGAGACAAAGAATAGACAAACACCATTCAATTGTAAAGGCAGTCGTTTTGTAAATGATATGCAAGTTGTCATACTTTCCACAATGCAGAAGACAATTTCTCTCGCAGTTCTAGATCGTCGTCGAATATTCCGTTGAAGCAATCCCCATTGCTCTACTAAGCGAACTACGAGTATGCGCATGGCTACTTCTAGATGGGTATTTTACCTCCCCCCCCTGTTTCTGGCAACAAACAATAGAATGAATGTGCAGGGAACTCTTAAAATAACACATCTATTTTGGTTTTGCGACTTATTTTTATCGTTGTTTTTCGAAGTTGAGAACACCTGGAATTTTGCAACTTTCCTCATCGCTAAGTCCAGTCTTCAAAAGAACCTTATCGGTGAACCAGATAAGCCAGCACCTTATCCTTCCTCTGCTCAATCATTGTTTCCGGCAATCGTCCATTACTGGTTAAAGAATTGGAATTTTAAGTACCAGAACCTTTTACGAATTTTATTTTTTTTAATATTCTATCAAATAATTTTTTAAATCTCAAAACTTGACAATTTTGTACCTCCAAATAAAATAATAATTTTATTTTCTGAAAACAAATGAGAAATAACTCTTACCAAGAATTAGCATAAGAGGTTCTCATGAAACCAACCCAGCAAAGGAAAACAAAGGCGAAAGGATAATGACACTTCCAAGGAAATCAATTATTTATTAATTGTAATATAAATTAATCTTCGTCTCGTGAGAGCCCAATTGCTGACATTTCCAAGATAGTCCAGGTCATGCTAAGTTTGCACCTGTTGACAGATATTGGCATTAGCCCCATGCATAATAAACTGATGCGAGAGAATAAACTAAGCACGACCCAATATTTTTGAACACAATAGATCCCAAAAATGAGTCTTATCCGATAAATTTGTTCCCCACCATTGTAGCAACTAACCATCTGGTGATTGAGTGCAGTCTCCTTTGTTCTTCTCCACAAATTTTTGATTGCTTCTTGTTTCATTCAAGTTCTACAAAAACGAATTTCCTAATTCGGATTAATTATGAGGCGCGTCCATTTTTTTAATTTAGAAAAAAAAAGCTGCAACTTCTTCAATATTGCTCGCTCCTTATATCCTCAGTCTACAAAGATTTTGTTGGTATAGGATAGGGGCTATATTTCTACACATAGTTAATTGCTCCAAAATCTTCCTACCAATGCCTCGTAGCCGAATAATAATTCACAAATCCAATTTATTTTCGTGACGTGTTATAATTACGAAAAGTTTACGAAATTCCTGGAAAAAAAAATCTTGGTCTACATCGCATGATTCTATTGAAAAATTATGTTCAGACAAGAAACTGTCAAGTTTTCTTTGGTTACCCTTGATATATATAGTGCCGCCTGATAGTCAAAACAATCAGATGATCATGTTGGGAAAGATTTACTTGGCTGTTTCAATTGTCATAGAAAATATGTTGGCCTGGTCAAAGATGGCGGGGGTGATGATGTATGTGAAATTTCTTTGCATCTACCAGACTGAAAACCATAGACTGTCTCCGGGAAACTCTCTTTAAATGCCGCACAAGTCCTATTGTACATCTTGTTATAAGCCAACACAGGAAAAATAAGAACAAATTGAAACGGCCGTATTTGAGTGTTTAATCTAGACTGGAAAACATATGCAAATGTGGAAGGTCACTGTAGACACCAAATAAACCAAGACCAAGGAAACAGTAGAGCATAGATTAGCGCAAAAAGTTCTTTGAGTCAATAATTAGATCTCAACTAAGCACGCCTGAAGCTAGGCGAATAATAGGAACTATTTCTGGATGACACAAGTTCATTCTAACCGAGAATTCAATCTTACACAGACTCAGATCAAACGAATATTAACTCTTACACATAATTACAAAGGAAAAACAGAACGACATTCCGAACAAAGATATTATTCGAAACAGGCAGACTTATAACCTAATTAGTTGCATAAACGTGAACCAAAACAAGTTTGTAACTTGGCCAACGACTACCCTATTTGTTACAAATTATGCTTTGTGTTTCAACGCAACTAATTAGCAGGACAAAAACGGTACGTTACCACATCTCACATGGTGATTTAAGACCGAATGCAATATCATTGTATCTTGTAATCTCCTTGCGGGATCGTCAAAGGAGTCAACGCTCGATTCAATGGTTTCCTGAGTAATTAATCACAATATTAGGAGAGCATTCTCTGTTGCTATGTTTCTTGTCCCTCGTTTTTCATTGTCATTTTTTTGCAGCTTTTTATTCGTTCATAAAAGTAAATTAATCAGAAGTTTGAGATTTTTTTAAATTCGAACTTTGACTAGCTCTGCAACGCTGTCTTAAGTTGAGATATTTCCAATTGCAAAGCGTTATTGCGGCTCGCCTGAGTTCTATATTCATGTTCATGCATGGCGTTAATGTAAAATATGATTAAGCAATCATACTGCTGCCAAAATTTACCAGCTGTACGCCAATCGTTTCTTTTTTTACAGCCAAAAAAAAAAAAAAGTTAATTTCGGCGGAAACAAACTTAATTGTTAATTAAATTAGTAATCAATTAAAATTAAAAGCTGCCAAATTTATGTGTGATTGTCAACCTCCATCGTTCAGAGTCTAAAGGGGAATCCACACATTTAGGATTTCAGGTAGAAGAGGCAATTTCTTTCCGAGATAGATTAATTAGTTACAATCTATGTTTTTTTTAATTGGAATCATACTAGGAAGATCTTCTTGGGGGGTGGGGGGTCTGATGGCTTGCCTCTTTTTTTTATTTTTATTTTCTGAAAGTTCTCATTCTTTCTTTCTAAAAATATTTTTAGAGGGTAGAAAAGAAAAAAAACTCAATAAAGCATGGAAAAATAATTTCTTTCAATGCTACAAACGAAAGTAAAAAAATAAAAATCGAATGAGAGATTAATTTCGAAATTTTATTTTTTAAAGTTTTTTTCTGCGCAAAGTTGCATATTTCACCACATTTCCAGAGTGACAAAAAATATTTTATTTTATATGTACAAAGACCAAGTTCTTAACTTTAAATTTTTTTGAAAGTCTCAACCCCCCCACGTAATATTTATTATTGTTTTTCTTTGGTGTTTCATATAAATAAACCATTACTTTTCCAATTTTAGAATTTTAATTAAAAATTGCATCAAGTATCAAAACAAATGATATAAGAATTAACAATGTTACAACAATTACAATCACCTTTCTCTTACTCACTCCCCAAAGCACAAGCTTGTGCACAAGAACAATTATCCCCCCCAATTTTTTCGGATAGACAATCTTACAACACCACATTACTAGATACACCACTGACACCATATCCAATCAGAAAGAAACAAAGAACATCTTCAGGGATACTGGAAAAGTTATCTCTAATGCAATTCAAGTTATCAATGTTAGATGACTCATTAGTTAAAAATGAAGTATTACAACTAGTACAAGACCTTATAGACAATGAACAAGAAAGTATGCTACCACAACGTTCCTTCGAGGAAATGATAATAAATACCCCTCCACCATCATTAGAACAACACCAAGAAATTCGCACTCCATTATCATCAAATTATCAATACGTTGATTGTTTTCAAACTCCAAAGGAAAGAATAATAGATTGGGAAAGAAATTGTCCTCAAGCTCCTAAACAACCTAATTTTGTAGATTTCCAGGAGAATGATGCAATTGATTTCGAGCAACTCATGTTTGATTGGGAATCAATATAATAGAAATCTCAATGTAATGACATGTACAGTCATGGATACCACCAGAGCATAATCTTTCAATTCTTTCATAATAATCTTTTAATTAAACTCCTTTTGGTAGATCCAAAATGGGAGACTTTTATAGTTTTGTATTTTGTATAATTTATGTATTTCAGTAAAGAATTTTAATAGAAATTTTTATCTTATCGTTTTTGCTTTAAACAAACAAGTTGCAAAGTTTCAGACCAAGAAGTAGACAAATACCCTGCCCAGCCGTATGACTGAAGCAAATTCAGAAATTGTGGTTGTTTTGATCTCTAGTCCGCTCACTTAGTTAATGGTACAGTTTCATTAACCTTCAAAACTGACCTGTAAAACCTTCTTTTTTCTAAACCAAAGATGCGAGGTAGAGATATGACAGACAAACTTTTGGCAACATTGGCCAAGACATGTACTTCGATGTAACATGTCATGACTTTGGTAGTTTCTTTGTAGATGACTGTTATTTTTTTTCTTAACAGGTGGGCTTTTCTTAGGGGGTAAAGAGAGAAAAAAGCTATCATAAACTTCCATAGAAGTCCTATAGCGTATCAATGGTCATTCTAAAAAATACAAACTCCCAGCCCCCGAATTCGATAAGATTCCCACCTCAATTCATCTTAAGTTGTGTTATCTAGAAGGACTAGAACGTTGTCTACAATTTTGTTTGAAATGCGGTATTTTTTTCGCTTAGGGGTAGTTTGGTGGCTTAACCCCCTTTTTTTTCTATTTCTGCTTAAAAAAGTAAAATTATTTGGAACACCGCCTTGTTCATGTGGGAATACACCACGATGATTCAGCAGGGAAAGCAGAGGAATATCGAATATGAAATTATTCTTTCATTTGTCATTCCTGAACGGACCCCTATCGATTGACAACGACTAGGAAACAAGCCAAGGTTCAACGTGGTAATGCCAACTCTTTAGGGGGGAGCCACAGGGAGCTCACAATCTCAGCGATTGCAACATCGTTCATGTTCTTGCCTACCAAAGGTATACCCTCATTCTTTTAATTTCCTTGTCTATATAAGGGAGTAAACTCTACCCTTCTACAGTCCTTGGAATCTTCCTTTGGTTGTTATCGTTGTTACTGGTCGTATTGTTGTAATGGCGAAATAAGTTTAGATAAGGTTTTTAGATCCCCCAGGTGTGAGAAAAAATATTTCCTCGATCAAAAATTTCCTTAACAAGAAGATGCGGCTAATGTGTCAATCTGCAAGATCTGATAACTAAACTATTATACATAGATTCTAGAAACGTGATTGCTGGGAACAATAAGTAACTGATTCTAGAATATAAAAGTATAAAAATCTCAATTTTTCTATTTCAAATTCCAAAAATTGCCGACTACAAAAATTTAAAGGAAGTACCACCGTCAAGTGGATCTATAATTGCCACCCAATGAAGAAGAATATTTGTAGCATGGCAACGGCAAAAAACTATTCTTGTCGACTATTTTACCAAACGAGTGACTACTGTGACTAAACTCCAGATGTTGTCAATTGATACTTGAGGGTCTGCATTGGATCCTAAAGAAGCCATAATTTTAGGACAATCGAATTTTTCCGGTACCTTTTTTCCTTGTTAGGTTGATATGAAAACAGATAAATCTGTTGTCGGGGAGAGTATGGTCATAGCTAGGTCACGCACGACACGAGGGAAGTCAACGACAAATGTTGGTATTTTGGACATGTCAGTGACAAATAGAGGACCATTGTTTAATGTGGCTTGTCAACGAAAGTCTGCATTTGCCCCACCTCGCAAGAAGAATACGGATTCGTACGGACTTTCATGGAATTGATTTTTGAGACGATTTCTTTTATAGAGATGTATTTTTGTGCTTAATATGGCTATGTCTGAATGTAAATGAAAAAGATGCTATATTTTATATAGAAATTAGAAATAAAACTCTGATTGATGCCAAAGCAGCACAACCGTGCTACCAACTTGTTTTGGGTCGCGTCGTCGCTGCGGTCGTGCGAAAAAAAATGTGGTCGCTTCGAAACTCTGGTGCGATATTCGCGCTAGCGACTTTTGTTTGTTTGGAAAAATCGCACTGTTAGGCAGCAACCCGCGATCTGGTACCACGAAGCTAGGTTCTTGAAAGTAATTGGATCCCTCAATCTGATATCCCATAGACTACCTACTAAAGACATAACGTATATATGATTTATCTTTAGTTTAGCTCCTAGCTTGTAGCCAATGTTGTCAGGAATTAGAATGAATTTTTTGTGCAAATAAAATCTGTCACAATTAACAATAAGGAACAAAAAACATTTGGTGTTTTTGTGGAATGTTTTGATTTTTCTTAATAAAATACATTCTTTGAAATTTTATTAGGATGAGGACACCAACTTTGCAATAGTTGAATAATAATAAACAAAATTTCAGTTTCTCCTTTCTTTTCTACACTTCTTCCTTTTCTTTCAATAGTATCAACCATTTGGTCTAAGTATAATTAAAGACTCATTGAACATCTAGAATCTACTACCAATACATACCGAAAGGCACCAGTTAATTTTCAAAAACTCAGTAGCTAGCAAAAAGGAAACCAAAAGTTTTCCCAGAAAACTATAACTCATATACTCTTTATCCCAACTATTTTGTCATATAAACAAAATATCCACACTCGCTTTATTTTAAAAATATATTGAGAGCTTTGAGTTTTAGATTGAGAGAAACACATCCCCATATACCAACTATTGATTCTATCATTTAAATTTCACATACTTTTTGAAAGAAAATATCATTCATTCATTTGAAATAGACCAAGTTACTACAATTTCATTCGTTTATTGCACGATTTATCAACTATTTTACATTATTAGTGAATTCAAGTATCCTTTACTTTTTAGTGTAAATTTGCAATCGCCCAAACCACTGAGCAAACAAAACAAAAAAGTAAACAAAGACAAAAAGTTTACATAGCCATCACTTTTTCATCCACAAAGTTATAACCCTTTACAAAAACATATTATACAGTTAATTAGAAACATTAAGATAATAATTGACTTGATTCCTGGTCGACAAGAACAATAATCCAAATCTTTTACGAACCTTATTAAGATTGTCATTTCGCACAAATGAGACCATTAAAAACAACGTCTTTTAGTGACGAAAACAGAATTACAAGTCATCAAATAAAACCTAAATCCAATACATCTTCCGTCCTGAATAATGCTTCAGCTAGTTACTTGTCAACAGTGAATCATCACAGAGAAGCATTGAGTGATCTTACGTCCCAAGAGAATCAAAGTTATACTAGCAATTACAAACCAAGACATGGACATTCTCATTCTCATTCACAAGGAAAAATACAGATATACAAACAGCATCATGAAACTCATATAGAGCAGCCATTGGCCAACCTCCATCAATTTAAGAAACCACGATTGGAGACCTCATTGTTGAAAGAGGATATAAACAAAGACCCAGTAAATCATTTTCAATACAACATAGATGAACAAGAAGAAAATAAAGAAAATATTCCTGATGTTGAAATACTAGAACAGCATTTTGAAAAATTAGATGATGAATATGATGAACAAGAACAAATATCGTTGGAAATAAACCCACGAGCTGAACAAGGTGATATCACATCTGAGATTGTTCAGGATGTTGATTTAACTACTATACATCACGAGAAACAAATCGAATCACAACATCATCACACCTTAACAGACTATCATGAACAGGAAAATCATCATATTGCACATCCAAGGACATCACCGGTTAATGTCCCTATGTCACCAGTCTGGACTCCAGCATGTATGCACGAAATTAAATATGTGATTAGAAAGTATTCTCGAACAATATTGGACGAAAAGGACGAAGACACATATGATCCAACGATGGTAGCAGAATATGCACCAGAAATATTTAACTATTTGCATGAATTGGAAGAAAAATTACGTCCCGACCCGAATTATATGGATAACCAAGATGAATTGAGATGGGATATGAGATCTGTTTTAATAGATTGGGTAGTACAAGTTCATGCTCGATTCAATTTATTACCGGAAACATTATTCTTGACTGTAAATTATATTGATCGATTTTTATCCAAACGAAAAGTATCCTTATCACGTTTCCAACTAGTTGGAGCCGTTGCATTATTTATTGCAGCAAAATATGAAGAAATCAATTGTCCAACTGTACAAGAAGTGGCGTATATGGCTGATAATGCATATTCGGTAGATGAATTCCTCAAAGCTGAACGATTTATGATTGACGTTCTAGAATTCGATATGGGTTTCCCAGGACCCATGTCTTTCTTACGTAGGATATCAAAAGCTGACAATTACGACTATGAAACTAGAACATTAGCAAAGTATTTGTTAGAAATCACAGTTATAGATGCCAGGTTTGTTGCTTCTCATCCTAGTTGGTTAGCTGCTGGTGCACACTATTTATCACGAAAACTATTAAAGAACGGTCATTGGACAGAGTTGCATGTTTTTTATAGTGGATATACTGAGAAGCAATTGAAGCCTTTAGCTCAAACTTTATTGGAATGTTGTCAAGATGCACAAATACATCATAAATCTATTTTTGAAAAATATCTGGACAGAAAATTCAGAAGAAGTGCAACATTTGTCCAAGAGTATCTCAATTCCATGTAAACATAATAAAGGCATTAGAGAAAGAGAAAAGCATCACATCCATATAATTTATCGTACTTCACCAACCTAAGCATTGACTATTCTTCATGTCATTTAATATCGTAAGTAGATTGTCTATATATCTATTTTTGTACTTTACTTAATTCAAAACTTTACTAATCTCGTTAGATGAATTGCGTATAGATCGTTACTATTAACAATGTTCTCTGCTTTACTGACAACTTGTACCCGTTCTCTCATTTGGCTGCAACTAAATGGAATGTTCTCGCAATTATTAATAAAAGTACACGACCACGAAGTTTTTTTTTTGCCCCATCACCGTAATCCCCCTTTTTTCTTAAAGGGAGAAGACAGACACACACACACACACAGTTAATACTGTTGATCTTCTTAATTCACCCCACATCCATCTCAATTCATTATGTCCGGCTTACTTTCAACTACTTTACGTACTCAATTATCTAAAAGATTAGCTACTGCTGCTATTTCCAAGAGATCAATTCCAGTTTTAACCTCGTTACCTAAATTGGCTTTAATTAACAATGTTCGTACCTTCTCCAACACTGCCATTAACTTCAATGCCCCAGAAAAATCACTTAAAAGAGTCATCAATGAAGAATTGAAGCTTGCTCAAGCTGTTCCTAATGAAATTGATCCAGCTTATGAAGAATATTTAGAAACTGAAGGTTATAAAGTTGTCACCACCCCAGGTGAATCTAGAGTCGAATTAGTTAAAGTTGATAAATCAACTGGTAATCTTATCCATGTTTTCTTTGACATTGATGAAGTTGCTTCTTTGCCATTGAATGAAGAATTACAAGAAGACATGGAACAAGATGAAGAAGATTCTTACGATCAAGCTTTCTGTAATGTTAAAGTAGTTGTTGAAAACCAAAAAGAAAACACCGGTTTGATTTTGAATTTATTATTACAAAGTAGTGAAGAAACTTTCTTGGTTGAATCAGTCACTCCTCATAATAATATCTCTGCGCATCTTAGACAATCTGCTGGTGAAGCTGATGCTGCAAGAGCTGCTTATCAAGGTCCAAACTTTTCTGAATTGGATGAATCTTTACAAACCGAATTCGAAACTTATCTCGCTGAAAAGGGTATTAACAGTGAATTGGCTGATTATATTATCACCTACACTGAACACAAGGAAGAAGATGAGTACAGAAATTGGTTATCTTCAGTCGGTAAATTCTTGAACTAAGTTTATTGAATACTTTTTCTCTATTATTGGTGTTTTTTTCTGTACAAAGGATAGCTATTTGATTCAGCTTGTATATAATTGAAATTATGATCAAAATTGATCCTTTATACGTATTAATGTTTATTTGCAGTAATATAATTGCTGATGGTGGGACATGTAGTCTCATATTAGATGCTGAGAAATCACATCAAATATGTCACGTGAAAATTGCATCTCAGGGCACCAACCCTAAAACTAACCCAAATGTACGTGTCTAACCCAATATCAATTTTTTTTCTAATGCGCACACCAAACTATGGATTCAACCAATTTTCACTGAAAATATTTCAAACCGCACTGCTAAAATAGCATAAACAGTCCTTCTACTTACATATACATACAAATATACTAGTCATGTCCGCCGAAGCTTCCGTTTCCTACGCTGCCTTAATCTTAGCAGATGCTGAACAAGAAATCACCTCCCAAAAATTATTAGCCATCACCAAGGCTGCCGGTGCTTCAGTCGAATCCGTTTGGGCTGATGTTTTCGCCAAGGCTGTTGAAGGTAAGAACTTAAAGGAATTATTATTCTCTTTCGCCGCTTCTGGTCCAGCTGCTGGTACTGGTGCTCCAGCTGCCGGTGCTGCTGCTGGTGGTGAAGCTGCTGCTGAAGAAGAAAAGGAAGAAGAAGCTGCTGAAGAATCTGATGAAGACATGGGTTTCGGTTTATTCGATTAAACAATTCAAACTTAATTGAGAGAAAGTAATTAATGAAATACAACAAGATTTTTTAATGACATATTATTATTATTGCCCAACCCCGGAAGTTTCATAATCAATTCATGCATCCATCATTCTGTATAATTTTTTTCAAAACTTTATATAATTATAAAATAATATAAAAAGTTCCTATAAAGAAAAGCCGAACGTCAATTGGGATTAGAGAATATTTGAAATTGGGAAAGTCATCGCCAATATTGTAGAAGAGGATTATATTCACCTGTCAATTGATATAAGACGAGCCAAATTGAGGATATTGAATCTCGTAGATATTACCTCCGATTTGACATAAAGTATCAGCTCGTGCCATTGAGAGAATGATGTAAATGAGCAGTTTCTTTGCTATCATCTCTTTCTCTATCATTCCGCTCCCTAATCGTCTCGTATCGGACGTTTGTGAGTCTATTAAATTTCACAAGTTGATTGTCTGATACATGACATGTCTCCGCCAATAATTCATCTAGCAGAAGGGATGAGTTAGACAAAATGTCTCTAGCTGGGGATAGAAGATCGACCCCCCTTCGGATAGCTGGGGGTCTATCCTCGTTGTCTGGCGTATAGGTCCGTTCGCATGTGTCGAAGGAGATCAACCTGATACCGATATCTAGCGTAAAAAGTAAATGAATTCTTCCACGTCGAGTTGCAATCAAGTGGATTACATTAAGCTCTTGCACGACGGATCACGACTTTTACTCAAAGAGAATATCCCCTTAATATGTGCTGGTATCGGAGTAACAGTGGTTACAAATACCTGTTTAAAGTTCCTATCTGACAGACAATCCTCTTCTTTTAATGTGTCACGAAACCAAACCCAATTTGGAAGATGATACGTCATGACCGTTATTGACGTATCGTCGTGCGTTACCGTCTTGTCCGTAGGATGATGAACAACTGCATCGTCAACTTGATCGTGATTCTATGTAGTTTTTATCCAAAATCTGGACCAATATTTTTTTATTCGCGTATTGTTTACTGGTGAATAAATCGAATGATAATTAAAAGTGTATAGAGTATATATATGGGGCTTATTCAAGGTTTGTGTTCTAATGTGCTTAAATCCAGATGCTAAGATATACCATATCTTTGAAATGTGATATTTCTACTGATATCCCTCAATTTCTGTAGCGTTCCTTGATACAGCCAGAAAATCACTCAGCTTTCCGAATTTCATTAGGGTTGGACCAAATTATACTCGTCCCGGTTATCAAATTCTTATTTATAAATCATATAGGAAAATCCCTCTATATAAACAAACTAAGTAAAAATTTATTAATAACTCGGGCCGTGGGAAAAGGTCCAGACTTTTATTTATACCTCGGAAAAACTAAATTTCTTCTATACAGACGCATAATGCAGCCCGTAGTAATTATGTACGTATCGCATAAATAATATAATTATACCACCAATACACAATAAACCCTTCATCTAGAATCATTGAAGAATCAACCATCGATCCGGTCCTATTATTCAACAGAGTAAAGATGAAAAGCGGAAGGATATAATCCCCAGGTATTATACCCCAGCCTTGGATCAAAAACTGTACGGTGCGCGGGCTTTAAAAAACAAAGCGAATTGTTCGGAGTATAACACCAAATGGGGAAACCCCTTAATGGCCGTAACACCAGCTTACTTACAGTTTTTTAAAAATAATTAATTGCTTTTTGCAAACTAGATTCTTTATTACGTCAGATGCAAAAAAAGGGTGAAACGGGTTTTAGATTATCATAAAACCCGAATCAAACGGACCGCAGCAAAAAGAGATCAAATAGAAGGGGAGCGAGCGTTAGATAGGGAGTGATAGGGGAAACCACCCTTCGGTTGGAAAGGTCGAGCCTTAGCATACTCCTATTCACTAGAGCACTCCTATGCTCAATAGAATAAATCATGTCATTTCAAAACCCCATGTTCAGTTGAAAGCTCTTGTTCAGAAATCCAAGCTTTGTTCTTTAGAAAAATCTCATGCCATTACTTCTAAATGCAAACGTGCTATTGTAAAAATTATTCAAGCGATCCGATTGAAAAGCCATTACCGGTAGGGAAGACAACTAAAAGGAGTTAATTAAGGCAGTAATAAATAAATCCGGGGTTGTATGACTTTATGTAAAAAAGACGTTGTTGTTTTGGAACTATAGTGGTTCTAGAAGGAGGGGTACGTAGGAATAAAATGTGGCTGCGAATTTGTTTGTTTGTTAAGGGTTTTTTTTGCTCATCGTATGATGTGAGCTTTTTGTGTTTGTTGTATGGGGGCTGTTGATAGTAACTATTGATAGACGGTACATTGTGTAGAGATATAAGTGGTGTGGTATCTCATGTAGAGTATTCATCTAAATCATACGTTCTACAAATTGATTAATTATCATATGAAAGAAATTGTAGAGTTTTCTATAAGGGAGAGGTGGTTTTGTACTTTCAAGTGATTACAAATTATTAAAATTGTTAGTCATACAAAAAAAAAAAAATTAAAAAAAAAAAAAAATTGAGCAATTTCTTTTTCAAGCAAAAAACGGCTATGCCATTTAATTAATTACTTTCTTTTAATTATATTATTCTTCAGTAATGGAGATAACGATTTTAAACCCTGTTTTATTCCGTATGGTTTATGAATGGGCTTGACTTACTTGTTTCTATTTAAATCAAGTAGTAAACCCTTCTCTTATCTCTAGCGGCATATTTCCGGAGCATCTTGAAATTCTTTAAAAAAAATTGACAGCAAACCGTCTGTCTGAACTTAAAACAAGGGGGGAAAAAAACACTCGGAAGTAAAAAAGTTAACCGCAGAAAATGAAAAAAAAAACATGAAATGGATCGGATCGGAAATAAAAAATAAAAATATACGCAATTTCTGAATTTGTGAATTCCTTTCCGAAAAAATAAACAACGCATCTAAGATGACAAATAAATCCGAAGGAAACGAAATTTAAAAGTATGACTAAATTTATCACCAGACAGACATAGAAATATAAATATACCATGATATTTCATTTTTCAGACAATTTTAAATTCACTCTCATTTTCATTTTTCATTTCAATATTAACCAATCATAGTTAACAGTTAATAACAATGTCAGACTTATCATTTGCACAAACTTATATCTTAGCATCAAGAGTAAGATCAAAATTAACCAAAGAAGCAAATTCCCCCAAAGCTTCTTTGAGAAATTTAGTTGTTCAAGCAAATATGTTGGATAATATTATGGATTATATTCATGATGAAACTGAAAAGAGAACAACCATCACCAAACAAGCACCAAAAGATCATGTTAGTTTTAATGTCCCAATCAAACCTACTCGTCATGAATACAAGACTTCAATAGTGGAATATGAACTTGATGAAGAATCTGATTCAGACGAAGAAATTGCTGTTGAAGAATATGCTCCAATGTATTATTATTCTCAGCGCGAAGCTGATTCAGAAGAAGAAGAAGAAGAAGATGAGGAATGGGAAGATGAATATTCAAGTAGTTCAGATTCTGATGATTATTATTATTCAGACGAAGAAGAAGACCAAGAAGTACAACCAATCCAAGAAGCTCAAGCTAATTTCACTCCAAGAACATTACCTGGTCCTTCATTTAGACAACTACCAGTTATGAATCTTCATTCTATTGAAGAAAATGAAGAGGAAGATGAAGAATATTCAAGTGATTCAGAAGAAGATGAAGAGGACGAAGAAAGTATAACATCATTACCAGAATTAACATATGCTAGTTCATTATCAGATGATGAAGTTGAAGAACATGAAGAATTGCATGAAGAAACACTGGTAATAGAAGAACAAGAACATGAATTCTTCATTAAATCTCATGGTAAAGAAAAGTATCCAAAATTAGTACATCATAATGAAGAAGCTGCTAATATGATAATAACACATCAAACTACTCAAATATCATTGGAACATGTATTCTAGATGAATTACATGGTTTTTCCAATTTGCTAGTACTAGCTTATTATTATTATTATTATGAAGTTTTACGATATTACGAAGAGGTTACTGATGTACATAGAAGACAAGGGTTTAATGGCTAAACAATTATTATTATTTATTTTCATTTCATTTTATAGAAAGCAATTTATAGAGAAACACGTATAGCTTTTTAATTTATAACAATATTTTAATTTAAGTTACTTAAAAGTGTCTGTAGAATATTTCTCTGTCTGTCTGAATGTGTGATGGATTAAGTTTTGTGGAGGTGGATCAGCAGATTTCGGAACAATTGTCTTTCGATGACTGTCTGAAAAGTGCGAAAAATAAAAACCCCGTTGTAGGATCGGAACTAAAAATTCCTTCGATTTTATTGTTCCGCGCGCGCGTATTGCGGTTTTATGTCCGAAAAAAGAATCCCCCACGCATCATCTCTGAAACATAAATCCGCTTATTAATCAATCAGTCAACAACTACAAAAAAATAAAATAAAACCTTATTTGATAATTTACATATTTCCGAAAAATCATTTACTGTAACAGTAAAAGTACATGTAAAATAAGCTGCGAAATAAAAACCCCAACCGATAGAATTTATACTAACCGATACTGCTTTACTCCCCCGTGATACTGTTATAGTAAATACACTCTTCTCAGGCAACAACCGAGACTCTTTGCCTTTGTTTCATGTAATTTGTGTCGTGTTTTGATTCGCGGCTTAATGGTCTCTTTCTTTCATCCCGCACGATCGGCAACATAAAAAGATTGAAGCCGCTTCAGCCCTACCTACAGAATTAATGCCGTTCACGAAATGGTTCTACTAGAGGCTATCGGCCTGAAGAACACCGGTCCGTTAGCTTAAATAGTTCTTGAGGATAGTTTACCCTTTTTTTTGCACCCTGTTTAGTGAGGTCTGCGATCAAGTGTGGAGAGTGCATTACATGTTTCCCACCACCGGTAGTTAAAAACGCGCCCCCACAATTATGCGCAATACTTTTAATTTCCGCAAACAATTATAATGAATCGGTTAGAATAAAACAATGGATAAACGCAAGTAATACTACACTCATTTGTACATATCTACCGGCTCGTTGATTCCCCACGTAATATGGGGTACTTTTTATAAATCCGTACTGTAAACAAAAGGAGATAGAGAGATGGGTTATGAGTGAATTAGAGGAGTAGTCTTAGAAGAGATTATCATATAAGCCGTAATGAAGTATCGGAATTACTTGAACAGGGAATAATCTTATCTTATCATACGTCTTATCATCCTGTGAACTTCCGCGAGAATTGCTGCTGGCAACTAACTTGCAACATAAAGATATCTTCATATGAAATAGAACACTTCCGTATTAAGTATCCATCCAATCATTTCATTGATATTATTTATTATCAGAAAAATTTATTGACAATATAATTAATTCTCCCCATCTATTTAACTTTTTCAACTCCTTGGTGTCGATGTCTACACAGTCACCTTCTTCATACTATCCACTATTTCATCATCATTAGGATTTGTATCATCTTCATTCCCAGCCAACCCCTTTTCAAATATTTGTCTACCAGTTAATTTCCCTTGATGCATTTTTTCAAATCTTTCCAACAATTGTTCATCATATTTAATTTCTTTTCTAAACTCATCTCTCCATTTTGAAAACAGTTCCTTTGTTACTTTTGTCCCAATAAACTTCTTTTGTTCTTCTTGTTCTTTTAATTCTCGTTCATGTTCATAATCTTGTTCTTTTTGTTTTAAGATTTGTTCAAATAATAATTCAGCTTCATCTTTTAATAAAGTAGTTAATGCAAACACCGAAGGCATACCTATGTTCATCTCTGCTTCTTCGTTAAGTTTACCAAGAAGTTGATTTAATTCAGTTCGAGTGAATTCAATGGTTTCACTCATATTTAAGGCTAATTTAGCAGCTTTTGTATCTTCATCATCCTCATCATCATCATTATCGTCATAATAATCATCATCATACTCATCGCTCTCATCCTCTTCTTGATCTTCGGCTATGTCTAGATATAATTCCGGTATGACTTCAGGATATGTAGGTGGGTATTTAACTTGTAAATTAAGGGCATGTTTTCTTTCTGATGGAGTATCTAAATTAATTCGAATTATAAATGTGGTTTCATTAAGTAATGTAAGTTCATCCGGATATATAGATTCAAGAACTTCTAATTCTTGTTGTTGTTCTTCAACTGGATCCATTTTGTAAGTTACTATTAGTGATGAGTGATTGCCTAGACTTTTGAGTTTAGCATTGGAAAATTTTTAACTATGTAACAACTGAACAAATATTACGACATAATTAACTATGCGACATTTAGTTTTTCAATTGAGAATGTCGTATCAACATCAGACGAGGTTCCAGTTTTAGAGATGTAAGCATGTTGAGCATAGTTATGAACAAATGTCAATTTTTCTATTCGGATAATCTAAACAAGCTTTGGCTATATCAAGTTATTACTTTCTATTTAATAACTAAGTATTTTAATGGGAGGAATTATTTACAGGTTATCTCGGGGTATACCAGTTAATTGTAAATATATTTTACAGTTTGAGTTGTTTTAGCCTTTTGTCTCAAAAAAAAATCAACAACCAGCAAAAAAAGAACAGCATCAAAATTGTTTCAGAATTATTTGCAAGTTATTTCGTAAGTCCTTTACAATAAAGTCAATTTACAAAGGAAGGAGAGAGAGAGTTGTTGATAATCTTATAAAAACACTTGTGATAAATTTCATAGATTGTACTCATTGTATATATAAACTAGAAACGAACAATAGACAATAGACAAAACAATAATACAAAAGTTTAACCCCCCCCCAATTATAAATTCAAATAACCTAAAAATAGAATTTATAAACCGGAATACTTCAAAATCATAGCTACACACACCCCAAGACACATATATATACTACCACTCAAACACACATAGACCCCAACCATGTCACATCAAATTACAAGTCTATTTCCACCATCAACATCAATTAAAGATTATGCATATCCAGAATCAAATCCATTACATATAGGTCAATATCCACCAATAGACCCAGAAATATCATCAACATCATCATCATCATCATCTTCCGAAGAATATCCCCTTCATCGAGATATCAACCACCATCTAAACGCCGAAGACGATTCTTATGATGACTCCTATGACGATGAAGAATATCATCGAGACGAGATAAATCGAAAAGCAAGAGCATTATTCGATTTCATACCTGAAAACGACAATGAAATCAAACTTACAGAAGGACAAATAATTTGGATCAGTTATCGACATGGACAAGGTTGGTTAGTTGCAGAAGACCCTGAAACGGGTGAGAATGGATTAATTCCGGAAGAATATGTTGAGATTGTTGATCTGATGACTAATGTGAAGACTGGGTTGAATGGATTGGAAGAAGAGGAAGAGGATGTACCAAAACCGTTCTTGCCGGAGATATTACAGGATCATCATAATGATCAATTGGAAGACCAGAATGGAGAAGATGATGAGTGGGTGGATACCACTGATGAAGAGGAGGAAGGTATGTCTCCGAGGATAATAGCACAAGCAAATGTTAATGATCAGGCGATAAAGCAATTATCTGATAAAGTTGATTCAATTACAATATGATAAAACATAGTCTCCCTTCACGAAAACTAATTTTATGTTCTTTCCGTTTTAGATGAAAAAGTTTCTGTATTAATAATGAAGTTTATCTTTATTGTATATAGTAGTAGTAGTAGCAATATGTATAGAGTTTACTTCTTTTCTTAATTTGTTTAATGGCATTTTTAATGAATTACATCATCACTATATTACTATATAATTACTTATTAAAAAATAATATTCCTTAAAAAAAATATTCAATCCTCATCTCAGTTTAGATCTCACCATTTAACAAACAACAACAAACAAACAACCACATCTCATTCAACCACCAAAAAGAGTCATGTCAACAGACTCGATAGATTCGAAGTCTATACCAACATCATCACCTAAAACAAAACCCGAAAGAGTACGACCAAATCCAATCTACATAGATTTCTATAATCGATTCATTCAACAAACGTTCAATCCAACATCACAACCATCATATCGGAAATTAAAACATTCAAAAATAACCCATACCGGACACGTCTATATCTATTCTCGATCACAAGAGTCGTCAATACCTAATGAGAGTACGCCTGGAACGCTATGGACACCACAAGAAAAGGAAATTTTCTTTGATAGTTTAAGTAAATACAGCATTCATCGATTTGATTTAATTCAATCACGACTAAAGACTAAAACCAAAATAGAAATCATGAATTATTATAATTTATTATCTCATGAATTGAAGAAATTAAAATCTCGAAAAAGACATAGGCGGGATAAATATAAATTAAGAAAATGGTCTTCGAAATTATTAAGGTATGATAAATTACCAATTGCTTATGAAATTTCGGAATATTTTATAAAATTTGAAGAAATTCAACTGGGATTGATGACCAAGAAAGAGAGAATTCGTGAAAAGAGGAATGAAAGAAGGTTTGCTAATGATATGAAGATTTATGAACCGATTTCACTATTCGATATAAAGACCATGAATGAATTATCTACCCTCGCAACTACCACATACAACTCACAAAACTCAACTTCATCCTGGCAACCACAGGCAGTATCACCAGGCATAGGATTAGAATCAATCATACTTCTAGAAGAAATCATCAAACTCCTAACTAAATCAATCATATTATCAATCATCTCCTCCCAAAAAACACCCACTCGAATAATCACAAAATCAGACATCTATTCCGCAATTCGGAAATTAGGATACATAAACCCCAATCAATATTTCGTGTTGGACAATTATTGGAAGGGGTGTTTGAATAGATATAAATCCCATCAATCGAAATTATCCAATCGGATTCAAACATTAATCACCCCGCCATCAGCTTTCATTATTCCACAACGATTAGACAAAAATGAGATCGGGGAGATGGATCGGGATGATGGGGATGAGGGGATCATACATATCAATTCACTCAAGCAAGAAAATCCCAACATGTCACAACTACTACTAGACCCCCTACCGGACATCAAACCAATATTGGATCACGAGGACGAGGAAAGTATATCGGAAGAATTTGAGGATATGTTACTTGTTCAAGAATGTCAAGAATTGGAAATGCAAGATATGACTGATTCAAAAATGTATGAACGAGGATTAGTTACCATGTTGTTAAATGAAGGAAATTATAATGAAGAAGATACGGAAGAGATTGAACGATTGGCAGAGATTTGGATTGATGAGGAGAATGAAAGGAAATCAAAGGAGAGAGAGGAAGGTGATATTGAAGACAGTGGTGATGATGAGCATGATCAAGATAGCGAGGAGGAGGAAGGTGGGTTTATAAATGGAAGTATGAGCAATGGGGGTGAAGAACTGGGAACAGGTAATATTAAGAAAATATCACCTGATAAGTTACATAAGGCATTAGTTAACAGTTATTATTATAGATTTGCGACTTATCAATGAGGTCTCCTTAGGTTGTTTAATATAGAGATATACCAGTTTGATCGTAGCTTAGAGAGAAGATTTATAGCCGTATACACATTGTCGACGCAGACTGTCTGGTTCTGAATCTACAAATATTCATTTCGATTTACTGTTCTCATGTATCGGAAAATAAATGTCAGATTGAACTCTATGTCTCATAAGTACATCTTTCTGTTTATTTACATACGTAATCTCGGACCTTGGCAAAACGTATTTCAAACGAAGAGTGTCTTGCGCTTACCCAGAACATTTAACATGAGGCAGACTACAATTTATTCAATTGATCCGATATAGCTTAGCTTATATTGAAGTCCTATCATCGCGAAATAAAAAATGCCTGTTGATTTGTTTGCCGAGATGAACGTGATTGGATATAACATCTAGTGAGATGCGTGTGAGAGATGCGAACATGTGACGCTTGGAAAATCAACTAATGCAGGAGTCGCGACTACACTTTAAGCATATTTAAGTGGCAAAAATAAAAGTGAATTTATCCATTTGAATTTGCTTATAATAAATTCCAATTCGAATGCAATTTAAAGAAAAAAAAAATTTTGCAGCCATTTTTTTAAATTTCCTCGTAAATTTATTTCATAAATAAAAAAAAAATAAACATAATTTATACAAACACTCTACAACACTATATGAACACTGCTTTCAAAGCAAGTTGACTCTTCTAGAAATTAAATAAGCAATATAAATGAACCAACTAAATCTAAGGTTTCATATAAATAACAATTGAATCAAATATGATTAAACTTCCACATACAATTAACATCCAATAATTTCTAAAATCAATATTATCAATATTCTTTATGATACTCTTGCAGCTATTGTTATATATGGAAACTTCTTTATAAAATATTGAATAATCTTTTATATTATACAAATTATAAAAGATTACCACATATTCATATAATATAAATTGATATGATAGATATAATTTAAACATAAATGATAATAATTTATATGTAAATTGTAAATAACCAAAAAATAAATCATTATCAACTCCATTTAATATTGGGAAATCATAATTGATTAATAGTAATGAATAATTGATAAATAAAGGTAAGAAATAATTATTACAATCTCTTAATCCTTGATACCAACCATTGCTTTCTTCTTCTTCATTATCTTTATCCTCTCTTTCATCCTTATTAGTTTTCCAATCAATTATGGATATAATAAATACCAAATAAGGTGCCATAATTTCTAATATAATACATGTTTTAATTAATATATTATCAATATATTGTAAATGATTTAATATTAATGAACACATAATATTTTGTAATATAAATAATAAACATTCAATATAAATTGATAATTCAATTATAATTTGAAATCTTAATATAATTATAATATTAATTAAATTACTAATAATATCATAATAATAATCTTCACTCATAATGAAATCCCATGAATAAGTTTCCTTGGGGTTTGATAGTATTGTTATAATCATTAATTGATTATATTGTAAATAAATATATATCAACAATATTAATGATGTAATTATAATTGGATTGGTAATTAAATTACATAAATATTTATCAATTATTAAAATGATATAATCTTTACCTGTTAAACTACCAAATGGTTGTTGCTTTTCGTTACTAGTTATTGATTTCATAGTTAAATGAATTGATTGATTTGGTTTAAAACAATAGTTCAATGGAAAATTAATAATTAATTAATGGGTGTAGGTGGGTGGTGATAGTGAATGAAATTTGTTATGTTTATTTAATAAATAGAAAATTATCGATGGATCATATAACCATGGGAATGCAAAAAAAGCAAAGGGGTTTTAAGAAAAGGGAGAGACCCGTATTCCCTTTTATATGAATTCAATCAGCGATGACTTATAGGCAATTATAAAATAACAATAATAAAAGTATAAAACTTTAATTAAATTATTCTTGTAAAACTATAAATATATATAAAATGTATATGAACCATGTGGTTTATCTTAACAAAAGAAGAAGAAGAAGGAGAAGATTAATGTATTCTTGTTAATTATTCTTTCTTGTCATTTTGTATGGTAGAATTCTTTAATATTATTTAACAAGGGCTTGAACGTGCTTTACTCCTCGCTTGTCTGAATATCGTTCAATATCGCGTTCTCCCTTTCTCTACATTTATTGTTTCAATTTTCCATCTTAGCCTATTGTATATGACATTACATTGTTAAGAAATTAATAAATACAAACCTTAAATCCCAAAAGCCCACACGTGTAAGCCCACTTCTTTTTGGCCTGATGAAACCGTAGAGAAAGAACAATACCCCTTTACCTCGTGTGGGTCATATCTCAAGCTTTCCATCCGCATAACCGTTTGCTCAGTCCCCATGGAGGTAAATTATTAAATAAGAATGGCTAAATTCCATTGCTTATCTATACATTAATGATTGCAAATCATTGCAATTGATTTGAAAAATAATAAAGACTCGTACATTTGTATCAAATAAAAATTGTTGACGCAACGTGGGACCGCAGACCACGTCTCTCACAAGCTTTCTTGATTTTCTCCCCATCATATAATTTTTCTTAGACCACTCTTTCTATTTTGTTTTGTATAAAGATCAAATATCGATTAGACACATGTTTCACAAGAGTGTTGTCGTGGATACAACAACAAGAAGGTCTTCTCAAGTTCTCGTATTAGCTTACTAATTTGGCTATCCCTTTTTTCATGAAATGTGTCAGTCACAAGTTGTTATGTGCAGTCTCCCTCCGGCGTTGGTTCCGAAAACCTTAATAGACGAGAATGTGGTGTGTATGACTGTAAACTGTGCTTGCAACATATTTCCTATTGTGCCATAATAACCTGGACTGAGGTTCCCACAATACAAATTGTACGTGCTTGGGTCCTCCCTTGGCATTGATTCTAATCTGTAGTGTTTCGCAAAGGTGCCAAGTCACAACTTGTGAATCCCACCTTCGTCATATGGTGCCAACCTGACATGGATAGATCCCTGTGGTCATTCCCTTTCTTCAAATCCGCATCAACGGCGGTAGAACAAGAGCCCTTCTTTCGGATCTCACACATGGTGCCTTCTACGATTCTGATGACTACTTAGCTTTGTCATATGCATCGCCGAACTACGTTCACATCCGGTATTGCAATTCACAATCTCTTGGTTGCTCCACGGACAAACTACATCGCGTCCCTGTCATCAAACAAGCGTAAGCTTCTCTTGGACCAAAATGTGTAGCTTCTCTATGATGGTCTTTATGTCCGGGTAACGTTTCCTTCTCTGTGTCTCACATTTCCATAAATTGTTTTAACATCAGCGACATGGATGTCGCTGTCTATTGAACCTAAACCGACATGTTCCTGTACATAAACTGTCCCTTCGAAAAACGGGGCCCTTGGCCCTCATACACAGGTTCAAGAAATTCCTAAAAACCTGGAAATCTCAATAATTTACAAACCATTGAGGGTCAATTGGTCAATTGGCATAAGCTTACAGCTCATCAAATACAATTGATGTTGATATAGAGTAATTGAAGTAAAGTTTAGTACTATAATGTTTTTGTTCTTTGGCTCATCTAACACAAATAAAGATAAAAGAGAACCTACATTTTTTTTGGCTTACACAAGAGAATCAAATACCTCTAAGAGTATGTAATCTCTTACTCAAATTGATCAATTCTTTTTAATCAATTTATAATTCACCAGAAGCTTCAATGGTAATAGTAGCAGCAGTAGCACCAGAAGAAGAACCATAAGATTCAATCTTCTTAACAACATCCATACCATCAACAACTTCACCAAAAACAACATGAGCACCATCTAACCAAGGACATGGAACAGTAGTAATGAAAAATTGAGATCCATTGGTATTTGGACCAGCATTGGCCATACTTAATAAACCTGGTTTATTATGAGTTTTTTCGAAATTTTCATCATGAAATTTGGCACCATAAATTGATTTACCACCAGTACCATTACCATGAGTAAAATCACCACCTTGTAACATGAATTGAGGAATAACTCTATGGAAAGTAGATCCGGCATATCCAAATCCTTTTTCACCAGTACATAAAGCTCTGAAGTTTTCAGCAGTCTTTGGAACAACATCATTGTATAATTTAAAGGTAATTCTACCTAAGTTTTGGCCATTGGCAGCAACGTCAAAGTAAACAGTGGACATGATTATTTGTAATTAATTTAGTGAAATTCAATTGCAATTGAGTTATCGAAAGGAAGAGAAAGAGAGAAAGAAGAGAATGAAATAGAATTCTAAAAAAGGGAAAATCCATTGAAGTTTTATAATAAAATTGCCAAAATTTTTCAAAACTTACCAGTACGGTGGTCGTGTATTCCGGATAATTTTAATTCCATTTCATAAGGGGGTTATTGGAAATCTGTTGAGCAAAAAAAATGAATGGCCTAGATTCTTCCATTTTAAGAGGGGGTTTATGGGTCGTGTACTTGAAAAACCGTGTAATGTTGCATTGTTCATTACAAGCCATACCCATACACATCTTACATGGTACAGTTTAACGATTTGAACCTTCAGTTGGAGGCTGGTTTAGAAGGTAGCAATCTAATTGATTTACATGGCAGTTGGACAATTGTTATTCTATTGTTCCCCACGTAAGCAGTAAGCAATGATAAATTATATTTCCATTTTCTTTTTTTACTTTTAGTTTATAGTTCCGAGCCTTGTCTTATTACCCGGATATATTCAACTAGCGCATACCCCATAAAAGGATAAATCGATTACATCATAGATAGCCTGTTTTTTTTACTTGGGATTTTGAATCTATCTTGTCTTATTTGACTCGGGAATTCACTCAAGGAGCTCAGATCCCCGAGGCAATCAATCTACATCAATACAACATGAATATAATTCATCCAAGCAGAACATTTTTATTTCACTATATATAAATATGCATAGAATAAGTCAATCATCTCCTTACAACTTTGCATCTAAGATATTTTCAACTCCAGACACATGAACACCACTCTCAGTTTCGACACCAAAATATTTCACAGTCTTATCCCTACTATCAACCAAAGTAGCATATCTCTTATTTCTAAAGACTCCCCCTCTATCAGCAGCTAATTCAAATTGTCCACTAAATCCACCATCACTTGCAAAATAAATCTGAGGAAGATTTTCAACATCCTTAACATATGCCTTCACCAATGTCTTACCCCAAGCATTAACAACAAATGCATCATTACAAGCCAAGACAATAATCGCACCAACTTTCTTATCGGTCAATTTGGATAAATTGGATAAATATCCCGGAATATGACGTTCTGTACATGTTGGAGTGAATGCACCTGGAACACTAACAACAACTAATAATGGTTTATCACTGGTTGATAATTGTTGAAGTAAATTGTCAACATTCAATTTTGCAGTAGTATCACATTTCAAAGGGTTTATTAATGATAAATCATTGAATTGAATTGGGATATGAGTGAATTCAACTCCAGTTGGGAATTGTTGTCCGACGGTGAATGGCATTTTGGTGGATATTGTTGATTTGAATCGTGATAAATATTTGGCTTGGGTAATTGCGGATTTTGCAAGGTGTTTATATAGCATTGAGAAAAAAAGAAGAGCAGAACCACAGTGATGGTTGTTGTCGATAGTTTTGTGGGATTTGTATTAGTAATTTTCTCTCCACAATTTGATGGTGTTTTCCTGTATATAAAAACGAACGGCGAGGCAAGGTTTTTTTTTTGCACTGAGCATTATTCGCATGATTACGTAATCATAATTTTGTCAGAAAATTTTAAGTTTGTCCAAACCATATTTGGTATACGTGTACTACCAGTAGTCACCAACAACGAGTGTTGCAAGAATTATAACGACCCGTTTCCACCGAGGGGCAAGAATCTAAAAATAATACCCAGAGCACGGGCTACATCTGAAGCACGCAGTCGCAGTCAGTCAATGTCAGTTGAGAAAACTTATTAAAATAATCTCTCTCTCCATTCACAAGAAAATTTTGAAAATCGAATAAAAATTTCTTGGTCGAGTTTTCAATCATTCATTCAACTTTTGGGGGTTGTAGTTTTTCGTATTTAACCTTTTAACCCATAACACATCTGCTTGCTTTAAAAATTTTTATGGTGTCATTTGTAACAACTTACTTTCTGGGGAATTTTCCAGCTTAATTCGTCGATGTATAAATAGGTTGCAATTTATCCTTCCAATTCTTCTAACTTCTCGTTCTTACTCTTCAATTTATCCCCCCTAGTATTAAATAAAACCCCTAATTTATAATGTCAACCGCAGAAGCAAGCGTTCCTGAAATCGTCCCCACTGAGGATGTAAACGAAGTTGAAGCCAGCATTCTTCCAGAACCGTTCACCGCTGAAACCCAAGAACTTAGATCTAGATTAGAAGCATTCTTCCATCAATATTATTCCATAAGTCATCTGAAATACCTTAGTGCATGTTACAATCTTAGACAACCAGAAGATGATGATCCTCTTGGTCAATTCATGAATGCAATTCCTCATTTATTTATTTTTAATTATTATAGATATAATAAGATTAGTAAAAGATTAGGTAGTGCTTATTGTCATGTTTTGAATGAATATTTTCAAGAATGGAAACAAAACCCTACTGAATTTAAAGTCCCAAGTGAAGAAGAAATTAATGATAGATTGAATAAGAATAAAATCTATTCTGAATATGTTACTCAATTTAAGAGAATACTGATTTGTGATGAAGATAAACAAGATGCTCTTAAGGCTGTTCATGCTGTTCAAGATGAACAACAACCTCGTAAAGAGAGTCAATTTGTTCATGGGATAGAAAAGGGATTGAAGACTATTAAGGATATTTTATTCATGGATTAGAGAGATAGCTGTTAGGGTTATCCTTTTGTGTTTTATGTTTGTTTTATTATTCTTGCTCTTATTCTTCTGGATTTCTAATGTTTAATATATTAATCAATTTGTTTTCAGTCGATTAAGTAACCCAAAGTAAGTAGATCTAATGGTGTGATATATTAGTGGGATGATTTATTCTAAACTCTATTTACTTTTTTTTTTTGCAGCAATTAACAGGAAACTATTGTTCATTCTGAAAGTAACTATAAATAGATTAAGAATAACACGTAAAATAGTTATGATTGGATCTATAATACTTCCCTTAAAGTAAAATTATCTGATTGCCCGATTTGAGAAACCAGTAGAGAATCGATGTATCTCTCAGGATCTTGTTGCATAAAACCACCACTATGACATACTATCTATGGGTCAGACGCGGTATTCTCTCTGGTTAAACTAGGGATTATCCTACCTTTAAACAGTTTCGCAATCGTTGATTTTCTAAAGATATCAGATAGATTATATAGGTTGTAGAACAAGATTTATAAGAATGTGTATACGATGGAAGGAAACTATAGATTTACAAGTAAAATAGAAAGAAAGTATAAAAATGATATCATATTGCATATGGTAGCGAGAAAAAAACAAAATTTTAAAGATCTCCCGGCTAATTTCTTTAGTGTTTTTAAGTTTTAACCAATTTTACATTAAAACAATGAATTTGTAACTACTTTCAACAATACAACATTCAACTAGACACGACATTGGAAATTTCCTTATAAGCTCATTACAACTTGATTTTATACGCGTATTTTTCAAAATCATCATTTACTCTTTCACTTTCTATACTTCCCATATTTTGCCCATTCTATTCAAACACACAATCAAATCTCCATTTTCTTTTTTTTGGTTTGATTGATTTATGAGTGTTGCTAATAATAATTCATTAGAATCTTATGATTCAAATCCCAATCAGATTCAACAACAAATTAATACAAATCATACTCAAGAAACAATGAGTAACAAACGAAACAGTGGTTATAGTAATTCATCTACTGATAGTGGAGAACCACAACTACGTCCTTTAAGATTATCCAAACAAAGAAGAGATTCTGGCGGTAATAATACTAATAGTAGTACTGGTACTCCTTCTCCCCTTCCAAAATCCCCATTGCCTAAAGATTCATTCACTGGAAAGAAACAATTCTTCCATGAACCAATGGATGTTGATTTCCAACCTCGTCCAATACGATTAGGTTCAAGATCACATATTTCTTCACAATCAGTCAATAAACCAGCGGCTGCACTGATAGCTAGAAAACAATTATCCGCCAATCCAGATAGAAATTCAACATCATCAGATCCAGTAGGGACATCCCCTACTTCAGATCCACTGTTATCTGAGGAGGATCTTCGAAAATCAAGATCCTGTGATGTTAACGCTATCACCGCCTCAACTACAACATCCACAATGGAGAAGAGAAAGTCAATTAAAATTAAAATGTTACCAATTGAACAACAAAATGCACCTATCCATCAGTATACGCATGAAGATACTATAGATGAAAGCACCAAATTAGATGATATGATATTTGCCGTTTGTTTAGTTGATTTCCATCATCAAAGAGGTCCAGAAATTCAATGGTGGAAATCAAATTATCATCCTGATTATGATCCAAGTTTATTTAAAAATATCCCATTTTTAGCATTACCTGATGGTTCACATTTATTTGAAGAAACATTTTCAAATTTTAATTTAGTTTATGATTTTAAACGTAAACGTTCAATTGATACTTTAAAAGATATGAATGAATTTGATGATGATCCAAGATATTTGAAAACTTTATTTGGATGTAGTTGCGTACAACAAGTACGAACAAGTATTTTGACAACTGAACAAAGAGAAGAGAATAAGGATATTACTAGACTGATTGTTCAAAAAGCAATTGTAATTATTGTGAGAAAACAACCAATTTTCATTAAAATAAAGGAGAAATTATCAATTATAACCAAAAGTTATTTCCAACAAGATACTCTTCATAATTTTGAATTATTAGAAGATTTGTTTGATAATTTAAATAATCAATTTAAATTAAAAGATAATGAAATGTTACATGAATTAATAATTGAACATGAACAAGAAAACTTTATAAATTTAAATTTAAAATCTTCAATATCAAAATTTAAATTAAATTTTATGATAATTTACAAAGCTTTATTATTAGATAAAAAGATTATAATTTATTCAAATACTAATTTACAATTATTAACTCAATTTCAAAATAATTTAATATCATTAATTCCTAATTTAATTAATAATTTAGATAATTCAGGATGTCCATTAATCGATTATATTGAAACTAATGGTCCATTAACAAAACCAACCAGTTTAAATACCGTGAATAGATTATCAATGTTAAGATTCTTTGGATTACCATTACAAATTTTCAATACAAAGAATTCATTTTGGAATCCATATTTACCATTACAACAATTAGATGAATTATCAGTTGGAAGTTTTATGATTGGATGTTCAAATTTATTAATTGTTAATCAAGCCAAGAAGTTTGATGTTGATATTTTGATTGATTTAGATACTCAAGAAGTAACATTCCCCAAAACCAACTATAAACCAGAAGAATTAAGATTAAGCACATTGGATAAACGATTTATCAATCATTTAATTAATACCGTCCAATCTGAACCTAGAAGTAGTGATAAATATATCGGAAGTGATGATTATATACGATATCAATTTGAAGATTATTTAAATTCCTTGATTTCAACCATGAGATTTTCACAGTATGTAGATAGGTTCCAACTCCCACCACCAGGATTCACAACTGAAGGAGATAAACATATTGGAAATACTGTTGATTTTAATCCTAAATTTATAGAAGCTTGGAAACAATCGCAAAATTTCAAAATTTGGAATTCAATGGCTGATGATTTCATATTTAATTTCATTGATCCAAAACATGTATCTATTGATAATATCCCAGAAGAACCTACTTCAATCAATAAAAATATCTCCAATTTTTTCAATAGTTTTAAATTCAAAGAAACAAATTCTTCATCCACATCTTCCCTTCATGAAATCAAAGCTCAGAAATTCATCCCCAAGGAACAAGCCGGGGATATGGTTCCAAGCACGCCAACCAATGCCAACTACAACAACAGCAACACTAAGGAGAATGAATCAGATGATGGTTTGGATGAATTAGTAGCGGGGTTCGAAAGAGTAAGGACTAATAGTACTACCAATAGTATGAGTAAAGAAAGTTCACCCCTGGTTATAAGGACTCCAACTCCAACTAAAACTGTGGCTAATAAGATCTATAATTGGGCTTGGGGTCAACCAAAGAGCTAGAATACACCCGTGTGTGACTTTGTCGGTGTAGCGTGCTTATATATTATTAAATAGAGATATCTTTGGATAGGAAATACACTTTAAATAATCTTTAAATAGTCTCTCTTGTGGATTGTTGCAAAATTGGTTGCAATTAGGTGTCACTTGGTAGCGTCTGTTGATCATCGCAGAAAAAATTATTTTGAAGATTGAAATTTTTCAGTTCCCGGTAGAACTAATTGTACCAGAACTTATCCACCAATGAAACATCCATATCAAATTCTCGCGACTAATAAAGCAGGTACTCACCTCTTTGCATCCGTTAAAAACGTCTTACAAGTATTTGATCTTTCCACCGGTCATAAAATCGGAGAATGGATCGATTCAATCCCAACTGATCAAGTAACTCATCAAAATTCCCAAGTCAAAATCTCCAAAAAGAAAGGTGAACCAATCTTTTCACAACCTATATATAACTATATCCGAGCATTACGTTTATCTTATGATGAGAAATACATAATAGGAACAACAGATAGTGATAAATCTGTATTTATTATTCTGATTGATTTCACAAATGAAACCAATTGTTTAACATTGATGAAAAGACAACCATTCCCCAAAAGACCATGTTCGATTTCTATTGATGACAAGAATGCAAATGTGGTGGTTGCTGACAAATTCGGGGATGTTTATGTTATTCCTATAGATAATAATGAACCTATTGCTCAAAAAGAATTAGAACCTGTATTAGGACATGTTTCTATGTTGAGTGATGTATTGATGACCAAATATAACAATAAACAATTTATCATAACTGCTGATCGTGATGAGCATATCAGAGTCTCAAACTATCCCAAAAGTTATGTAATCAAGGATTGGTTGTTTGGACATGAAGAATTTGTTTCTGAATTATATATTGACCAAAATGATGATCCTTCAGTGTTATATAGTGGTGGTGGGGATGATTTTGTATGTTTATGGAAATGGTATGATAATAAATTATTAACTAAAGTTGATCTTAGATCTTTAATTGAAGAATATTTACATGATGGTCATTTACCTCCTGAAAGATTCTTAACTGATGACTCTAAAAAGGAAATTTCAGTTGCTAAATTATTAACGGTTAAAACTGAAAGGAATCATTTATTAATTGTATTGGTTGAGAATACTCGTTGTTTATTGACATTTACTATTAGTGAAGACTATACTGTTGTTCAACATAAGCAAACTATTGCAGTTGAAAATTCAATTATTGATATCTGTGTTGATCCAACCAATAAGAAAATCATTGCGTCATTGGATACTGAAAATCAAGATGAACTCTTACAAATCTTATCATTCGATGATCAAGATCAATTGGCAGTTGATTCTCAATATCAAAAACAAATTATAGAGATAGCCAATGCCAATCCATGTGATGTTGAAAATAGACTGGAATTCCATCAATTGTATTATATCAACAGTTTAAGAAAGAGAAGTGAACACTAATAAATAAAAAAATCCATTATTTTTGGTGAAATATGTATTTATACACACACACTATATATTCTATTAATTAACGATATTATTCTTGTAATAACAATTGTACTGCTTCTTCATCATCATCATGAACAAATCCACCTTGTTTACATAATGAATAGAACAATGAATCCTTGTTCTTTAATAAAGTAGCTGGAGTATCAAATTCTGCAACTTGTCCCTTGTCCAATACTAAAATCCTATCGGAATCTAAGATAGTATTTAATCTATGAGCAATGGTAATAATTGTCTTATCTTTAAATTCACTTCTAATTGTCTCTTGTAAAATTTGATCGGTTTCAACATCAACAGCAGCTGTGGCTTCATCTAATACTAAAATATTAGAATGTTCCAATTTCAATAAGACTCTACCTAAACACATTAATTGACGTTGTCCAGTGGATAAATTAGATCCACCTTCAGATATCTTAACATGTAAAGCATTTTCCAATTCTTCCTTTTCATTATCTTCTTCATACATCTTAATGACATGATCTTTCAAATGAGATAATTCTAATACTTTCCAGATTTGATCATCGCTGTATTCATCAGTTGGATCCAAATTAGATCTAATAGTACCTTCAAATACTTGAGAATCTTGAGGGATAATCGAAAGCTTATGTCTTAAATCATATAATCCAATAGTTGAAGTATCAATACCATCAATAACAATCAGTCCTCCGTATTTTTCAATAATTCTAAATAAAGCTAATGTAATTGAAGATTTACCAGCTCCTGTTCTACCAACAATACCAACCTTTTCACGAGGTTTAATATCCAAGTTAATATCTTTCAATACCAAATCCAATTCTGGTCTATACTTGGTTGAATAATTTTCAAATTTGATCTCACCTTGTTGTGGCCAGTCTTGAGGTGGACGATGGTCTTCAATGATTTCTGGAGCTTCTGGAGTCAATCTCGAATATTCTAAAATTCTTTCCACGGAAACAATATTGGTTTCAACTTCAACTGTCATTCTAACAATCCAATTCAATGATTGAGTGATTTGTAATGCATAAGAAACTGATAAACCAACTAACCCAGGGGTTAAATTACCTGATTTTAATGTCAAAATAGAAAATCCTGCTGCACCCAAAATAATAATCGATCCTAAGAATTCCAATCTCACAGCTAACCATCTATTAGCATTCACCGCTGGATGATAAGCAGCCATATTTCTATCAACTCTTATTTGATTCATGTATTTGAATCTATCTTCTTTGGCATAAGCTCTGATTATAGAAACACCAACTAAAGATTCTTGGAAATTGGCAAAAATTGGTGATCTGGAAACTGAGTCTAATCTTCTTAATTCACGAGAAGTACGTAAATAATATTGTTGGTAATAAATATATAACACACCTAATGGTACAACAAGGAAAATAAATGGCCAAGTTGAAAAACAAATAATAACAATTGTTAAAAAGACTTTAATGGCATTACTGAAGAACATATTGAAAACTCTTCCTAAAATTTCATCAACTTTATAAATATCATTGGAAAATCTATTCAAAATTCTTCCAATTGGAGTAGTTTCAAAAAATGTCATTGGAGCACGTAAAACACTAACAGCCATTGAATTGTGTAATTTCTTAGATCCATGAATAGTACAGAAAATCCAAAGGAAACAATTTTGAATCAATGAAGAAAGTGAAAATCCAATACCCAACAAAAAGTAAACTCCCAAGTATTTAACAATATTTGGATTGTAACCATATTTAGTATTAATTTCGGACCAATGCTTCAACCAGAAATTAGATGCAACATTAATAACAAACGAAGAAAGAGCAAAGAATAAGAACACAAGCACATTATATGGATTACATGCTTTGGCATATTCACGATAAACGTCCCATTTAACTTTACCTTGTTCAAGATGTTCTTTTCTTGCCTTAGTATCTTCATCCTCTTCTTCTTGTTCAATATTGGCTTCTTCTTCATCAAGGGAGACATCACTTGCTCTTCTTAAACTACCACAATCAAAATCAGAATCGGAATCTAAATCTTGTGGATTAATTTCATCACAAGCCTTAACTTCTTCAAGTTCACCTTCAGTGGTTGTCTTTTTACGGGCAGCAGCAGCGGCAGCTTCATCACTTGGACTTGGGGATTCTTCTCTCTTCTTACCGAAACTTTCAATCAATTGTCTAATCTTTGAATTTTCTTGTTTTATAATATCATCATAAGTACCCAGTTCAATTAATCTACCATCACTAACCATATGAACACTATCAGCAATACTCAAAACCTTGATATTATTAGTAGATAAGATTCTACATTTAGTTTTCAATAACCCATGAGGTCCCAATACATGATCCGTCAAATGTCTACCAACATGTTCATCCACGGCACTTAAAGGATCATCTAACAAATAAACATCAGCACGGGCATAAACAGCTCTAGCTAATGATAATCTTGCCTTTTGACCACCAGATAAGGAAATACCCTTTTCACCAACTTCGGTTTTATCACCCTTTGGTAAAATACCTAAATCAACATTCAAAGCACATGCTTTAATAACATGACGATAAAATTCTGGATCATATTTATGTCCAAACAAAATATTTTCTCTAACAGTTCCATTCATGATCCAAGGAACTTGGGAAACATAAGCGACTTTACCGTGAACTTTAACATCACCATCCAATTTATATAAATCTCCAAGAATAGCTTGAATGATTGATGATTTACCACTACCGACACGACCAACAATACAATCCAATTCTCCCTTTTTGGCGACTAAATTTATATTTGATAATGCAACTTTATAATTTTGTTCTCCTTTAGCTTTGGACCATAAGAATGTACCATTGGTGATTGAAACAGAATCATCTCCGACTTTCTTAGCTTTTGGTAATCTGACAACTGCATCAGCTTGTAATTCGGCTCCGGTTAAGAATTTGGTTAATCTTCCAATTGCAACTTGTGCTTCAACAATATTGGTTATAACCATAGGAACAACAGCTAATGGGAATGATAATAAATTAAACAAAGCTAAAGCTGGGAAGACTAAATCAGTGGATAAACTCTTATCTTGAGTCCAAACATAGACGGCAAATGTACAACATGAAACTAAAAATGGAGCTAGATTCCAAGTGAAATTTGTGAATGCCATAAAGATACCCATTTTTTTCAAATTATGTAATTCTTTATCATTTCTAACGTGTTGTAATCTAGCCAAATATGGACTTTCCCAACCATATAATTTCAAAGATTTAATATTGTTTAAGATTTCATTAATTAATCTTGATCTTTCATCTTTGAAAGTCATTTGAGTCTTCTGTAAACGTTTTTGAACACGGGCAATTGCACCATTCAAAGGAATCATAATGATCATAATTGCGACACCTGCCCACATTGAATTACCAATTAAACCATGTAATGAGACTAAACATAAAACGATTTGGAATGGACCTGACCAAATAATTTGTAAATTCTGAACTAAATCTTGTAATCTTTGAACATCGACAGACATCAAGTTAACAATATCACCAGTAGAAGCTTCTTGTCTTGCTTCATTAGATAATACTAATGATTTGCTAAATAATACTGAAGTCAAACTTGATTTAATTTTCATACCTAATTCAAAAACTCTTTCGAAATATTGATGTAAACAAGCTGTTTGAACAACAGAGACAATAAACATCGAGATTGCAATCAAGAACCCACGGGTTAATGGAATTGGATTTCCCGCTTTAGCGGAATCCACGTAATCACTAACAAACTTAATTAATAATCTTAATAATTGAGGTTGAACAAATGCCAACATATCTTGTAATCCTTTAAATATACCACCCATCATAAATTGAGCACCAAATGCTTTAGCAATTGCTAAAGTCAATGAAGGCTTTTGGGCATTTTGAGAATTCCAATAATGATCAAAAGCGTTAGATGTAGTTGAAGCACGTAATTTCTTAGGTAAGAGTGGTAAATCACGTTCAGTTAAAAATTGAACATAACCTTTCTTCATTAATCCTGCCATCCAGTCAAACGTAATTCTTGAGAATACATTTGCTCTGTCATAAGGCGAATCATGTATGAGTTTTTTAGTAGAAATTGGTTGAATTGGAATAACAATCTCAATAATCAAAATGATGAATGAGTTCACAGTTGATAAAATGATAAAAATTCCAAAGACATTATTCAATACATGTCTTAAATGCAAATTAGTAATTCTTCCTAAATTGAACAAGATTTGGAAAAGCCAATAAAATAACAAAACTCCATTTGGAATATTTGATTTAAATTGTTCTAAATAATGAATTCCAAATGCAACTGCATTTGCAATCACATTTAAAATCAATGCCAATCTAATAATACCAACTTGACCATATGAAGCAGCCAATACAATTTGAAAGATAAATTGTAATAGCACCAATAATAATTTAATATAAAAATTATATCCAGTTCTATTACCAATAGTAATTTTCTTATTTCTTAAATAAATTAATTGATAAATCCCAACTAAAATCATCGAAGTTGAAGCAAAAGCAAATAAGACACCTTGTAAGAAACACGGGGTCAAATCGTTATAAGTTGGAGATAATGGACCCCAACCATCTTCTTTAGAATTACAACCAAACCAACTGGTATTAACGAATGGTGTTGACGCGTTGTCTTTTGATTGTGTAAGAATCAAATCATTGATTGTATTTGATAGTAACATTGGATTGAATGAATCCCATTGATGACTCCCCCCAGGAGTTGATCCTGAAGATAATACTTCGATCTGTTCCATTTCTTCACTTACTTTGTTAAGAAGTTTACGCTTGCAAAAGAAGTAGAGGAAGAAGAAAGAAGAAGAGAGAAGAAAGAAGAAGAACGGATTTAAACGGCAACAAACTTTGGTTGTAAAAAAAAATCACGTTTACGGTGAAATTTTTTTTTTAACTATAGATTCTTTTATATGCAGGCGATTGATGACAAATTGTAATTCCGATAGTCTAAACAATAAAACAGTCGGATTGATTTCCGAATTAGGAAAGTGTGATCGGAAGTTTGTGTAATCGTCTTTAATTGTCTTCAACTAGATAAGCCTTCTAACTACACATCAAATCAGGTACATTATAATTACTGACGGTGGCAATGTTGACGATTAATACAGTCGTCTGTATTTTACTTTCTCTTGTTAACTGGCGTTGGTAGGATGGGGGGATAATAAGGTTTTGGAAATTTTGTACGTTCAACCGAATATCGGTGAATCGGGAATAAGAATAACTTCTAACCGAAAGTACTGTATACTAGGCTGTTGGGTTATTGAAGAAGGCATACTTATTTGATATTCTGATTGGATCCTTCTAGACGACAACAGCGGTGTAATGCCGAGTTCGTACTACCTGTGATAGGACAAGATATGTCTGCAAACAGCTTTGGTATTCCCTCTTACTATACTCCAATTCATGCAAGGTCCTTCGGTTGAACAATATCGTTTATTATACAAAATCAACGCTATAAACACGTCCTATATCAAACTAACTAAACAACTTCTTAAGTCTAGATGTCTTTTTCTTTTCTTTACTCTTCCCATTACTATCAGCCATAGAACTATTCCCTGTACTCAAATCACTTCTCTTTCTATACAATCCTGGACCAGTACCAGCACCACTACTGCTGCTCATCTGTTGTTGTTTTCTCACCTGTTCATCAAATTGATTCATCTTTGTAACGGCAGGCAGTTGTACCGGAGGAGCCGGTGGTCTTTCATCCTCATATAAATATCTCGGAATCTCACTCTCAGCCTTCTCCAATTCTCGTGATAAATTCAATTCTAAATCTCTAATTCCTTTATTCGTATCCACATCTTGTAATCCAATCAAGAAATCACGAGGGTTGATTATAGATTCACTACCAATATACATATCCCTTCCCAATTCATGGGATAATTCATATACACTTCTCATTTCTGAATAAGTGATCCCACCGGCTACATAAACAAAGATTCTTTGTTTGGGGATACTGGACAGACTTCTGGTTGAAGTCAAGGAATTGGCATGTCTGAGTGATGCTGAAGATGCCCATTGTGCTTTGATTCTTGGATTACGTAATGATCCTGACGTTGGTAAAGTGGCCGAAGAATTTGAGGAATTGGTTGATGAATGAGATTTTTTGTCAGGAATATCGTTAACTAATGGTTTATCTCTGAAATATGGGAACCACTCTTCGTCAAGTTGAAATCTTGTTAGATTTGTCAAGACATTCTTTAAAGCAGGTTGAAATCTGGAAGTATTATATGTTCCTTCATTATTTATGCGATGGAAAGTATGTTTTGTCATTGGTTTATCCTTAATGGAAGGTTTAATCACCGGGAATCCCAATTTGGCAAGATTGACAAAACATCGACTTATTAATCCAATAATTTGTAAATCATTTACCCCAATGAATTTTGTTAATTTTTTAAAATCGGATTCAATTAATCCTCCACGATAAAATGCATAGATTAAGATTAATCTCATTTTATCATTTATATGCAAATCATCACGACTTAATAATACAATTAAATCATCATGTAAATGTCTGTTTCGTTCCCCCTCAAAATTAACCCCTTGGGCACAACATGTTTGTTCAAAATCAGCTGCCAATTCTGCCAATTTTCGATCAGCATTCAAATCTAAACATTCATCAATTAATGTCTTGTGTAAAGTTAATTTCTTTCTTTCTTCATCAAACCCCTTTAAATGGGCCACAATATACATTAAATCAGATGATGTTGATGCTTTAGAACGATCAATCATTAAAGGATTATTTTTAATTAATTCACTAATTTTATTAAATATAATTTCTGAACTTTCAATAATATGTAAATGACGAATATTTATCCAATCTTCATCATCTTCATCATCCAATTTTGCTTCAATATCCATCTTTTCACCAGCTTCATTTTCAGCTGAATATTTATATACCCCATTTCTTTCTAAAGATTCAACTATATCCATAGCCATTGCTTGATAAGTGAATTCATGTAATAATGGAGCATATAAATCTAATGTTCTATCAGTAATCAATAATATTGATCTTGGTTTATCGGGAGTATAAGGTGGTGGATAATCATCATTTACACGACAATATTCATCAATTTGTCGTTGGAATTCTTCTGCAATAAATTCACATAAAGTACTAGCTCTATGAGTTGGATGTTGAGGACTATAATATCTAACAAATGGAAATTCTCCAGTTATAATCATTAAATTGAGTAAAGATCTAGCAGCTAATTTAATTTGATGTCTTACTAATTCCGAACAATTATCATTAAAATAAATTGGCATTGAGTTTTTAGTTTTATTATCAGTTAAAAAGACTCTTGATTCTTCAGGATATAATCCAATTTGAATGAATTTGATTGAATCAGATTGATTAAAATAATTGAATATTTGTTCATTTCCCATAAATTGATTTGATTTAAAGAAATGAATGGTTTTTGGATCAGTTGGAGTAGCCAAGAATAAGGCATGACCTGATTTATATCTATTCTTTTGAACATCAGTTATAATACATTTCATATTATAAATTGTTAAATCAACTAAATAAATGGCAGACATAAATTTATTTGGTTTCCTTTTAGCATCAATAAATTCTATAGAAGTTACTAAACGAAGCAAATGTTGTTTTGATATGATTCTATATAATATTGGTTCTATTTTAGTGTCTATAATCAAATTATATAGATTACCTTGAGTTATAATTGATTTAAGTTTATTTACAATTAAATATTCATATTGTAAATTAAGTAAAGAATTGGGATCTTTATTTTTAGTGATTTTCGATGAACTCATTATCGAGCTTTGTTCTATGCTGTGCTGATGTGATTGATACAGTACTTAAACTGTGATGGTAGTAGTAATGGTAGTGGTAGTGGTAGTGGTAATGATTGATGATTCTCTGGTGGTTGTAAAAATTTGAACGACTCAGAAAAAAAAAAGGGTTGAGGGGAGGAGAGAGAGTGATCTCGTTACTTTGAAAAATTGGTCGACTAAATTGTACTGGGGGGGAGACTCCACGATAAATCCACATAAAGTGATACAAAAACGAAAGTTTTAAGACACGGAAAAGAGAAACAACAACAAGAAGAAAGAAATGAACAATCAAACAATAAGGAAAGAACATTGAAGATTAAGAAACAACGGCATACTACTACAATTTATAGAAGGAACAGTAAAAGAGTAACTACAACTGGTCTGCATTTATATCCAGTTACACTATCGAACGAATTTCATTCTGTAGAGTGGTAATAACATGTATAAGCATCAATAGTAATCATAGTAGTTGCCTGTTCTATATAATGTCGAAATGCTTTTGTGATTCTAAGGTACAGTAGTGGCTTCAATCGTTTTAGAACCGCCGAGCCGCACTCCCTTTGCCTAATTGGGAGATCATATTGTCGCAATAGTACAACATGAAATAATTTTAAAGTAACATGTCTACATGTGGGTTATAAATACGAATTTAGTGACTCTCTTTTGGTAGTAGATGTTATTAAGTTAACTTTAGGTATATTGGTATCACTAATGGGGTAAAATACATATGCAGGGTGAATATCAATAATAATTCTCATAGTATTTTTTGTAGTGGTGGTTCCATGAGTCTCTGCCAGTTTGATTTATTTCTTGATTACATAATCATAATTAAAATTAAAAATCAAAATTCAATTCAACAATTTGATTTCTTTTTTTTTTTGTTTGAATAAAAAAATATACGAGAAATTGAGAAAGAAAGAAAAAAAAAATAACTAAACATGTAAATTGCTATTTAATAATAATAATATTTGGTACAATATTCTAGAGAGGCTACCTACCAACTTAGCCAATATTAGGACTATTATTATCAAGTGTGTATACTACACTTCCTTCATTTTTATTTTTAATCTGAATTGTGTTTTTATATTTATTTAATTATATTCTTATTTTAGTTACATTTTCATTTTCATATACACGGCTAGTACCACTACCGCTGAATACTACTTGACTACCACTACTACTACTAGTAACACTACTACTACTAGTACCACTACTACTACTAGTACCACTACTACTACTAGTACCACTACTACTACTAATACCACTACTACTACCATTCAACATTATATGAAAACATAATAAGATATAATAAGATATATATATTAAACACATAAACACTCACATCGATTATACACATTCACTAAATGACAACATTCACTACAACTTCAACTTCACCTAATAGTACTCCTAATAATATTACTAATACTACTACTAATAATACTAATACTACTACTGATACTACTACTATAGATAATAAATCTACTGTTACAACTACTACTACAGCGTCAACGCCTATATCTTCTTCTAGTTCTACTGCTACTACTATTCATAGTTCACTTCAAGACAATAATAACAACCCCAACGAGAAATTATCTCCATCAGGACAACAACAACAACAGATCCCAACTACATATAGTCGATTTAATATGGAAGCAATAATATATATCGTCGGATGGTATTTCTTTTCTTTATCAATATCAATTTATAATAAATGGATGTTTGGTCTGGGATTAGATTTTAAATTCCCAATTCTAATTACATCATTTCATCAATTATGTTTATGTTTATTAAGTAGTTTCGTACTATATTTCAATCCTAAATTACGACCAAGAAGAAATACCCAATCACATTTACATAATAATAATGAACAACAACATCAACATACTTCAGAATTAGTTCGATATTATCACTCCCTTAAAATTGAAATTATGGTTTATATAAAACAAATCATTCCATGTTCAATTGCAAGCGCGGGTGATATTGGACTTTCAAATGTTGCAATATCATTAATTTCCTTAAGTTTATATACAATGCTCAAAACAAGTTCATTAATGTTTGTTTTGATGTTTGGTTTATTATTCAAATTAGAAAAATTCAATTGGAGATTAATCGTAATTGTGATTATTATGACTGGATCAGTTATCATGATGACTAAAAAACCGGCCACGGGGAATATAGCGGATTATTCAAGTATGGGAATTATAATGGTCCTTGCTGCATCCTTGCTTTCAGGATTACGGTGGTCATTCACTCAAATCTTACTTAAACGAAATCCATACACACCTAATTCAATCTCAACCATATTTTACGTAGCTCCATTCATGTGTTTTGTGTTATTTATTCTTGGATTGATTGTCGAAGGTTGGACAGAATTCATAAATCATGAAATATGGATCGAAAAAGGGTTCTGGACAACTATTGGATTGTTAATCGTGCCTGGGGTATTAGCATTCATGATGACTTTATGTGAATTTAAATTATTAACCGTGGCACAAGTTATCACCCTTTCGATAGCGGGAATATTTAAAGAATTATTAACGATTTGTTTAAGTTCAGTGATATTTGGTGATAGATTAAGTTTGATTAATATATTGGGATTAATATTGACATTTTTTGATATCTTATGGTATAACTATTATCGATATCATGAAAATGAATTTAAATATCAATCTTTAAAAGAGGAAGATTTAGAATTAAGAAAGATTCAAACTAATTAGAGTTACATCACATCACATCCCACCGTGTCGATTAACTTCCCCCCTCGCATATAAACGGTATCCATTTATAGAATAATGTAGATTAAAAACATAAATATAACAACACTCGCCCCCAATTAAGCCATTCTCTAAATATCTAAACAAATTCATTTTAAAAAGTTATCAATAATTTAATAATATACAATTTTTACATTAAAACCACCAAAACGATCCCACCAATTATCCCCATAACAATTCTAATATCTTTCTCAAACACTCCTCTCATCATCCCTCCAATTTCTCCAGCACTCCCGACACCGATATTTCTCGTCAGACTAGGATTTGCCGAAGCAGCAGTCGCACCCCGACCAGGAATAGTAGTAGTAGTAGTCAACAGTCCTCCACCAACTCCAGTTAAATAAATACTTCCACTTCTAATCATAGCACCACTTAATCTTGCAGGTATCCTATCCAAATTCTCGGCCCCATCATCTGAATTAGCATATACGGATGTGAATGAAAATATAACACTACTATCACTACTGTTTTGACTATAGGTGGTTGCAAATGGGATTTGTTTGAATGCAATCTGGGCAATTGATCCAGTCATGCTTGTACTTGAATTACTACCACCGGTTCGAGTACTAGATGCGGTCGCAAGGGAGATGGAAACTGCCGTTTGATTGAGTGTTGTCACTCTAGTTACTTCTGGTGCAAGGTCTTGTCTATCGACTTGAAGGTAGTTGTTTGAATTTGCCATGGCGATTTTTTGTCCTTCATTATCGACAACAAGATATATTCTTCTAATAAAAGGTAATCCAAGGGAATTATATCCTGTTTTGGAAGTAGGACTCATTGCCAAAAAGCAGGCTTGTTGTCCATCCTCAAAATTAAGGGTTTTGCCTTCATATACTGCTGTAGTTATAAATTCAGTCAATGGGATTCTAACTTGTAATCCTCCCCCAAATTGGAAATTCAAATCGGCTGTGCTATTCAGGATAACATCACATTCAACTAACCAACGATCAGCTTCACTTGAATAATAAGCATTCATTTGAATTGCTAAATTAATAATAATATCCAACGGTAAATAAGTATAAAAACTTCTACTATCTAATAATACCGGTAATGGATCATCACTTGATTTCATACTCATTGTTTGTCCAGTACTTTCATTTTCAACCACTAAATCTAAAATCAGAACAATAGGTAAATTTAATTCATTTAATTCAGAATCTGTCCCAGCTAAATCAGGTGGATATCTAGTACCTTGTTGTTGAACCATATCATAAGCTACTAAATCTCCATTATAATATTTCTTATTGACAACCCCGGGGATTAATTGTCCAAGGGCATTTTGCCAATCACTCTGATTATTAAACCATAATGAATAACCTGGAGACCGGATAATTCCTTGATCTACCAAAGAATATAAAAATCCTGAATTTGATGGATTACCGGCAAGACCTAATCCTCCAACATACATATTTGTATCATTTACATTTACAAATGTAAATTGATCAATTCGAACTAAATTCCCATTGGTAATATTAAATGAAAAATTATTAGTATTTATTTGACCCATAGCATTGATTAAATTAATATATGGAATAATTCTAGTATCACCATTATGGAATACATCATCAGTTGGTTGTGGTTGTTGATCAACTGGTATAGTTTCTGCATATCTTCCATTTCTAGCACAATTTGAAGCCGTATATTGTTCCATTGTGGTTATACTTGCAGGTAAATCAATCTCAGTACTTTCTTCCCCTTCAGAATTTGTAACTAATGTAATACCATAATAAGAAGCTTCAGAATCCCACCATTCACTTAAATAAGAACAATCATAAAATGAAGCATTATTCATTACCCAAACATCTGGTTGGATTAGATCTAATCTTAATTCAATTTGTTGTACTCCATTATTGCCATTTCCATTACCTCCAAAGCCAAACATTCCATTATAATAATTATCATCACTTGGCATAGTTAATAATATTTTAAATACTTCTTCATCAGCACTATTTTCGGCTGTTTGAGATGTGGGTATACGAGATGTGGTTGTTTGTGTTAGAGTGTTGGTTATTGCTTCTGGGGTAGTTGTTTGTCGTGCTAAAGTAAGTCTAACTACATTATCATCTGAGGTTGTTTGTGGATTATTATTGTTATTGTTATTGTTGTTTGCTGGAGTAGTTGTTACTGCGTCATCTCCAAGTACTTTATTAAATGTAAACGTAAATAATAGTAAACTCGTAAGTTTCAGTATATTATTATGTAGCATAGTAATATTCGTGTATTTGGTATTTGTCTAGATTGATAATTTATATATGTCTTTTTTTAATAAAACGAGAGGAAGTTAACAGTGGTTTCTAATAGTTTAAGTAATATCTTCAATAGATTAATTTAATAAGAATTAAAATGGTTTAAAAAAAAAAGAAAGTAGAAAACCAAAAAAAAAAAATAATTTCGAGAGGTTTTATAATTTTTTATTATGTAGTAAACACAACATATGTTCAATAAGCTTTTTCTTTTAAACAAAGTTTTTACTAAAGATCAAATGATCAAATACTTGGAAAACGGATATGTATGATTCAATCCCGCAAATTGAATGAAGTTGAATCTTCATCTGAAGTCATAAAAGCTAATGGGCATTTCATGCTAGGTGCTCAAGCTTAGACTTGAAAGATATTTTGTAAATTGATATCGTTAAATAGATAACTATAACATTCTTACCCTTACAAACGAAAAAAACCTAGGAAAGGAGTTATTCGTGAAAGAATCCAAGCCAGGATATCTAAAAAGGGATAGACCAATTTCTTGTGTTAAGAAATCTTTATGCCATTAAAGTTCTTGTAACTTTTGTATTGTAAGAATGGGATCTAAATTTAGAAACATGTCAATCAAGAAAAATGAAAATTTAACATGCTATAAACCGTATTCATTCTATTCGGTCATCTATATTACATATTATACATAGAAGTGTCAATGACTGCTTAAGCTATATACAAAATAAACTATCATACCACTTATCCTCTTGCGGCAGAAACCCATGACTTTTTATTAACTGATAGTCTCACAAAAATGTAAACACAATTCCGTATTTTTCAACAATGACGTAATCGATATAATAAATCATCTCACTTTTTCTCCGTCAAAATGGTTTAACGGATAAACCTTTCACTGATATTACCCATTATATTTCTATCCGACTCTATACAACTCTTGCTAACGTACACCTCCTCTATCTTCGGTTCAATTCTAAATCTATCTGAACATTAGTCCCCTCATATCTATTAAAAAAATGACTTATTCTATCAATATTACTCAAACAATCTTTAACATCATTAAAAGTATTTAAACTATAATGTAATTGAATAAATAATCGAATATATTTATTCTTATTCGGTATTCCATCATGATTCTTAAATAATTGTTCAAATATCCCAACATATTCATTCATTAATTTCAATGTATCTTCAAAGTTATATATTGATATCGTGATAAGAAAATATTTAAATTGTCCAATATGTTTAATCATCTTGTGATTATTTGGAATTAATAATTTCGAGATTAGATATCCTGGTAATTCCAATTCTTCAGCTTTCTTATTATCATCGATTAATAGTCGATATTGACTATGAGTAAAAATATATTGTTGGGTTGATCTTGTTAATTTAGATACATATTGTAGTCGTTTAATTGTGAATATTTCTAAATTATGATAGATTAGATATAATATATCATCAGGCAAATCAGTGAATAAAATGGCCATCTTGTAGTATTCCAGATATATCTATTAAATAATGACCTGGTGCTATCGTTATGTGTTCAAAGGAAAGGCGTGGTAATAATGCAATCATTAAATTTCTGGGGGGGGCGTCGGGTGAGCCGCGATCGGAGACAATGAATTGGTAGTGCCGCTATTATTTGCTGCAAATTAATTAACCAACGGCGACAGTTTTTATTGGTGATGCTAAAAAGTCATATTCTTGACTTTGCTATTTATATTCTACTAGTATGATTCTTTAGTAACCCTGATTGAAGACAAGTAATTTTCTTGGAAAATCTTTTCGCAACAAATCGATTTAGACTTTTGGATAATTAAGTTGCAAAAAAAAAAATATCAAAAAGTATATTCAAGAATTCTTTCACCTCAACTCTTTCCTTGATTTATTGAAATCCAAATTCAAATCATGAGGCATCAGTGAATTCTCACCTTATAAGACAATACGTGAGAAAGAAGGCTAGAATTGAGTACCTTCCACTGAACGTCAGAATTGGTCGAGATTCACCTCGCGAAAAGGGCATTTATCTCATCCCATGAGTCAAAGAAAATCGAGCACTTTAATTTTCTTTTCCCTTTCATTATAAGCTTTTGGTCGAACAGTTGTTAGGGAGGCTATCGGTATTGTTAAAACGAAGATTAATCAGTAATCAAATATATGGTGTATCTTGTATTAAAAAAAAATGGATAGATTGCCTTGGTGGCCGCTCCTGTAAAAAAAATCATTCTTCTCGATCAGTGAAATTAATAATTCCGAGGAGATAATTATTATTCTAATATTGTCCATTCTCATGTTGGATTTGAAAAGAAGTATCAGGTTTTTGTAGACCGTTAATGTCCAGAGTTGGGTTGGTGGTCTATCAGAGGTCAATCCACCGGTTATAAAGTCGACAATGGAAGTCTCTTTATCTAACAGGAATATTGATCCTTGAAAACTTTTCAAATTAGATAATGTAGAAATTCTGCTCTCTATATGTCTCTCTCCTTTTGTAAGTCCCACTACACGAACTCTGATACACAATATCAACAAGGAATGAATGAATTACAAACATTAAAAAAATACTCCAATTTTTTGCAACCAAAAAAAAGAGAGACATTTTACTGCATATTGTTGGAAATAAGGCTAAATATGGAATGTCGTTTTAAACGGGAAACAATATTTATTAAAAACTACTTAAAGTACTTAAAGAAACAAATTATAAAAGTCCTGTAAAACAAGTATAAAATCTGGGGATTTAGTCATGAATTTATATTAGAAATCCCCTCACAATTAAATTAAATTCAATTAATCAATTACGGAAAGCAATCACGTTAACATATAATTACTTTAATATTCTTTGACGTAATTACTATTTTTCTCATGGAACAAATTCTAGACTCACTTCGTATGTCGTCTGTCATTTTTCCCAACACATATAAGCATATTGTCCTGCATACAATAATATTTTAAGCTATTCTTAAAGCCACTGAAACTTTTTTTGATATAAGAGTCCAATGATAATCCTATACAACTTGAAGGCTAGGGTCCAATGATGACCTATAGTGGAACTTTCGGCCCGCGTCCCCCCCTCTATAAACGTCCCGGTGTAACAAGA